ATCTGATAGAACAGGGGCATTTTTAGTCAGTGAAACCTGGAGAGAGCCAGATTCAAATAAAAGGGCCAGTAACAGAGCAAGCAGTGAGCACACTTAACAGATCCCATTCATTATAAAATGCTTGCAGGCTCTAGACTTTGGTGTAAAAATGTTGCTGAAACAAAAGAGTGGCACTTAAATCTTTTTTCACCTGGACACTTTTTTCAACCAGCTCTGAGCAACACAAGATCTCAGTGTTGTGCAGAAGATGGGTTAAAGGGTGTGTGGAGGACTGGCATGGCTGGAAGCAATAAATCCCTCCCCAAACATCAAACAAACCTTTCTCCTGTACCATGCATGTTTCTTCAGCAATGTTTCTGTCTGCAGCAATGGGGAGAGTGTTACCACTGGCATAGAACAAATAAGCAAAAACCATATCTGTAAAGACTGACATAATTTCTACACACGACCTCTGAAAAACGAGCAATTCCATTAAGATCCAGAGTAGAAATGAAAAAACCCAAGTGTTTATTTGGGATTTTGATACTAATTTTGGCTCAAACCACAGCTAATCCTTCCTATCCCAACAGACACAGGAACCAGAATCACATGTTGTGATGCCTCATTCCAAAACCAGCTGGGAACTGGCTGCTCACAAGTGGTGAATGTGCACATTGAGCCTCCTGCTACAACTGTGCACACACAGAGAACTGGGGCTGCTCATTGCCTCCTTTGTCAAAGGCTATTTTTCTTTGCAAGACAGTTCCTCTAGCACCAGAACAAACAATGATTTTGGATCTTTGCACATCACCAGCACTCTCCTAGACAAGCCATTCTCTGGTTGTCAACACTCTGGGTTGTACAAACACCACCAATGAAGCTTTCCAGCAAGCACTTGTTTTAGAGGTATGTTTGTGCTCAGCCTTGAGGAGGAGGAGGAGGTGAGAGAATCATAGAATCATGGAATAGTTTGGGTTGGAAGTGACCTTTAAAGGCCATCTAATCCAACCCCCCTGCAACGAGCAGGGACACCTTCCCCTAGACCAGGTTGCTCAGAAGGCACAGGCAAGTGCACACAAACACACACACACACTTGGACACACAATTCCTTCCCTGCTTTGCTGATCAAAAGGTTCATCTGCAAGATTAATGCACAAAACCAGGCTGTCTCCATCCTGAATAGACATTCCTGCTCTCTGTGCCCTTGCCATGCTCTGCTGTGGGGTTACACATTCTATATGGACCCTATGGATGGAAGAAGTCCGAGCCAGTCCAAGCACAATCCAGCACTTTACTTGGAAGAAAGAGCCATCTGGATGGGTCTTGCAGCTGTGACATCCCACACTCAGGCACTGGACCAGGAAAGGCCATTCCAAACTCACCACTGTAGGTACCAACAACCCAACTCTCCTAAAAACCATTGGTTTTTAGGAAACCAACTGAGCTCAGTTTCCTACACAACAGGCTCAGGCAATAACTGGTGGCTTCTCTTTCTTTCTCAGCACAGTCAGTCATGAAACATAAGTGAAAGGATGCTCCCAGGAACACCTCTGGATATTTTAAAAGGGTATTTAGTCTCTTGATCTGACATGGAGCAAGGTTCATGTTCATCCTGTGTTTGAGCCTACTGAGAGGATTTTTGCTGGAAAATTCTGGGTTTATCCATCTCCAGGATAAGGTTCTGCATATCTCACTGATTTTTCTATGCAAGCCAGGCTGTCTCTCACAGTTGTTTTAGAGAGAACCATTTATATATGCAATAAAAAAGCTATTTCACCATATTGCTGAAAATTCCATCAGGTTATAGTTTATCTTAACAGTCTATCATTTACAATGTACTAATAAAGGAGTACTAAATATTCTATTGGTTTTGGCATAAAGAGTACATTATTGGTGTTTATAAACACATCAGTAAATGTTACAGACTTTTAAGTAACCCCATTGACCTGTAACATAAATGCTCTGTAGCTACTGATCCACAATATATAAACACTTTATGGATAAACCGTTACAAGCCATTTATAAAAACACTCTCACTAAGAAATATTACATGCTCCCAAATAGACACTGAAATAACTCACAAGAAAACAAGGTGATTTCAAGAAAAGAGTACAAATCTTTCTATTTGGTTTAGGCTCTGTAAATTAAAGTTATACCTCAGTGTACGGAAGCAAAGTTAACACAGAACAGCAAGTTTAAAAAAGATATTCTTCGACTCCTTTTTAGATGTGGGACTTGACAGAAAGAGAGATCTTGAAAGAGCCAAGCTAGATGGCTCAGAGGAACTTCCAAGCATAAGCAAGAAGGATTAAATCTATTCCTTCTCTCTTTATGCCATTTCATTTATGACACAGGTATCTACTGGTGGGGGAACACACCTCATGTAACTGCAGCCATCTCACAATAAGTTGCCAGTCAGTTTGGTCACCTACAAAAGTCAATCAATGGAGCAAAGCAGGCACAATCCAAGGGACAATCCAACCCATCTGCCTCAGAGAGCTTTATCCAAGACATACTCACCCTCTGGAGGGAGGATCTCACCATCAGGATCATTACCTGCGTTCCCTCTGTAGAGCTGAACAGCTCAGTCTCTTCCCCTAGGTAACAAGTGATAGGGCAAGAGGACATGGCCCCAAATTACGCCAGGGGAGGTTTATATTGGAAATCAGGGAAATTTTTTTCATGGAAAGAGTTGTCAGACCCTTGAACAGGTTTCCCAGGGCAAGGATGGAGTCCCCATCCTCGGATGTGCAGATGTGGCACCTGGGGACATGGGTTAGTGGTAACCTTGGCAGTGCTGGGGGAATGGTTGGAATTCTGTAATTCTAATTATCATGGAGACAGCCAAGCCTGAGTAAGTCCCAGTTTTGAAGTCTGCTGTAAAACAGCAGCTGCATTGTCAGCTCGGTGTGGGATCTGATATTTAAAGGTTCAACTTGTGAGACAAAAATTTCAGCTGGGGCAAAGAGTGTCTGTCAAACCTGACAGACCTTGCAGCACTATCAGTAAGATGATACTGGTTATGCTGGGGATGGATGGAAAAGCAGCTGCTGATATTGGAGGCAGTGACTGACCTGGATAAAATGCCTGCTGGATTCACACCTCAGCACGTGTCAGTCTCATCAACAGGAAGAGGGTGTGAACACTTTGAACCCCAGTGGGTTTCAGGCTTCTCCATCTGTCTTCCCCCAGCAGCTTTATCCCAGCCCTGCCCTGTGCTGGGCAGATGAGAGGACAGAAAGGTGAATTTGTGGCTGTTTCTCAGCGCTGGCATTTCAACACAGATCTTTCTAAGACCATCTGGAATATGGCAGAGCTGTCTCTGCTGTTTACCTTCCCTAAATGCAACCTGTTGTTAATATCGAGTGTCAGCAAAATATTTTGGATAAATCTGGATGAAGTGCCAAGCGGAACTGTAATTAATCACTATGAACATACAACTGTCTCTGTTACACAGTTGGGACTCCATGGGTAAAACTTCCTCTCAATCTGACACTGCAGTGAGGAGCTTTTTTTGGTATCTTCAAACTCTCTCCCTGGCATGACAATAACTCTGCAATTGAAGGGTGTTTCTCATACAGTGTAACCTCATTATAATGAACCCTTTGAATAAACAGTTGGTATATCTGAATCTTCACCACAATTGAGATGCAGAATTTGCTTTATCAGGCCAATAAAAAACCCCCACCTGTATCTGAGGCAAACACTGATACCCAGGGCAGTAAGAGAGCTTTGTTCATAGCAAGGAAGAACTAAAAGTATTTTCAAAAGAAAACAATGAATACACACAGAAAGGATTAGTAAATTATGTTTCCAAGGTCGATTTTCTACATTTTAATAATGGAATATCCTGAGTTGGAAGGGACCCATAAGGATCATTGAGTCCAACTCCTTTAAGAAAAACAGGAGCTATGCCATCCTTGATAAGATACCTTATTTTTATTTTATTTATTTTTAGTAAAAGTAATGAACAATGCCTAAAAGAGTAGTTCTTACCACAGTTGGGTTGTACAAGTGGAGCATGACTGGTCTCTCTTGTTTTGGCTCGCTAAGCTGTGAATATTGATGCTCTCCTGCTTGTATTCTGGGAATAAAGTGATCTCCAGAGCATGGCAGCCTCATCTACTTTCTTGCCTCCTTACTGCTCTGCACTGACTGAAGGTGTCAAACACTGCCTTGGGTCAATGAACAAGTGTGGAAGACCAGAAGTGGGAGTCTGCTGGGCAGTGTGTGAAAACACTCATTACTGACACTCCCATCCTCTGCTCAGGTTTGGAATCAAGCAACATCTGCACAAAATCCTCTCTGTGTCCATGTTGTGGTTTCACCCCAACCAACTCAGACCCTCCCAGCCACTCGCTCCTCCCAGTGGGATCCATGAGAGAGTTGAGGTAAAAGCTGTAAAAACGTGTGGGTTGAGAGAAGGACAGTTTAATAGGGAAAGCAAAAGTTGTGCCCACAAGCAAAGCAAAACAAGGAATTCATTCCCACTTCCCATGGTTGGGCAGGTGTTCAGCCATTCCCAGGAGAGCAGCAACTCATCACATGGCAAAACCCCCATACCAGCCACTGGAAGTAAATTAACTCTACCCCAGCTGAACCAGCACAGTCCACCTACAGAAAACACCAGAAAAATCTCAGTCCCACATTCGTGATCATCATTCAGCACTGAACCCCAAGGAAATACCAATACACTGATACCTGTTAGAAAGAAAGAGCTGCAAAAATATGCTTTGCTCTAAGCCATGCTGCTAAGACTGTAATTTTCCAACCTGCTCAGCTCACATCCACAGCCCTTCTGAGGGGACTGACCCAAACCCTGCAGCCAGACTGAAGTGCCTGGTGAATTCTCTCTGCTGCTCTTTGCCTCCTCCTGAATGACAACCACGATGCAAAGCCCATCACTGTGACAAGATGCTGGTCTTATTTTTTCACATTCAATCACCCCATCATTTCTGGCAGCACTGCTGGCAATGCCCTGTCTCCTCTGAGTGCAAAGAAAAGGCACAAGTACAAGAGTCTCTTAGTAAAACATTAATCTCAGATCACAGATTTATTTTATGGATTTGCAACACAGCCCATATTACAAACATTGTCTGGGAACATTTACAAGAATAAATAAGATGGACTCGCAGTTGTAAAAAAAAGATTACACTTCACTGTAATGTACAGTCAAAAAATATATCTGATATTCATTGACTTGACATTATTTACCTTCCTTCTTTTAAGCTAGAAAGACACTGAATGCACAGTGTTGAGAGTTTTGTATTTATATTTTTTTCCTTTTTTTTTTTTTTCATACGTGCTTTATCTATCAAACATCCAAACTGTACAAGTGAGTTTCACCAGGAATCCAGAAAGGCCAAAGGGGGGGGGAGATGGGGCGGCATCGCAACAGCAGAGACTCGCTCTCATGCAGCACTCCTCCCTGCTGGACAACACATCCAGGGACCTGGAATGGGACACTGCTGACCCAGAGGCAGCCACAGCACGGCTGTGTGAAGAGGGGACAAGTCTGGCAACAAAATGCGGGTACATCTGGATTTTGACAGGGTTGGTGTGGGGAGGGAGGAGGTGAAATCAAGAGGGGGGTGAATTTTGTCCCCGTGGTTAGTCAGGGCGGGTTAGAGGATGTGTTAAGGATGCAGCTCAAACTTTTGGCATAGAAGTACAGTGTTTAAGTGCTGGCAATGCAAGAAAGGGCTGGAGGGGTGATGAGGGGGTAATTCCAGTTCTGCTCCAGGTACATGGAATTCCAGTAATGAATTCTGGTTCAACTGTCAGGAACGTGAAAAACTGACCAGCCTTTGCCCTGGGGAGCCTTGTTAGGAGCACCTAAATTCAGGAAAGCTTGTGAAGTGCTGGCCCCACTCCCACTTCCATCCCCCCAAAACGCCCTTCTTTCCATAACTTTGCACAAATCAGGTTCCCTGGAGGTCCCCACTGAAAGATGATGTACTCACACAAGGAAATCAGTCTCCACAGCGCAACACTCCCGAGGTATCACCAACAGTGATGTTTCAGGGGAACAGATCTCCGCTGAAACACTCCTTCTGGGACAAAGCTTCCTCACTAAAGGAACCACTACACTGCTAGAAAACTGCATATGAAATATCAGGACTGGTCCCAAGGGGACACCAACAGCAAACCTTCACCTTGCAACAGGCACATCCTTCCTCCTGACAGGGTGACATGGACTTGCTCATGTTTATCCTGCTTAGAAACAGCTCATGCTAATCGAGTTCCAAGAAAAACATTTTAGTTTGTTCTTTTCCCATTTCATTAAGTTTTTTAATTTTTTTTTTTTTCATTTTTTTTGCCCCCAGGAAACACTGTGGGAACACCAGCATCTGGCATTCAGTCTGCTGCATTAGTTTGGTTTTTTTAAGGTTCAGGTTGAAAACACAATAATGGTGAAAAATCTGCTGCAAGCACTGGGGCGAGGATGGGAAGACTAATTTAGACCTCTCGTGTTCTCACAAACTGCAAAAGCTGCCAGGTTTTCACAATTCTGCTAATCCAACATGAACCTGTAGGGGTATTCTGAGGTTATTTTTTACAAGGGAAACTTTTAAAATATTTTAACACAGCAAGTAGAGATTACAGACTAGAGGTCACTGCAAGTCAGCAAGTTTTTGTAATTTTCTTTCTTTCCATCACACTCTGTACCACCAGGATTTGGTCTTGGTGTATGAAAACATATGATTCTGCTTGACAGTTTGAGCAAATTGTACATTCTTCAAGTATGTATATGAGGGAGATGACTGATATCTTTTCCAAGTCAATGAGCAGATAATACATGATGGATTTTCCTAGTGGTCCTTGCCAAAACTGCAGAAATTGGGCTTTGCTCGCTATGCTGTTGGCTCACCCTGGAGGAAAGAAGAGCTGTAGGTATTTTTGGGAACAGGGAAAGAAAGAGCACTTGCATTTAAATTGTATATTATGTATGTATGGCTATAGAAGGCTGCAATCTAAATAAACAGGAGTGCAGGAGGGTTAACAGAATCCTTATTAGTCGTGTCTGTCTCTCTGACTTTATTTCCCTGGCTCTCCCCATTTCTACTCCAGTAAATGTCTGGGCAGGGAAGCTGCAGTGATTTGTTCTGCCCTCACACAGCAGGGACACGGAATTTTTGACCCAAAGGCAGTGGTTATGCTGAATAACTTTTGCCACTTTTACCCCATGGCTCCCCTTAATTTTCTTCAAAAACTGGGGCTGACTGACTTTTTTACACTTAAGGCAAATGAAAGCCTCTCAAACGAAAATACAGCAGTTTCACACCAGCTTCCTGAGATGCCCCTTGCACCGGCCGGAGAGATCACAGAAATTAACTGTGCTACCAACGTAATGGAGTCGACTGTTCACATTTATTACAGGACAATGAAGTTTTCCAAGTGGAACTTTGCCACCACATTGCACACCCAGGACCGTGCCAGGACTGTGCAATGCTCCGTGACGACTTACTAAAAATTCTGCAAGTGTGACAGGCAGAGGCACCTCGTGTTTGAAGATTCCTCTCTCAAGTGATTCTCCTTTTATCTCTGTCCCTCAGGATTTATTCTCTCTGTCACACTCCGAGTGCTCCATCTCCACAGCACGGAATGTGGCATTACCTGTTTTTTATGATCTTGGCAGGAACTCAGAAGAGTAAGAAAGATAAAGAGCAGCTGTGCAAGAATGAGAGAGAGAGCAAGGTGCAAACTTCCTGCCTGTTTCAGGATCCATCTAATCTGCCTTCTCCTCCAAAGCTGGGTTTCTCCCAAAGGAGATTTCTCCTCCTTTCCTTCTCTCCCAGATGGCAACTGGTTTAAGTGTCTTCTGAACCACCTGCTGCAGGAGCCTCTCCTCCTCCTCTGACTCTACAGCACAACAAGAACAGTGATCAGCAATCCCTGGCTTGAGATGCCCAAAGGAAATCCAACAAACTGCTGCTAAAGGGCCTGTGAAAAGCAAATGGAAAAGCCAATCTAGCATCTACAGACTCAAATCTATGACTGTGGGGTCTGTGTTGCCACTGGACGTTTTTCTTTCTAGGGTGTTTACAGCTCCAGAATAAAAGGTTGGGAACTACTGACACACAAATACAGGCTGCTGTAGGGAACAGCTGTTCTTTGGGATTCCCTCCTCTGCCCTAGGGAGCTACATGGACCAGAATGATTTGAGGTCACAGGCACCTCCCAAAATCTCTGCCTGCTTTTTAGTTCTCTGGACGTTCTTCAGAATGTGTGTGCAGGTGGACAAGACAAGGGGACAGAAACTGCAGGTTATCTCGGGGGTAAAGGCCACACAAAGTCACATCTTTGCAGTGCATGTAAAAACCTTTCACTGTTAGTCAACTGCCTGTTGCTGCTGGACCAAAATGGACAACGCCAGCTCACAAAAATGGCTAAAATGGGAATAAATTAAGAGGGGCCCACCGTTGCATGGCAAAGGCAGACATAACTCTGTGCAACCTTGCTGAAGAATCCCAAATGGAAGAGCTTCCTACTAATCATAGCCCAGGAACTTCCCTGCTCAAAGAACACAAGTTATTTCAATCTGCAAACACACACAACCCATACACATCCCCACCTGCCTGCTGGCTATCAGAGGTCCTGATTCAGTTCCCTCCACATGGCCACTGTATTCTTCTTTACCTTCATAAACAAGTACCTCAAGTCTATTTACAACAGTTCAAACACCTTTTACCTTCAAAGACATAAACAAACCAAACCAAACCAAAAGAGCCACCACAGGACATCAGTCCTGCACAGATCTTAAAAAAAGATACAGACCCAAAACCCACCACCAAGCAAACATAAAACTAAAAAAAGATTGTTAAGTCCTAGTGTATCTTTCAGGGGTTTTGGTCCATCTCCCACGTAGAAAACCCAAAGTCTTCCTTCTCCAGTAGCCAGCTTAGATAGCTCTGGCATTCACTTCTTCAGTTACATCCCACACTAATTTCAGATGTTAGTTACTCCCTGTATGAGACAGCCACCTCTGACCCACCCTTCTTTACCTATTTCTAATTCCTTGTACTTCAGACCAAACCTTACACCAGTCCTGAGCTATCATAAACTGCTCCCTCACCCCTGAAGGATGACTGAATGAGACTAAGTTTATCTTCATTATGTCCATTCAAATGTGGATATTTGAATGGGCAATATGATATTTTTCCAGCTTAAAATTCAATCACTGAGGAATTCACCTTTTCTACTGCACATTATCGCTTTCTATCCACAGCAGGGGATGCTTAGGCTGGAAAGCTCACCCTGACTATTAATCCTTCCAGGAGTGAGAAAACCTCCTTTATCTCATCTCATAATTTCTCCCTTTCTCTGCAAAAACAAACCCATCACCCATAATCTTGCTTCAAACACATTACCTGCTCTGCTATGGGCTGTTCTCTAGGGCTTAAACAACTTCAGGGTAATAAAGTTATTTAAAGCCAGCTTGTCTTCTCTTTCCACACAATTCCCCTCATCATTAATTCACACTCAGCATATATGCACTGTGCAGCAAGGAACAGCAGGAATATCCCAGAGATAACACACACTGGAGCTGGGTTGGTCCCCCAAAAGCACCTTAACTGCAGGAATTTATATCAGTTTGGCAACAAAATCTTCAGTGTCTGCTGAGAATCCTCCCACACAAGGACATGAAGGTCAAGACATGCAGTTGAGTGGCCACAGAACAAGCTGTGATGAACAGTTGGGCTGTGGCAACCAACATTTGCATTTAACTCCTATAAAATGTAAAATTTAGCTTTAACATCTTCCCCTGCACTTTATGCCAGCATCACCTGGTGTTTGCAGAGGGCCAGAAACACACATGACTTGCTGTGGACCAGCCTGATACAGGTACTTCTGACCCTTTGGCAGCATTTTTCATACCATAAAACACATTCAATCCTACCTCAGGACCTTAAACAACTCCACTGCAAGTGCTATTCTGCTCTGATCATCTCACAGCTTCCTTCTCTCCATGCACACATCCCTCCTGTGGGCTTAATTCTGGTTTTTTAATCCACTTTCCTTCCTGCTACTGTTAAGCCTGAATTAGCTCCCATACTTCACATCTCATCCTATTTCTTTACCATTCTGTTCCTTTTATCCTGGCTGTCACTCTCAGTGCTTCCATCAGTCTTTCCCCCTCCTATATCATGAAGGAGACCTATCCCTGTGCTAGTTTCCATGTAAAATTAACAGAATGCTAAATACTAATTAATATTTCCATAGTATCCTTAGGGAGTGATTCCCTCAGGCTTTCTGGAGTCAGCAGAGTCACAAACACTTTGCTTTCTCGTAGCTTCTTCCTACATGGGCAGTTGTTCAAAAATCCCATTCTGGGATCAGAATTCCCTCATCTTCACTAATAGCTCCCAGCTCCTGACCCACACTGTTCCATCCAGCCACCTGTGATGAAAACACCAATATAATGCCATTTTTATCTCGTAGTTTTGCTTTGCCTTCTATTTTTGTTTTCCCTGCAGAGTTGTTTGTGTTGCTCAGTTGCATTAAGGAAGAAAACAATTCAAACCAGTAGCCTGTCCCAGGAGATGCCAGATACCACCTACAGCCCCTGATTTCCTGCAGGCAACAGAAAGGACCAACTGGAACCAGAGCAGAGGCTCCTGTGAGGGAGTTCTCACCAATATTTTACAGCACATCAGGGAGAATGTGGTTCATGCTCATTTAAGACTATGACATTAAAGCCAAGAATCCAAAGCTCCTTGGAAAGAATCCAGGCTAGGAGGTTCAGCATCCTGTGAACCCCTTCATCTGCATTATTAGAGTTCCAAGCACCCTTCCCTGGACCGGTGCAGCTCCTGGTGGATGGGAACTGCGAGGTGAGAGCTGCTTCTGTCAGCTCTCACTTTCATCCCTCATTGCCAAGGCAAAGGTTTGTCTACTGAAGAAAGAATGATCATGAAGTGAAGCCTTTTGAACTTACAGACAGAACGAGCAAGACGTGTTGAACTTGTCACACACTGAGAGCACAGAGCTTCCAGCACAGCCTCTGAGTATTTACCTGAGGGTGGAAAACTACAGGGTGGTAAGGAAGTGGGGTTTGCTTAAACTCCTGCCTTCAATCTATCTTTTAGAAAGTCTGAATTTGAAGAAACCTGTGTCCCAGAATTTCACTTACACAGAGAGCAACCTCATAACCAGCACCCTCCAGATAAATAAGTGGCTAAATTCAAATACTAATTATAGTAAGGCCTTGTTCTTTCAATTATTTTTTTTTTTTCTCAGAGATTACCCTGCAGACATTAGTGATTAACTACTTAAACACACTCTTTCAGAAAAGCAATTTCTTAGCTGCTATGAAATCAGAGCGAGATCCAGAGCCGTGGCAAAACACATCTGGTGTTTGTTTGGGAGGAGGGGAGTTGCACAGGCATTTTTGCAGGACGAAACAAAAGCTGTTTTGCTTAAGAAGAGAAGTTGCTGTGCTGGGCTAACACTTCTCTTTACACGTGTCAGAACAGGTTTCTGTGTATGTACATCACCTTTCCTACAGCTCCAAGGGGTTCCCATTTTTGAAGCTTGTAGGGCCTGGAAATAGCGAGGAATTCTTGCCAAAACCCAATTTTAAGAACCTTCAGCTTTTAAACTCTTTTGAGCAGGAACTTTCTTTGCTCTCTGTTTGCACAGTGCCTAGTTCAGCAGGGTCCTGTCGTGACTAGGGGTCCTAAGTTCTACAGCAATACAAATAATAAATAAAAAATAGTAATACATAGTAGATGAGCAATAATACCTACTTTATACCCTGTTTGTGTTTTTTCTTTTTCAAAGACGCACTGCACCCCAGCAAATACTTGAAAAACGTGGTAACAAAGTTACCAAAGTTGCAAGACAAAATGCAATCCGTTTGATGCAAATATTCAACCTCAAGGTTCAAGTGGCTGGGAAACTCATTTAGTGGCATTGCTTCACCAGCACCCAAAGGAACGGACCAGAGAGATGTAACCGGCTCATGCACAGCCCTGGGAGTGGAGCAGAAACTGGGAGGAAACATTGGGGTGGAGGCAGTGAATCCATGAACAGCTTCTCATCTCCACCCTCTCTCTATTTTCATGCTTAAAGGGACCACCACGTGTGGGAAGAGAATTCCAGCGTTGTTTTTCTCCTGTGTTGGCCTTTTCATTTGGAAAAGCAAACAAAAGGGAAGAGATAAGGTAGACAAACCGTAATGAAGTATTTCATGTATCCCCTATGGCTATCTCATTTTTCCCAAATGACTGCTGCATGAAATTAAAAAAAATTAAAAGACTGGGATTTGAGAACAAAATTATAAATTAAAAAGCAGACATTTAAAAGAGAATTTCCTAAGGGTTTCATTCCTTCTCCACTCTGCAGCAAGCAGAGCAAAAATACAATCCAAAAGAGGAGAGAAGAAGTCAGAGGGGATTAGAAAGTCCAGTCTTTCAGCCTGTCTCCCATTTTGCTAATTTTTACAGTAGGTTATTTAAGAAGCAGTAGATGTTCCAATAGAAAGCAGGCAGCAGCACACACAGGCATCGTCTCCTCCTTCCAGTGAGGTCTGTGCAACCTCAGTCTCTTGCTCCAGGAAGGAGAGGTTTTCCTTCCCACACTTTTTACTGCCTTCCAGTGTGGGAGAAGGGGGAAGCGCCTGCCAGAGACTGGGGTCTGGCACATCCGAGGGTCCCCTCCCTCCTCTGGGCTAAAAGGAACTCAAGTATTCCAGTGCAACCTCATATACAAATTTATACTGTTCCTGCAAGAGAGCACAGAAAGAAATGGCATTAGGACATGGGTGAATTCTTCAGAGCCTTGTTCTACAAGCAAAAATACCTCCTTCTCTCTTTCTTATTCCCGTTGGCAGGACCAGGCAAACACTGATTGCCTTTCTATGTGATCCTGAACAAGCACTGCTAGCAGATGGTATCATCAGTGGAAGAGAAAAGCACTCAAAGAGACAGCCCCACTATGGACTATTCATTATTCACCTCCACGCGTTGCTTTGGAGGCACGAACTCGGTGTGATCGATGGAGATGATTGAAATCAGGACAGTTTAATCTCCTGGGCTGCAGGGAGCAAGGCCTGGGGTTTGGGCTGCTCTCCCTCCCTGGTTTCAAGGCATGTCACAGCACCCAGAACCACAGGCTGTATGCATGGACAGAAGGACAAACCCCACTCCTTCCCACAGCCATGGTGCCAGCTCCTTGGGGTCTGACCTCCTGGAGCCAGCTGGGCATGGGAGACAGTGTTAACCATTTTGCCAGGGCATCCTTTCTGCTCCAAGAGAGAAGCAGGAGGATTCACTGCACATGCTGAAACAGGAGCAATTATCATTCTGATGGCTTCATGTTCTCATTCACTTTGACTCACCCTGAACTAAGCCACCACATTTTTTTCCCCTATCCTAAAGGCCCTGGAACACACCGGGAGGGGAAACACACAGGAAAAAACAAAGCCTACCAGTGACTCCACCATGTTGGATTTGTTATTCCGTAGCGTCTTCACTATGTGGAACACATCGATGATGTTCTGCTGTTGGATCATCTCACACACGCTGCAGATGGCACAGAAGGTGCCGCTGCGTCCCCCGCCGTTCCTGGGAGCAGGGAGGAGAGGGTCTGTAACTCGTCATGGACATTCAAGGGTTTTTGTGTGCCTAAGAGGGCTCCAAGAGAGCTGGGAGAGGGACTTTGGACAAGGGCATGAAGTGCCAGGACTAGGGGGAGTGGCTTCCCATTGCCAGAAGGCAGGGTTAGATGGGATATTAGGAAAGGAATTCTTCCCCATGAGAGTGGGGAGGCCCTGGCACAGGCTGCTCAGAGAAGGCTGTGGCTGCCCCATCCCTGGAAATGTTAAAGGCCAGGCTGGATGGGGCTCTTAGCAATCTGGGATAGTGGAAGGTGTCCCTGCCCATGGCAGGGGGTGGAGTGATGTGGTCTTTGCGGTGGTTTCCAACACAAACCATTCCATGATTCCATGGAAGTGGAGACCTTCAGGGCAGGAGACAGGGATGGAAGGGCTAAGGGATTCCTGGCAGTGGTGGACAGGGAGGCCCAGGGAGTGCAGTGTGCTCCCCAGTGCTCTGGGCTCAGAGCAGCTCTGTGGGCAGAGCTGGGCACACGGCAGCGCTGCTTCGGTTCTGCCTGGGCTCCGCTCACGAGACCCACCCGCACAACAGGACACAGCAGAGCTTTTTGAGCTATTCCTCACCACAACCAGCAAAACCTCTGGGCCAGGACACTGTAACACAGCACAATATTCAACTTGAAGGGCACTACAAACCTAATTCCACTTCCCTTTCCCGAGCTGAAGCCTGGCAAACCACCAAAATTCCAGATCCGTAATCAGCGCTCTTCGGAGAGGTTAACCGTGTGAGGTTACGGGCACTTTCCAGTCCTACTTACAGGCAGTGGACCACGGTCCGGCCATCTCTCCCATCGTACTGCTCCTGCCACTTCTCCAGCCTCCTGACCACCTTGAGCAGGGAGCGTTTGGAGGGAGGGGTGTCCCTGTAGGCCGGCCAGCCGATGTACTGCAGGTGCTGCACGATGCGATAGCCGTCCTGGGGCTGCAACAGAGGGCACTTTTCACACACTGAGTGGGCCAGGGCAGGAGGAACAGGGACAGGGTAAAGCAGGGCACAGCTTAAGCTGTGCCAGGGGAGGTTTAGGTTGGACATTAGGAAGAAATTCTTTAGAGAGAGATCAGACATTGGAATGGGTTGGCCAGGGAGGTGGTGGAGTCACCATCCCTGGAGGTGTTTCAGAAGGGACTGGATGGGGCATCAGTGCCATGGTCTGGTTGACAAGGTGGTGTTGGGTCAAAGGTTGGTCTTGATGATCTCTGAGGTCTTTTCCAGCCTAGTTAATTCTGTGTTTCTGTGATTCATCATCCCCTCTGGAGCTCCTATCACCCCTGTTAACACCCTCCACTCTGGGTACCTGATACGGTGTGAAAACAAGGACTATTCCATACTCTGGATAAAAATTATGACTTCAGATATCACAGAGTCAGGCAGGATCTAGGATCCCTTGTTTGGTTTCCAGAATACAGTTTCATCAGACTGTATGAACAAATTAAATAGACCAAATGTCTCCTTCCTGTGCTGGAAATAAGTTGTGCCATAAGAAGCAAAGGCAGCCCTCAGAAATTCTCTATGCACTGTGGAGGGAAAGGATCCTCACAGAGATGTTGGCAGTGGCCAGTGGTGCTGAACACAGAAGGCTGTGAGTTCACAGCACCCACCCTGCCAGCCATGGCATGGACCAGCTCCATCCTGAGAGTCACAGAGACTCAGTCTGACCAGCTTTAAGACTCCAAGGCTCTCCCTGATTCAGAGGGAGTTGGCCTGGCATACAGGACAATGTCTAATAGCTAATTGATTAATCAATTTGTGTAGCTGGACACAAGGTTCCCTCTTCACTGCCACCACTGAACGGCTGTACAAGCTCTGACCACACAGACACTGATGTGTTAAACTGCTTGGAAATGTAATTTGTGGAGCCTGCTTCCATTTCTGATTAGAAAAAAAATGAAAAAGGAACAACAAAGGAGACATAATCAATCTGGGAAAACAACTAATGAGAGAAAAATCCTGTACTGAAGCTCTTTCCTGCAGCCCTGAAGTTGGATTGCCAGGGCCCAGTACACAGATAAACTTTGTTTCTATCATTTCAGCTGTCCTGGGGCTGAGGGATCCAGACAAAGAGTTGCTTACAGAAATGGCAGTTGCTTATTTATAGGGAAAACAGTGGCAATTGGGAATCCCAGTCTAGCCAGTAAACATTGCATCTGTCTTCAGAGACGCTGCCGAGTAGCTGACAGATGGAGAGCTGCTGACACTACCTCAGTTTATTTCCTACAATACTGATGCTCCTATATTGGCTACTAAGTGATGAATTGTTCTCAAATACACACAGAAAAATGCTCACCATTTAAATACAGATTTCCAGCTCATATCAACCCCTTTCTACTTTCAGCCAAGAGTCCTTTAGTAACACAGACTGATTAAATGTTAATTAAAGGAAGCAGCTGCACTGGAATTTCGTTCCTAGGTGACAGATCCAGCACCTCTAAACCACAAGTCTTGGCTCTGCCTCTTCTTCCTTCCTAAATACATTTTTTGGAATAACTGGGGAATGTAGTGTTTCAGGGATCTCACCCTGGCCATGTTGCAGATCCGGAATATCCGGTTGATGATGTCTTCATCGATGTCTGCTGAGACAAACTCCACCTGAATGGGGCCATAACAACAGGATGTCTTCTCTGGCCAGTACTGCATGCAGAGCTGGAGAAAACAGGACAAGAAACAGAAAGCATCTTAATTATTAACAAGGAAATGCACTTTCTTTTTTATTTATAACCAGTTCAAATCCATCACCAACCTTGTCTTACATGTCTTTTTTTCACAGGAGATCTCATTCTAGCTGAAAAACTTTTTATACCACCAATATGAAAATAAAAGGTATATTTTAGAACCTTTATTTTTGTATGAACACAATTTGGAACTGATTGAATTCTGGAGTCTAAAGGTGCAGAAAAGGTGGCTGACAAATGAAGCTGCTGTAGGGATAGAGATTTAAAATGAACACTACAAGATTAGTGTCTGTAGATAAATTTAATAAGAACCACAGAGGTTTGGTGTTAATGAGGAAACAGTACAGGCACCATGAAAATTAATCTTAATTCACACAAACTGGAATTTCTTTTTTCCGTAGGATGAACTTTTTAGCTTTGTGACTCTTCCAGTGAGCAGGGCAGGGAGAATTAGTTTGTTCTGAGAGCAAGAAGAGCAACTCTGGTTTCAGGGTGAAGCACGACTGAATCTCTGAAGTTTGTGAAGCAGGTTGGGAGTCTTTTTCTTGTGCTGATATTACAGAACTGAAAGGACAAAAAAGATCCTATGCACACAAATTACAATGTAAGTATTTAAAATCCATCTGGAAATAGATTATGGCGAAAAAATATTTTGCATGAGATCTCATTAGCAGTTTGTGCTGAGATTGTGTTTCTTTCTGTCTTTCTTTCTTCCTATTTTTAAGTGTAATTTTTCAGAAGTTTTGAAACCCCCAGATGCTCATTTCAACTTGATCTCGAGCTTTTCAAGTTCAATCACTGCCAGAAACAACGTCAAGTGTGTGAATGCTGCTGCATTAATTCTGCACTCCTTTGATCATATAGGATTGAAATTGGGTGGGATATTCACACAATCTTAGGCATCTTTGCCCTTGTTAGTTTTTCAAGATTAAGCAAGCCAACCAAGACCACACAAGCAAGTCCTTTGAAGGGTGTCTTTACTCTTCATTCAGACTTTCAAGCTGCTTAGTGATCTCCTCTCAAAGCATCTGTCCAATTGGTAGGAGACGTGAGCTGAGCAGGAGCTCCAGGAAACAACCTCAAGGTGCAGCAGAAAGCAGGAAAAGATTAAAGATCTCCTTAATATTAAAAATCTGCTTTTCCTAGAGCGGGTCTGTGAATGGCCACACTTCAAGAAAGACATTGAGGGGCTGGAGAGTGTGCAGAGAAGGGAACGGAGCTGGGAAAGGGGTTGGAGCAACAAGAGGGGCTGAGGGAGCTGGGGGGGCTCAGCCTGGAGAAAAGGAGGCTCAGGGGGGACCTTCTCACTCTCTGCAACTCCCTGACAGGAGGGGGGAGCCAGGGGAAGTCAGGCACTGCTCCCAGGGAACAAGGGAAAGGACGAGAGGAAATGGCCTCAAGTTGCACCAGGGAAGGTTTAGATTGGATATGAGGGAACATTTCTTCACAGAAAGTGTGTTTAAACATTGGAAGGGGCTGCCCAAGGCAGTGGTGGAGTCCCCATCCCTGGAGAGATTTAAAAGCTGTGTAGATGTGGCACTTTGGGGACATGGTTTAGTGGTGGCCTCGGCAGTGCTGGGGGAACATTTGGACTCAGTGGTCTTATTTTTTCTTTTCCACCTTAAATGATTCTTTGGTATCAAACAGTCACACCTTGCCCTGATAGCTCACAAAATACCAACTTAAAAAGCATCCTTAACTCCCAGTGCCACCTGGGTGTTTCAGCACTGGCTGCAGCCTCCAGCTGGTGACCCTGTGCTACAGGAACTGTCAGAGTGACTTTCTGCGCTGCCAAATCCCCCTTTCCGTGCCTACAGAATACATCAGAGAAACACAAGTTTGCTAGCAGAAAACAAAGCAGGTAAAGCCTTGTGCAGAAAGATAGTCACGAGAACAGCACTGGCTGAGGCTGATAGGTTTGTGTTTTCCAAGAACTGAGTGAGAAAGCGTGTCATTTTTCAGAAAAAGCTGTGTTTTCCTTTGAAGTGTCAGAGGAAAAAAAAAAAAAGAGAAAAAGATGAAGTTTGCCTCTGTATTCAGTGCCAAGATGCAGAATCAAGGAGGGCAGATTGGAGAGGAGGCAGCAAATGCAGAGGATCTCAAGTTCCTCACAGGGTGGCAGGTCTCTGGGGGTCACCGAGAGAACCCACTGCTGAGCAGAGCTCTCCCCGTGGCTGGGAATGGAACCCCACAGCACCCACCCTGACAGGAGATCCCCTCAAGGAATGGGGTGATTGATTTCTCCATCACCATCCAAAAAAAAAAGAGACCAATAATTTCGCTGCCTTCAAGTGTGGTAAGACAAGAGAAGAGACAAATCAAAAATTAATCCATGAAGTGCCAGCTACTTGAGGGCTCCTCTCCTCTCGTGTTAACAAGTGCTGTAATGGTTGAATTAGCCATGCCAAATGCACTCTTCACACAAATTGCATGATTATGCCTTTTTGAAAGCTGTTATCTTCTGCCACTCACTAGCAAGGTGGCTGGAGACACCAGTTCAGGAGGAATGGCAGCAGCTCCTCCCCAGCAGGCTCCAATCCTGAAAATGATGGTGGGTTTAGCAGCCAAAAACCAGCTTACACATGGAATTAAAAAGAAAAAAAAAATGCAAAGCACTGCGGTCTTCTAGAGAATCTGTGCAAAACACACTTCTCAGTACACTGGGAATCTCAGGGGAAGTATCCTTCCAATTATTTCAGCTCTCTTGGTTTTGTTCTCCTGGAAATGCCATGTGAATGGGCAAGCATGAAGCACGCTGGGAATGTGTTTTTTCTGAACCAAAGACAGACAAAAATATGAAAGGGAACAGGAAAGGGAAGGAAGTGAGTTTGGGAGGAAAATTTTGGCCCAAACCCACAAAGTATTTATCTAATATATAAAATACTTATATAAAACATCCTTATACTTTTGAATATATAATTTTTTAATACTTTTATATATCTAAAACTTTGCCATGCATTTATATGAAAGTATTTATCTAATATGTATTTATATATGTTTCAGCTTGGAGAACACAAGGCTTTGGGGAGACCTTATAGCAGCCTTTCATTATGTAAAAGGAGCTTACAAGAATGCTGGAGAGAGACTTTTCAGAAGAGTATGGAGTGATAGGACAAGGAGGAATGGCTTCAAGATGATAAAGAGTAGGTTTAGATTAGATATTAGGAAGAAAGTCTTCCCTGTGAGGGTGGGCAGGCACTGGCACAGGTTGCCCAGAGAAGCTGTGGCTGCCCCATCCCTGGAAGCGTCCAAGGTCAGGTTGGATGGGGCTTGGAGCAACCTGGGCTAGTGGAAGGTGTCCCTGCCCATGGCAGGGGATGGAATGGGATGGTCTTTAAGGTCCCTTCTAACCCAAACCCTTCTATGATTTTATGATCCTTGTTAAATGCAGTAAGAATCAGCTGCCTTAGAAGGAGCCAAGCATGTGGACTTACTCTTCATTATACCCCAAAACATTACCTATTACTTCCCAGTTCCCCTCCTTTATTGGGGTGGGGAGACAGGGCACGAGAAAATGGCAGCAGAAACTCTCTGCAAACCACCTGGATTTGAGAAGGGAGTTACATTGGACAGACAGGATGAAGAATCACTCACCTGTGCTGCATCCATCTCATTCAGCATCACCACAGAGGAGCAGTTGTAATCAAACACCAGCCTCCAGAAGTCTGCGATGGTGTTGGGCAAAGGGTGTTGGGTTACAATAAAGGCAGCAGGTTGCTTGTGGCTCTAACAAAAGAATAAGATTAGTTTAAAAAAAAAAAAAATTCAATCAACTTTTATTCAAAGGAATATTATACCCAGGAGGCTCTGGCAAGGCAATCTGAGCCATTTAACCAGATTATACAAATCACATATCCCTCTCCTTGTTATCTCACTGCAATGAATGAGCAGCTCATAATGGGATTCTTTTGCTCCCAATGAAGACATTTCATTAAAGAAGTGTCACAAGAGCAGAGATTACCCAAATCAATTATTTATATTTTGAGACTCAGCAAATAATACTAATTCTACTATTACTACTACTACTACTACTACTATCAGTAATGTTAATAATTGGAAAGAAAACAGCTGGAAGCAAATGCTCTCCCTTTCTGCTGCGATGGCCTCGAGGAACTCCAGAAGGGATTAGCCCTGTCTGTTATTGCTGCCTGGGGATGGAGTGTGACAGAGGTGGCACATTTGGATCCCAGCCATCCTTTATGAGCTTGTGGGACAATAGGCAGAGGCTGTGACAATGGCATTTCATTTCTGGTGCTATTCTTTCCCCTCAAAGAGGCCCCCTGACCTCAGTCTCCCCAACCACAGAGGGGTGGGACTGTGCTCCTGACCTCTTTGGGGCTGTGTTAGTGATTGTTTCTGAGGCTCCCTGAGATGAAAGGGAACAAGCTGAAAACTTTATCGCCTTCCAACCATGGCAGGCAATGCTTAAATGAGCCTAGAAACTGCACAGGCCTTTGTGCTGTACATCTGTGAAGCAGAGCTGAATCAAAAGGCACACTAATTCTGCAGAAAAAGAAAAGAAAAAAACCACAAAACACCAAAATAAAAAGCCCACAGGATAAAATTTTGGGCTTAGACCAAAGAAACAAATAAAATCCTAAAGTATTAAGCTGGCCATTGTGGGGGAGGTTGCCTTTCCTCCTCCATGTGAGTCAGATGTGGGTGGAAGTGCTGAGCAGACCTTTCTGGGAGGGGGAGAAGGTGCTGTGCACACTTTGCCCCTGCTTGTTTTAGGGGAAGGTGAGGAACAATGTTTCTTCTTAACAAACCATTTTGCAGATGCAAACCTGGCTTTCCAGTGGTTCTCATAGGAAAGATCCAAAGGTCTGTTCACTGGAAAGGGACAGAAGACATGAAGAGGAAAGTTCAGGAGCCTCCAAATCTGCTGGGGGAGAATTCCTCCCCTCTCTGGGCAGCAGTAGCCCCTTGGCTGCATTTCCAAAAGCTAACTCAAGGCAGAAGGGGCTGGTTTTTAATGCTCTGCCTGAGACAGTCCCAGCTCAGCTGTAGCAGCTTCACACCCTGAGGGAAGGTTCAAATGGCTTTCTGTGCCTAAGGTTAATTTTGGTTGACAGATGGCCTTCCTGAGACAACTCATGCTTCCAAACACAGGCTGTCACCCATTCCAGGTGTACCATCACCCCTCCCTGCTCCACCACTTCTTCCATCACAGCTTTCATGTAATACACCAGTCAAGTCAAATAAGATTTGGGGAGAAGTTTAAAACCAGAGACAAACATGAGAAATCTGTAAATAAAATGATCAGCACTGGGACTGTGCTGTCAAGAGTTCATCAGCACGTGCCTGTCCTCACACAGTGAAAGAACTGACAGTGGTTCAAGGCAATATGGGATGGATGGTCTCCTGTAGAAGTTCATGCTCACTGCAAGACTTCAGACACAAAGCTATTGGGAAAGAAAAGAATTTGCAAGGTCTGTCCTCAACTGGAACAGCTGAGAAAATGGGGGATTTTGGCTGTTCCGCTTTGATTATTATTTTTCAAAAAAATTTGATGATTCCTCTTTGGAAGGATAAAGGAGATGTAGAGAAGATGCTAGTGGCTGAACTTCTATGACAGGTGAAAAATTCCTTTGTACTAAAAAAAAAAAATAATTCATATGAATTTTGTGGGGAAGGATACAAGTCTTAGCAAAGGGATTGGAGGTAATGAGAGCTGAAATGTGCAAACATTCCCAGTCACTAAGAAATCAGAGAAGAATACATTGTGCTTCTTCAGAGCTGCAAAAGCACAAACCACACCTTAAAAAAAAAAAGTTTCTTTAGGTATGTTTGTAATGAAAACATCACAATCTTTCCGAAAAAATCTAAAATAAAAATTCGGTGACCATTGGGCTGAACCTCTTAAAGGCAGTAGTATCACTGTTTCCCAAAGACTGAAGAGCAGACAACATTAAAAAAGACTGATCCTGTCGTTGCTGGGGGAAGAAATGATGACATTTCACCCTGGATCATATTTACCCTTACTCCAACTGCAATAATTAGTGGCTTTAAAGACATCTCTGTCCAAAGGCACCACAGCAAAAAGAAATCATCAACATAATTCACCCTCCACAGATGACCTGTGCTGGGAGATTCGAGCCTATAAACAAAGCAAGGGAAAATGCCTTCAGACAGAGTCACATCAGCTCAACTCATGTCCCTCAGCCTGGAAACATTCTGCACATCTGATCCCTGCAGTCCCACATTCTTAACTGCACAAGCTCTAATCAGTCACTCGCTCCACACTGCAAATTATTCTTTCCAAAGAGCTGAGCTGGCAAACATTTCCCTTCCCAACGTATGCAAAAACCCAGAGCACGGGAAGAACCATGCCACCACTTCTTTGTGTCTCTCTGTGACACAACCTCAGACTGCAAGCTCACGAGCTCCTCTGCAAAAAAAAGTTCTACCAACGTGACGCAGAATGAGTGTGTGTGATAATTGCAGTCTAGATTATAACGAATCACAGAATCAACCAGGTTGGGAAAGACCTCTGAGATCATCGAGTCCAACCTCTGACCAACACCACATCGTCTACTAGACCACGGTAAACGGCCTTAAACACTTCCATTTCTGGGAAGAAGAGGAAATTCATGTTTGGAGAGGCCAGACCCAAAAACTACAGGTCAGTAAGTTTTTTTATTTCCGATCCCTTTCCCCCAGAAAATTATCCCGAGAAGCCATGAAGTCAGAGCCCGTGGAGGGGAGGAACAGGGCGGTGCTTACATCCATGAGCGCAGCATTGATGTAGTTGCTGGATTCCCCATCCACGGAGATGAGGAAGGGCAGGCAGCGGTCCAGGGGCAGCACGTCCATGCAGCGGTTCTTGTCGTGGTTCCTGGGCAGGAGGCCGATGCTGCAATCCTCCGGCCGCACCCGCGGCGTCACGATGTTCAGAGTCTGCCAGGGGCAGGAGGGGGAGAGAGAGGGTAGAAACAGGCTGAGCACCTTGGCATTTACTTGCAAGAAGTGTGCCTCATGCAAAATATGGTTATTTTAAGTGTACATCTGCAATAACTGAGGGAACCACACACCTCCCGGCCATTTCCAGCTCTAAAACCCCAGAGCAGTCAGACAATATTCCGCTTCTTTCCCAGAGGCTGGAAATAGCTGTCAGAGGTGCAAGATGCACCTCTGAGCTCCTCACTCCTCCTGTTTCTCCCATCCTTAGGCTGGGAGTTCTCATCCTTCTCCCTCTGCAAGAGGGTCCTGTGTACCCTGAGTATTGACTCACCCAGCAGGTCAGACTGGGTTCAAATCCTCCCGTGATTCCTCAGTCAAACTACTGATTTATCTTAACAATACATACAAAAATCGAAAAGAAAATACATATTTTTTTCCTTTTTAACAGGAAAGCCTATTTGTTTCATACATTACTTAGGTTGCTACTTTCCTTCTGGATTGACAGAGGATGCTTCACTTACATAGTCATACCTAATCTCTGAGGTCTTGCTGTCAAGTCTTTCACTGTTATCTGTCTTTTCCACAGCTTGACAAACTGTATTTCTTTAAATATATTTTTCTTTTGTGTTTTCTATTGTGGAGGCCTCCTGACAAACCAGTCCAGGTTGGTCAGCAGGGATCAAAAACAGCAAATCAAAGCGAACACATCTTAACACCAGCACATAAGTGGTGGTAGATCAGTGGCTATCTGATGTCGTTCTGCTTTCTTTTGTTATGAGTTCTCTTCCTGGGCAAAGCCCATGGAGTGATACAGCGAACTCTTTGCAACCAGAGGAACACAAAATATTTAGGGGCCAAAAAAAATCTTACAAAGGGCTTGACTTCTGCCACAGAGAGGTTATGGGTGGAGAAAAGAGGAGGGTCAAGCAATCCAAGATAAAGGAATGTGTCAAAGTGTAAGATTTGAAATGATCTAGTTGTTATAAATTATGCAGGTTCTACAGAAAGGCTCTTGTCTGGAGGTGGAAGGCAGGTTGGATGGGAAAAAACCATGAAATCTCAGATCTCTGACAGTGCAGATAATCAGGCAGGTGAGCTTGTTAGAGATTTACTCCTGTCTATTTTACAACCTTCCCCTCTCTCCCTTGTTTCTGTACTGACTCACATTACAAAAACTCTCCAGAACCAGCTTTTGTGTGTTCAGACAACATGTAGTGCATGACAAAATACATCCTGCCTTACTTGAGGGCCAGTGGGACCTAAACAATACAAACTGCATGCCCAGATCTACAGTTAGATCAGCTGGTTCACAGAGATTGCAGCGGAGATACCAGCTTTTGCATTAAACCCAGACAATTAGGGCTGAAGAACGCTCTGAGCCAAAATCCTGTAAAAATAGATCCTACAACCAGACAGACACCGAACCTCTTATGCAAAGTACGTTTGCAAAGAGCATTTCCTTCCCACAGGAGCTGCCAGTCCCTGGCAGCTCAAAAGAACAAGCGCAGAGGTGACAAATCTCGTCTCATATCATGACAAAATACACCCAGCAAGTGAGGAGTATTTTTTTTTTTTCTCAGTGGCGTAACAGCATTTGATGAAGTTCGGCTTTGGCTCCTTCATGCCAAGCATTCAGAACCAGAAACACTTTTATAGATCTGCTGTGCCTTGATAAAACCAGACCCTTTTTTAATTGAACTGTCATCAGCTGGGATCCGCTTTCTTTATCTCACTACACCAACCCTGATGATTCCCTGCAAGGCTTCAGATAAAAAACACACATTTTCCCTCAGCATAAAGAGGGAGGAAAAGAGGCCTCTGACTCACATTGGGGCTCCCAGAAGACATTCTCTTGCTGCAAAAGATACTTTCCTGGGAAAGGGGGTGGGAATTTACTACAATTGAAGGAATCTTCCTCTTTTTATTGCTGACTGCAAGTGGCTTTAACAAATAGTAGAGGTCTCTCTCCTTACTGTCAAATTCACCTTGACCCAAATTTCCCACAATCTCTCCCACAAATTTTTCCAAAAAATTTCCCACAAATATTTCCCAGAGTTTTTTTTCCCATACATTGGTGTTTGCTGAAAATCATAAAATCTCAGGGTGGTTTGGATTGGATCATCTTAAAGTCATGGACAGGGACACCTTTGACTACACCAGGTTGCTCCAAATCCCATCCGGTCTGGCCTTAAACACTTCCAGGGATGGAGCATCCACAACTTCTTGGTTCAACCCATGCCAGGGCCTCACCACCCTCACAGGGATGGGGAATAAGACTGGAAAAGTTAGTTCAGTGTTCTGCAGGGTGAGTTCTCCACTGTGTGAGAGGCACAACTGCACAGGGCTCATGGCTCAATGAGTGTCCCAATTTATCAGGGAGGTATAAGCAACAGTGACAGCAAACGGTGGAGGGGTCCCCATTTCCGTTCTTGCCCCCACTAATTCAGCACTAATTGTGAGTTTTACTGTACATCATTTTGGGTCTCATCACCAGCTACTTGCAAAACACCTGCAGTGAACTGAGAGATTCAGTTCATTGAAAAGTAATAATAGCTAAAATAATGCTCACTGAGCTCCCTCTCTCCTCTGTGTGGAAGGTTGTCAATAAGTTGATTGTCAAGACTTGGGAGCAGCATATGAGCCACAAGAAGGGATAATAAGCAACCCTGAGGCATAAATGTTTCTGCATAAATTACAGAAGAAAATGAACAACAGAATATTTGTTGAAATGAGAAGTACAACATTATGTGTGAGAATCAGTACCCTTGCTTTGCTGAAGTCACAGGGAAAATTTTTTCCTTGCCAAAGGGTGAAAAATCCATGCTCAACAGCAAACCTCTGCCTGATTCAGGAGTAATAACAAAAATCATCTCAAATCAGACCTTGGCTCAGTGTCCCCCTTCTCTGCTCTGCTGGAAATTGTAAAATAACACACAGAAACCGATTAAACACCTTCTATGCACCAACTGCAGTGACCGAGACATACAAAATTACCTGAAACTCATCTTTTATCTGGCTGGAATTGGTCTGTGGATCCAGTCTGCTGATGTTGTAATATATGGATCTGAACTCACAAACTGGAATGGCCGTGTTGCCACAGAGACATGCCTCCAAAATGGCATCATGGACAAACACGTACTGCTCCTGCACAGGAGAGGGGATGAGACGTTAAAATCATATTTAGAATACAGATCATGAAATATCACACTTTTTTCCCCCTTAAATCATGCCCAATATGCATATTTGGCTCTGTTTCACGTGGAGACAAATTACACAGTGTGCTACGTGACAGCTTTGTGAGCATATTTCATCCATCACTGGATGTGAGGTCTCATGTATTCACTTCAAATTTACAAGTAAAATGGGAAGTTGCCACTCTCAGGAACGTCGGGACAAAATGGGGGTGGGCTGAAGAGGAAATCAGGGTGTAAAGCCCTTCTGTTCATAATTGTGAGGCAATGGTCAGGAATGGGCTTCTGATAACATCAAGAGAATCATAGAATTGTTTAGGTTGGAAAAGACCTCTAAGATCATCAAGTCCAACCATTACCCAGCACTGCCAAGCCACAAATCATGTCCCCAAGTACCACATCTCCCTGGCTGTTAAATCCCTCCAGGGATGGGGACTCTACCACATCTGTCCCTGGACAGCCTGCTCCAGGGATTGACAATCTTTTGGTGAAGAAATTTTGCCTAATTTTCCATCTAAACCTCCCCTGGAACAACTGTACGGAGACAACTGTACTAACAGGTCACCTCCATTTATGTCTTCAGAATCCTGGACACTTGGTATTCTGGGTAAAGCTCGTGCCCTGAAGTAAATATTGAAATTCCAACAAAGCTGGAATTCCAACAGCCCTTCTCTGTTCCAGGCTATCGTCCTGTCCCTCAGGAGGGGAAGGCATTAAGGGACAAACATAAAACTAGTGCAGCAGGAGCACAGTTCCACAGAATCTGTGCAGCTGCCAGACACTACATGATGGAGCAGAGCTTGCTTAATCAGCACCCAGAGCTTGAATCAAGGATGTTTTGTTTGTTTAGCTCCAACTGATGTACACGAGGTACTACTGGAGTCTGCAGTGTGCCTATGAATGAGTCATGAGAGGATTTGGGAGCTCTTTTTTCCTACTATGAGAATAAAATCAATCAGCAATGCACAGACCTAAACTTTTAAGGTTTGCCCTCCTGTCTGGGAGGCCGTGAGTGGCTGCCAGTGAATGTGATTCCATGCACATCTAGGGGCATGTTCAGCCACCGAAAGTTCTGCATAATCACAGCACAGAGCAATTGCTGACTTAATGAGTTGCTGGGTTGCTGTGGAGAGGAGAAGCTGACAGAAAAGCAGCACCTCGTGAAGGGAGAGCTGCTGGCACCCACCTCTGTCTGCACCAAATTGACCCTCTGGGACCGCAGCTCTCGCACACAGTTAAAAATGTCCACCACGCCTTCGTTCTCTGCCATGTCGAGCATGATGTCGATGGCAATAAAGCAGCCTGTTCTCCCTGCCCCAGCACTGGAAAAGAGAAAACCAGGAAGGTCTGGGTGACCAAGGGAGCGTGGAGAGGCACGCACACAGCTGTCCTCTCCTGGGAGCTGCTCCCGCTCCCTGTTGGGTTCATTTTTCTGTGTAGCTTAATCAGCTTAGGATTCAAGAGAATGAGGTGAAATAAAATTTGTTGAAAGGGAAATGGACCTAGGTAGCAGAAAGAAAAGCTTTGTGTTACTCAACAGCAACAAAAAATTGTGTAAATGATCATTATGATTTTACAGGTCTGTTCATTTGCACCCCTCTCACCACACAGGATGTGGGAGAGCAGCCTCCAGGTTGCACACAGACACAATTCCAGAGATTTTCTTCCATGGGACTCTTTAAAATGCATGCACACCTTTACTCCAGTGGGTATGATGAAAAGGGCTCAGTCTTCCACCTCAAACATTCCTTGTCCCTTTTTAATCCAGAGGAGTTTGAGTCCTGAGGAGGGTGACTTCAAGTAAAATCACATTGTAAAATCACAGAGGAAGGAGCTCGAGGCTACTCAAACCCTCCAGTTCAGAGCTCCCTGCTGCTTGTGAGAATCGGGCCATCTCCTGCAAAACTGTGTTGTCATCGTGTCCTCCTTCCCTCCCGGGAAATCATCCAAGCTGCTTAGGTGTGAAGGATAGAGAGAGGAGAACGCCTCTTCACATTACTCCCAAGGAAGGAGGAAAACTCTGCTCAAATCAGGGAAACTTCAGCTGCCTGAAAACTCCAGCAGAGCCGAAAGCAAGGAGATATGAATGACCATAAATTAATGGACCAGATTAATCAACTGCTGAATAGAGAGAAGATATTTTTCATTTGCAGAATTTTAATGAATAAGTGGCATTTCCTCTCCCTTTATCTCTCAGCTTTTCAGAATTTTAACAAATAGTTATAACACTTCTATATTTAGAGGATCCTGGCACTTCATAAATATCGAACAGTGATATTATCCAGCCAGGCATCGGTAGGGAGAATTTGGTAATTACCACTTAAAGCAAGTCATTAAAATTCAAAAGCAGATAAATAACACAGAGGAAATGGCATTTATTCATTAAAATGGGAAGGGTGAAAAATCTCTCCTTGCTTTCTTGGTGACAAGGAATCAGGCTGAGACACCTTCCAAAGCATGCCATGGCACCGAGGTAGCAAACTCAGACCCTGAGCTCTAAATGAGTCCCTTCTGCCAGTTCCTCAGGCTTAGCTGTATCTCATTATAAAACTGATTCATTGCTTGCTAAAAAAAACCCATTCCAACCAAATAAAACACCCACCCAATCCAAAACTGTTTTAAAAAGACAAGATTTAATTGATTTTCCTTTTTAAAATAGTCGTGGGATGTGCTCTCTCTCTTTTCCCAAGACACAGTGTGGGAATAGTGGTAATTCCCTGTGGATTGATTAGGGGTGAGATTTTGGGACAGCCAGCCCTGCTCTTCAGGCTTGTCTTCTTTAGATTACACATGCCCTGAGCCCTGCAGATGTAACTGCTGCTACAAACCCAAACTCTGGTTTCATAGCCATGTCTTTCCTCGCATTTAAAGCCACTTAACTCCTTTCATTTACCAGCTGAAAGGCATCGGGCAGGTTTTTAGCCTGACATTCCCATTCCAGCTTCCTGGGCTTTCAGAAAGCCAAGGTGCCCAAGGGCTAGCAGCCAGACTAATATTTCAGATCACAAAATCATAGAATGGTTTGTGTTGGAAGAGACCTTAAAGATCATCTTGTTCCAACTCCCCTGCTGTGGGCAGGGACACCTTTTACTAAAACAGAGAAGACCTTTGATGCTGGTACAAAGCTAAGCTGCAACCCACGTGGCTACAGAGAAGCAAAGCTGCTGTATAATTCTCTTTTTTTTTGGCATTGTCCCTTCTGCCACATGAGGTTTGTTGAGCCTGGAACAGCTGTCCCAGATATTTACCACTTTCCCAGCTCTGCTATGAGCATCTAACAGAGCACAGGACACCAGGGGGTCTTCTACATTTAAAAGGCCCTCTCTGCCCAGTTGGTTACTGCCAGGCAAGAGGAAAAGAGAGGAGAGGAGCTGCAGGGGGAGGGGCTCAGGTGGAGGGCTGGCATACCTGCAGTGCACCACGATGGGTCCTGCTTCGGGGGGGTTGAGGAACTTGACCTGGCGCACGAAGCCCAGCAGGCCCGTGGCGTAGCAGGGCACGCCGTGGTCCGGCCAGCTGGTGAAGTGGAACTGCCGAATCTCTCGGATCTCATGGTAGCCTTTCTGAGGAGACAACACAGCCTCTATTTTTCCTTCCATCGGGCTGCAGTCAGCGTATTCTGATCCCTGCTCCCTTCCCTCACACGGAGGGATAACAAATCATTTTGAAAGCAGGAACGTGGCCGGTCCTGCCTTTCGCTCCAAGAGGTTTTGAGCTGGACTCCAATCGCCAGTGAAGTGAGGACTGTGAAGGTGGATACCAGCTCCCAGTTCAAACCCAGCTCATTAGGCATGTCCAAGGGTGACCTGAGCCCCAGCACACCATGGCTGTGTTTATCCACCTCCCTCGGTGTCATTATAAACCACCCAGAAGTCACCCTTAAATCCTGTTTGAGGCACTGAAGCAGCAGCCTCAGGAATGAACCCCCAGAGAGTGGGCATGTCCCCAGACATGGTACATTTTCTGCAACAAATTCTCCATTGAAGATACTACTGGCAGGGAAAAGGGCAGAAACTGGTACCCACACTCATCACTTGGCTTTTCTGGCGAGACCAGGTTCTTGGTAAGTGACCATTGACACCTCTTGTATATGCCCTGCAAAGGGTAACCCCAAAGTGTTGGTCAGCTGTGACATCTTATCATTCAGGAAATGTGGGTGAAAACCAGCAGCAGGTCCTCTACCCTGTCAGGTTTTGGCATCAGCACTTCTCACCAACTTTTTCAGTGATTTAACGAAATATGGAGCTGATGTATCAGAAAGTTGAAACAATACTCCCAGCGTGGCTGAAGTTCATTTAGCAGGAATTTTGGAAAAGGTTTAAAACCACTTACTGGGTGTTTGGAAACTAATTTGGACAGACCTGGAATACTCCGACACTGAGGCTTCCAATTCTTAATTACAAGTAACAAAATCTTCCAAGTCGTGCCAATTTGGGGATAGTTTTTATACTCTTGCTTTTATTACATTCTCATTTCTGTTCAAAGGGGACCCTACCTGGCATCCAGTTTAACTGGTACCTTTTTTCATCTGCCATTTGCCACTGTGAAACTAGACAGTTATTATTCCTGGCATATCATCAGCTATCTGCTGGCTTTTGGATGCACTTAAACGTCATGCACTGTGGATTCTACTTTTGTGGCTACATCAAGATGTTCCTGTAAAATCATTTGTCCAAAAACGGAATCTCTGTCAAAAATTTAGTTTTCTGAAGTGAAACCTGTCCAAATAGTAACAGCTCCCATCTCCAGGAGCATTCTGGATGTGTTTCCCAGGGTTCCCATTTCTGAACACAAATGAAGTGCTGCATCAAAATTTCAGCTGCCTGAAGACTTCCTTACCTTTTGGACCGTGAATGTCCGTATGACATACTCTGCCAACGGTTCTGTCTCAATCAGTGTGACTTTAATATCTCCATAGACCTCTGTGTCATCTGGCCAGTATCGAACACACTTCACCTGGGGGGAGAAAAAGACAATACTGAGAGGAGCTGGCTCAGCTTGAGTCACAGCTGACCTACATTTTCCTCCACTTTCAAGCTGAACCCAATACAAATTGAGCTTTCTTCTGATGCACAGACCTTGTCAAAATTAGCTGTAGAAATCAGATCAAAATTCCTTTACCAGATATAGAAGCCATAGAGAGGACTTTTTTTTTTTTTTAAATTTGCTCTGTTGTCAATAAAAATGCAAAGGGTGCATTTAGCTCTTTTTTTAGATAGTCTTCCTTGAATTTTCATACACATCCTGCCCATAGATCAGATGTACCTGGCAGTCACTGCCACCACCCCCTTTGAGGAAAATCTGTGCTGGTGCTCTGTAATTCTGAACTCTCTGTTTAACCAAAGAATTTCAGTTGATGGGGATTGTGGGATACTTGTAAATACACTAAATTTGTTTGGCTCTGAGCTGTTTCCATCAGATGTGGACACAAACTCAGCATTTTACCAGCTGTGACAGGCCTCAGCTAAGGCTCAAGAAAAAAATATCCTGAGCAGGTAAACACATCCCAGCTCAGCCAGTTCTGAAAGCCATGTGCAAAACTAACACACTAGAAATAAAAGCTGTGAAGCTCCAGAAGGGATATTTAGGCTAACAAAGACTATCAGGTTATTAAATGCTCTAGCATGAAAGAGTTGAACAGCACCTAAAAGCTGAAGCAATTAGCTGCTGCAAAGCAGGTTTCATGTTCCAGTTCCAGTCATAATTGAAAGGGGTTTATAAATATTAAATATGATTAATGTGGGCTTGTTGTGGGTTTTTGTTGGGTTTTTTTTACACAGAGGCATTTATTTCAAACTGAAGTGTCAGTAGAAGGTAAAATAGAATAAATAACAATAAATGAACAGAAGCAGCTGGCATTCAACCATGAGATCTAAGGGAAAGCATATTTGAATTACTAATGTTTGTGAGGAAACTGTAATTTAATTTTTTTCTTAGTACCAAAGCAATGGAAAGGGACAAACATCAGGACAAAAATTTTAAGAACTCCAGTTTCTGGCTGAGAAAGTCTCTAAACCAAAGAGGCAAGAATATTTTGGGGAAAGCCTCTTCAGACATGTTGCCTTCTTATCTCCTAAAGTCAAGCCTCCACCTTTTGAGTTATCCATGTTTGCTCCCACTGTGGGCTTTGGAAATTGCCTTGTGCTGACACAAGGACTTCTGGTCCACCTGAGAGAGAACTGGTGGGGGTTTAGGATTTGGACTGTCATTTAAAGAAGTCCATTGATAATTTGAGCACAAGCCTCATGTCCTCACCCCTATGGATTTCTAGAAAAGTATTCAAATCATAGGAAAAAGAGTAATTATTACAGAAGTACATTTTTCCTCCTGTACTGAAAAAGGAGAGAGCTTCTGAGCCTGCATAAATTTGTTTAACTCTGCCAAAGCCCAGACTTAGAGCTGGAACATGATCCTTATCAGTCTAGAAGGGAAGCAGTTAAGTATTAGACACTCCAGCATTTTAGGGAAAACTCAGAGTGGCTGAATTAATTTCCTTACTACAGGAGGCAAAAGGCATTTTGCTGCTGAGCTTGACTGAGCAGCAGCATCGTGTTAAACCCAGAGCAGCCCTGGCTTTACACAGTGGGAAAGCGGCACCTTACCCTGCCCACTTCCACCAGGTTGGTGACCATGACAACACTTGCAGAGTTTTCTTGCCAAATCATCCTCCAGAAATCCTTCACTGTCTCTTGCATCGGCCCTGGGGCAGGAGAGAAGACAAAAGGACATCTCAAGACAGTGCAGTGAATGCCAACAATTCTTTCCAGCTGTTCTCCAGCCATTGTCCTGTTCCCACAGGATCCTGCTCTCCCTCTCAGAGCATCCCTCCCTGATTCAGGGTTACAGACACGAACAGCCTGGAGCTCTGTGAGAGCTCAGACCCTTCCTCAGTGGGTATTTAAGGGTATTTAAGTGGGTGTTTCAGGTTCCAGCATTGTGGCAACAGAGGTGCTGGTGGGATGTGGAGATGGAGATGGCTCCAGTAATTGTGTGTAAGCGGTGGGGAATGGATGCACCCTGTGGTGAACCTGTAAATAAGGCTGGATAGAAATTTGCATCTGATGCACCACGAAAATTCTTCCACTTCACACTTTATATTGATTAATTATGAAGGAGGAAGGAAATATGCAGAAATTAGCCCTTTTCTGAAGTTTCCCCAGAAAAAAATTCAGGTTGCAACAGTCAAATAGCCAGTGCTGACAAGAGGTTTATCAGACTAGAGCCTCTCTCTGACCTTCTTTCCTTCCTCCTTCTCCACTGGAGGTGAAATCCTTCTACTGACCCAATTCACACACTGTGCCCATACTCCATCCTCTGCATTCTCTGCCTTCCTGCATCCCTATCCCCATACATCCTCAAATACCAGTTTTGTTCTAATATCTTTCTTTACTCTTTCAAGCCAGCAATAAACCCATAAAGCAGAAATTAAGAATAAATAAAATCATTTCTGCAAACATCACATTTGGGACAAGAATGCCCAAAAATGAGGACAAAGTGGTCATGGCATAGGAGTTGGGCCAGTGATGCAAGAAAACAGCCTCCTGTTGTAAAGTCCAGGAGTAGGGAGGTTTGTAATCTAACATGGATAGTCCTAAGAATTAAATTGGGTTTGTTTTTTATCTATTTTCCTAAAGACATAGGAAATCCATCAACTAACTCACAGAGGTGGTCTTCAAATGCTTTTCCTACTAGTTCCCAGTAACCAAAGGCTCATTAGTCACAGGCTTATTTACATGTCCCACCTCAAGCAATTTTACTCCAGAAGGTAAACCCAGGATCCACAAAGCCCCTTTTAGTTTTAATCTCAATATTTCCTGCACAAAGGACACATTCTAGGTTGTACTGCAACCTCTGAGTCTGTGGCATTTTTGTATTCCTGTAGCCAAGGTTTTACATTTGAGTGCCTTTAAAATCTTGGGACATTCTGTACCCTTCCCTTTTGTACCCCTACAACAAGTTCTCAGATGCTCCCCAAAACAGGTGATGTCACCCTATAAACAACTCCTCAAACAATTTAAAACAGCAGTGGTTTCACAATTATTTGGACATGCAAGAGTGAACTTGCCTTGAGTTGCAATGTAATGGCGAGGCCGGTGGTACCCCTGGAGAAAAAGAAAATACAGAAATGCCTGTGAGATCACAGCTCAGGGAAAGCACTGCATGGATTTGATACTCCCCAGGTACCAACTGCTGCACTCTGACAGGGTATAACTGGTTACTGAACGAATAAAGGGGGGCAACCAGGTTTCCCTGGGAGATTTTAAGTGAGGGTATCTTGCTCAGGCTGAATAATAAGATTTCATTACGCCAAAGAGAAAATTGGAACGGGCATTTTTTAAGCATTTCCTCAAAGAAATGCAAGTCCTGTGATTAACCTGTGGGTAACTCCGAAAGCTGACAGGCAAAACACTGCACCTTGTTGCTTGAAAAGAATAAAGGTATGAATTTGCCTCTGTGTGAAAATGCTGCCTAAGTGTGTTTTTTATCCCTTAAAGAAACTATTCTAAACATTTCATGTTCCTGTGCTTTAGGAAGTGCATGTTCATTTGATCACTGGGTGTGAGAGGGAGGCTGGCTTTCAAATGCTGTTTTGTAACACTAAAAAAAAAGTCAGTCTATTTACGTGCCTTCTGCACTACAACTTTGTAAGTAGTTGGCAAGTCTCAGATACCCACTAATGCTACTGTGAGGGGCTGATACTGATTCCTGCATCCATCATTTAGCCCACATTCCACTTATGTTGGTGGATCTGTCAAACAGAGGAAATCTCCATCTGCCCAGATCGGTCAGACAAAATAAACTGGAGACTGAGAACCTTCTCCCTGTCACAACACGATGTCTGTGTAACGTTCAGCTGTCACTCATATCAGATCAACAGTCTGTCCCTATGTCAGAGGCACCAAATTCCTGAGCAGGCTCGTCACAGGAGTGTTTTGTCACAGTGGGGATGTCCAGGAGCCTTACATCGATGTAATTGGCATTGATGTAGTCAGAGTGAGGGTCCCCATCCAGCAGCTGCAATCTCACTCTTGAGTGATCATCTGAAAGAAGGGAAGGAGAAAAAGTGACAGTAACGATAAATGGGAGTTTCTAAGTGGTTTATGTGCTGATTCCTGCAAATGGGTATTGCAGAAACATAGAATGTCCCAAGTTGGATGGATCATCCCAGTCCAGCTCCTGGCCCTGCACAGGACAACCCCAAGAATCCCATCACGTGCCTAGTAATTGGGTAATTCAATATTTACAATAATAAAAAAAGGAATAACATCACATGCATCCCTGTTCCTGAAAGCCCTTTATGTTGTGTTCAGGATGTAGTGTTTAGATCCTTGAGTCAGTCATGCTCTGTGTTGATTAAATTTACTGCTGTCACCATAATCCTTATGGAGATTTAAGACAGGTCCCAAATGCTGCCTGGTGTGGGAGTCTTGGGACAGATCTTTGCAGGGTGTATCTTCATTACAAAAGCCATTTTCCCACTAGGAAGTTACGACCTCCCTGGCTTCATCTGATCTATGGAAACCGAGGCAAGAGCTAAAACTGGCAAGACCAGGATAAAAATAAATAGGTCACAACAGAGGTATAGAAGATTAAGGTGGGTAAAATGGCAAATGAAACCCTGCAAATAAGAAACGGGGCAACCCAGAAACCTGAAGGAAAATATGAAAGGAAATCAGAGCAACGTTCCTTTACGCAACCCCCAGAACTCACGGCGGCAAAATGGCATCAAGGCAGTGCTGAAAGAAACAACAAAATTAGAAATGTTCATCTTTTAGAGGAGGTTCAAAGTTACTTTAGATAAGGCAATAAAACAGCAGAGATCAATCTTTTCATCTCCCAGCACGCTCCACAGTTCAGACGCAGGAAGGAACTACCCCAGCGGGCAGATTATGTCATGATTTTCCACCAGGGGAATAGTTTGATCTTTCCCTGGAACAGCTGGTGCTGGGCTCTGTCACAGGAGATACTCCTGAGCCAGGCTGCTGATGTGATTTGCTCTGGCAATCCCAGCACTGGTATGAAATTAATTGCAGAACTGCTATCTAAGGGCCAGTTGCTTGGCAGAGGCTCCCGGGTTACAGGGTTCACCGCTGGCCGTGCTGTGCTCATCGCTAAATGATTTTTTAAAAGAAGTATAATATCGAGTCCATTAAGTTTATTTCCTCCCTACCAGCTATATAGACCGTAGCTCTGACAGTAAAGCTTTAATGTTCAGCAGCACTTTGCAAAATACAGGCCCAAGCACGATTTACATTCAATTAAAAGGAATCATAGCAATGAAACATAAAAATACGAGGTGTCATTCTGCAGCAACTCAGTCAAAAAGGGTTTTGGTCGTGACTTAATTAAATGTAGAATCAGATAATAATTGTGAAGACAGATGTTTGGGCAGCTCTGAAACCCAAGACTTGGATATATAATAAATATTCATTCGGTTGTGTAAAGGAATGGTCCTACTCTGTTCGTTCTTTGGGTGAGATTTATGCACCTGAAAAATACAACCTCGTCGCTGTGTTTATGGAATCCCATATTTGCATTCAGAGGAGGTTAGGCAGGTGAATCCATCAGAAGCTCTGTTATATTTGTATTAATAAATATAACCTTTGTGTAGACACGGGGAAGTGAGTACATTTCTCAGAGTGCTGATGTTCCCAATTACCTGCGCTCAAGGCAACTGCACGAGGAGCTGCAGTAAATCATGTGCTTAGACAGACAACAAAAGAATTTATACTTAGAGCAATTCACACAGACAGACAAAGAGCTGATTAAACTGGACATCTGGATGAAATACAGAAAAACTCCCGCAGACAGTTTCACACTTGCAATTCAGGGCAGCAAACTGAGCTTGTTGAGAGTCACAGGGAACAACAGCAAAGAAAAATAAACCCTGGAGGTGATGGCTGGGAGGGGAAACATTTACTGACTCGATGCCACAAGAGAACAACGTTATGGAAGTGTCAACTTACTGCAGCTAAAAATGAGACCAAAAATGCCCCTCATGACAAGTGAAAAGAATCTCAGGTTGATTTCTTGGAGTGAGACAAAGACAATGTCCATGCACAGGGTGTAGCTCAAGTGCTCCAAATAACCCTCGAGGAAGGACCTGCCTCTCTTCATTTAATAGAGACAAACTCCAAAATTAAGTTTCAGCTCTTTGAGCCACTGTTTAGACAGAAACTGAAACCAGGCAGGATGAATATCTCCAGAGGGAGCTGAGTGGGGAAGACCTGAGAAGCAGACTGAGAAGCTTTAGGCATTTCAGACAATTATAGGTAATTATGGATAAAGGAAAGAAGCTCCACAGGTGCAAAAAAGTGTTGTTGGTTTGGGGTTTTCTTAAGCCAAATAAGGGAATCATAAAGGATGAAGAAATGATCATTTGAAAATTAAAGCTATTTATCAAAAAAAAAAAAAAGACATTCAGGTCCAATCATATTTTGGGACCAAATGAGCAATACTTTGCTTTGGAAGGAAAGAATTCAAAATATTTCATTGCATATTTTACAAAAATGAGATTAGCTCCTGAGGGAGATTTATTGCTCTTACAAGTGAGAACAGTGCAGCAGGAAAAAAAAAATCTGTGTATATGCTAAGCACACAAAATATTAATGATATCTTAATGGTGTCTTTAACCTTGTTCAGAAGTTTAGGAGCAGAGTCTGGATAAAACTTCATAAAATAACTCACCTTGTAAACCTCTTCTTTCCATAAAAACCTTTGGTATCTGGCTTTCCTTTTTTTTTTTTTAAGGCAAATTGTCATGCTCTTAGCAGCAAAAATCGTAGGGGTTTTTGCCTACAGATTTTAAAGGCCTTTTTAAAGAACAGCAAATGTCTTCATTATATCTTCTCCCAATGGTTAAAACTTATTTCTGATTCTGTACTTTATTCACTGGACTACACTAGACAAGGTGACCACTTCTTTGTCACACTGCAACGAAAGGTTCACTCAACTCTTCATTAAATTTATCAGACATCATATCCCCAAGTGCTACAAATGGACTCTAAGAAACTTTAAAAATGGAGGGAGAAACAGAACAAAAAATTGCATTCAGGAACCACAGAAATTGGAAATAAGCTTTAACAAATGTATAAATAATTTTATTTCTCCCTGTTTACCATAGTCTGTATGCAAGTTAGCAGAACTCTAAATTTATATGAAGAGTGCTTTGACTGAAAATTGGTCTTAAAACAGATTTCAAAAATGACAAGAATTTCAGTGAAAAGCACGGTGATCCCATTTTAGCACAAAATTGTCACCATTTTAAACTTCTGTCAAAATTCCCATTAGTGATCACTTGAAATATCATGGCAATTTCTCCCCATCTCATTTTGACACCAGCACTGGATTAATCTCACACAACTTTCGCCATCTAAATATTACTCAGCTCGTCTAAATTGGCTGTCAAGGTTCCCCACAGTCAAGGGAGAAATCCAGACGTCTTTTAAAATTACTCAACCCAGTTTCTGGTACAAAAGGATGATTTGCCCTCTCAAGGACACACTGTCCTCCTCTTTTTTCCCCCACTGATCCTGGACTGTGCCTGGAGAGCTGGGTAAGGTGAGGTGGGATAAATCCCATCCTCTCAGGGATCATAAGTCATGGACACTGCACAGACATGCAAGAGTTTAGGCACTACAGGAGAAAGCATGGAATAAAAATGCTTGGAAGATGAAAGATTTCTGTTCTAAATCCAAAATATTGACATGTGAGGCCCTGGCACAGGTTGCCCAGAGAAGCTGTGGCTGCCCCATCCCTGGAAGTGTCCAAGGCCAGGTTGGACGGGGCTTGGAGCAACCTGGGCTAGTGGAAGGTGTCCCTGCCCATGGCAGGGGGTGGAACAAGATGAACTTTTAAGTTCCCTCCCAACCCAAACCATGCTGTGATTCTGTGTAGGGTTTTCAGTGCACTGCCCCTGCATGTCAGCTGAAAGCTCCTTTAATCTCTCTCTTGTTCATCTCTTCCACCAAAAAATTCTCTGATTAATTCACAGTCTTCCAGCCCAAACCATATGGCAGTCAGAGCACGAGGGAAATAAAGCAAATTTCTCTACTGTCCTTTGTCATCAACTCAATAGTTTTTAGTGGAACACCACAAGACTTTAAACCCAGGGTGGCTCAGTGGGGAAGACAAAGGGCCATGAAGTGCTCTCCTATGAGCTGAAGCAAAACACAATCCTATGTCTTTGCATCCTCAGCTCTCATCTGAGAGTTTTTACTCCCCTAAAATATAAAAGCTCTAAATCTGACCAAGATGGGAAGAAATCAAACAGTACCAATGCTCTTATATGGCTTCTGGGTATTTTCTCTTCTATGGAATAGATTCAGCTCAACCCACAAAAGCTCAGCATCCCTCCACTAACAACCACTTTCTGATGACTTTGAAGGCCTCAATATCTAGGCCCTAGAGCAGATTTAAATCATTTTGCTTCAGCACACAGATGGATACACAGCCTTGCCCCCTAAAGACAAACCCTGCATCTCCACAGTTGTCTTTGTGTTTACAAGAGCAAAGCTCGTGGACTCAGTTGATATAACAAAAGGTTTGAGTAGGGCAGCTTATCCCAGCATGGTAGGTCTGGGCCATTGCAGTGCATCTTCCCACCAGCCACAGTGGATTTCTGTGGTCATACAGATCCCAGATCCACTGCTCAGCTCTTACACTTTTCCAAAAACACACCAGTGTTGTGGAAGGCAACCCTGAAAATCTGGGATTTAAAGCATGGCAGAGTTTAGAGTTCTCTTGCCTCTCCTCTCCATGAGCAGATTAGCTCTGAGATTGGTTTGCAAATGAAGAAGAGCAGGTGTTGGGGCTGACAGCACGATGTGGGTTTTCAGAGAGAGGCAGGATGTTAATCCAGCCCTGGGAGAGCAGTGAGCCGAGTAAAACAGTCCTGTAACTGTGCTATTACCCAGAAGGCCAGGAAGACAAGATCTAATCTGCTGTGATTCACTGAGCAGTGCTACTTATTGCAAGGGCTTACAAACCCCCATTTTAACACCAGTCTCTGAAGCAGTTACAGAAGTTAGATCAAAACCTGACTTTGCAGTTCACTCCCCAAAAGGCAGGGGATACACCTTGTTCCAGGAGTGATAAAACAGCAATGGTGGTTAAATAAATAATGTTAATTGCTATCTGCAGCGTTTCACCAAATCAACTGGCAGGAGCAATCAGTGCCTGCTCTGAGTTTCCCCAGCCATTACAATTCCAGCACAACTAAGCAGCTCAGGGTGTAACCATGTTCCCCCCCAGCTCTGCTCAGGCTTTTGCACAGTCTGTACCCAACAGAGCACAATTCATTTTCAGGACATGCCTAGAGGGAACCTCCTTCCTGCTATTCCGAGCTCTGCTTTTGATCCTTTGCTCTGGATCCTGTCACTGCCTTTACTCAGAGATATTGCCCAATGTTGCCCCAGTGTTGCTGGCTCAGCCAGCGACACCGCTGTAATTTCCCAGTGGTTTTACAAAATTATGAATGTTATGCTGCTTCCTGAGGCATCCTCCCTTCATTCTCCCAAGCCTCCTCAACAGAAGCAAGGACTTCACTCCATTTTATCACTATTGCACATTACTAAATTCTCCTTGCTGTCTTTTAGAAGAGCTGTTGTCTCCTCCTCAAACTCTTTGTTCTGATGTCTGAAGTGAAGAAAACCCACTCAGCTTCATTATTCACCTTCAACTTGTCTGCATCCCTCCTCTTTCACTTTGCTTTCCTTATCTGGGCCTTTCCACCCTCTAAACCCCATTCTGAAATATTTCCCAACAGCCCTTCTCACTTGAGCCTCTTTTCTGACATTTTATCCCATGCAGATACTTCTTCCTTAGCACTGATTACATTTTGCATTCCCTTATTCGAGTTCATCACCTCCTATCTGCTCTGCTCCTCTATTTATATTTACAGCTAAAAGGCTCACATCACTCTTCCTTAGACAACAATTCCTATCCCTTTAGATAACACCCCATTTATCTTCCTTGATTTCGCTTCTTAACTTCTCACTGTTCACTTGGAGTTCAACGTTTTCTTTGTGACCACTAAAAGGGATGGTGGCTGTTGCACACAGTCTGGCCTCTTTTCACCTCCACTTTTAAATTATGCCAAGTGCTCCCCCAGGATCACACAGAGGAACAATGTCTTTCACATTTCCTCCCTTATATCACACGATGGCACCTCCACCTTCAACCCAGTGTTTACAGCTGGATGATTCATCTGTCTTAGACTCATTGAATCTCAGTTAATTGTATAGACAGGTAAATTGAGCCTCTGGCTGGAGCTCTCTGCCACGGGAAGCTCACAGGGAGGTGGAGCTTTCAGGCAGCTGAAGTTAAGGGAGACAATTTTCATGCTAATTGTAATACTCCAGTACTGTCACTTCCATTTTCCACACGGAGACAAAAGACTGATGGACTCAGTGACCTGCTCACAACCAGTGCAAAGCCAACAGCAAAGGTGGGATCAGATCAGGGCTCACAAACTTCTGATCTTCATTTCCAGATTTCTTCATCTTTGCCTCAGGGGCTCTGAACTGAGCTGTTCTATACCAGTCCCCCCTGAAAGAACTACATTTCTTTCAAGCCTTAAAAGAGAGGAGATGATCTTTCTTTGCAGTCTAGGTTTAGTTTGGGGTGTGGTTTGGTTTTGTTTGTTTGGTTGTTTTTTGGTTTGTTTGTTTGTTTTTTGGTTTGTTGTTTTTTTTAATTCTTTAGTAAAGTCTATTTGTTCTACAGGAAATATATATTTAACCCGAGGGAAAAAATGCAGTGCAAAATATATCCCTCAGCATGACTTAATTTTGCCTTTATAGTATTCTGTAGATTTATCCAGTCATGAAAATCTATGGCACATTCATTTATATTCTTATTTCCTGTTCTGATGGTCTCAAGCTTGGCTTCTCCAACTTGATGCTGCTCAGCAGCCCTTGAAAAGAATTACTTTTCACACCTCCTCCCTGCAGTCATAAGGAATAATGAAACACTGGGATGAGCTGCCTGGAGAGCCTGTGGAAAGCTCAGACTTGGAGATCAACTTTGGAAGAGGCTTCAGAAATATCTGATAAGAAAGAAGAGAAATTAATCTAATCCTGACTTGGAGAATAAAGCTGACCCAAGTGCCTTTATGGAGTCCTTCCCTGCCCTGCAGTTCTGCAATGTATCAATATTCCAATAACATCAACAATAACTGATCACTGAAAGAAGTAAACAAAGAAGTTTCAGTGCATCTTCAGCTGCCTTATTGAGATTCTGAGGCAGAAGCTGAGCTTGTCCCACCCATCAAACCATCTCTGGGGACAAGCAGCGACTGCTCCACTGGTTCCTGACCAGGAGGAAGGAGAAAATCTGATCTCTGAGCCACATCTAAAAATCTGATCTACCTGCAGCTCCTTTTGTGGCACTGAAAGCTCTGGGATACGTAATAAAACCGGACAGAAAATGGGCATCATCACGTACTGTGAAAATCTCACTAAAGTATTCAGCCCTTAAATCACAAACATGAAGCACAAAGCAAGGCTGATATAAGATGGGTAAAACCCACACAAAGCCATGCAATGATGTTATGCAAAATAATTATAAAACCCCCCATAAAATAGAACAAAGCATGTTCGCCTATAACAAATGGACTGAACCCCTGAACGCTCAGCACTGAAAACCAGATTGCAGTGAGCTCCTCAAACACGCTCCTTCCCACAGCATGCACGTAAAACCTCTCAGGAAGCTCAGTTTAATGTGAATTTACACCTACAGGAGATTATGTTTCCGTATCTGTTCTTATTGCGGTTCTCGTCCTCCTTGGCCGTGTCCCAGGACGCCGTTTGCCCCTCGGGGAGTGCCTGCAAAACAAACAATAGTGGGCTGTTTATAAAGAGCTGCCTTCAGGTGGGTGAAGAGGCTTGAGCAGGACAAAAATAAAGGCACTGAATAATTCAGCAGCTGACCAAGCAAAAGGCTCTTTGAGGAAAGGGTGTCTCCCCTAACACAAAACGTGCAGACCATTTGCATCTCTTGGCTTCTGCCAGCTGAGAATAGTTTTGCTCCTGCTAATTCTCATCTAAAAAGATCAGGGGGATTTGTTTCTGGCTGCACAGTCACAGGTTAACCTCATTTCCCCCTGCAGAACAAGGCTCGTGGAGGTCCCACAGAAATACACCCCTAAGAAAACCCAGCTGGCTGAAACGCAGCGCTCAGCCTTTCACACTGAAGTTGGAAATAGATACAGTGCCTTCACCAATTTCTGTGTTAATAATGGGTGATGCAGTACAATCCAGCAGCTGGTTTACTCTGAGGAAAAATAAAGCAGCTCAGGGTTTTAGATGGTGTGTGAGGAAGAGGGGCAAAAGGAGGTAAAACACGCCAGTGAAGTACGAAAACAAACAGCCATTTTCCTAAAATCTGCTCTTTCAGTTGAGGAAGGATGGGGTAGGGGAAACTGGCAGCACTCAGTGCTACCCTACCTACAGCTTGGCCCTACAACTGCTCTGAACACGCTGGAATGAGCCACTTCCCCCTTGAGACACATGCCAGGGAGGAATTTAAGGCAAAGCCTGGAAAGCAGCAGTTGGCACGGGATGGTGGCTGGAAGATGGTCCTGGGTGAGAAGAACCCCTGAACTGCCTCAATAGTTCTGCCTCCTCCAAGATGTGCTCCCTAACATGATCCTACATCACCAAAACCAACATTATAAATTGTATTATTTCTGCTCCCTGGGGAATTCCGGGGGTCTTATACCCCAATCATTGTAGAATCATATCTGCCTCAGCTAGCAGCTGTGCTAGGAAATGAATTTATATTCATCTTCACAAGCCATCCAGGTCTATTATGTGCCTGAATGCAATAGCAGAGAGGCACAATTAGGATCTACAACACTGACATTACAATTAAACTTAATATGAGCAAACCCCTGGCAGAGCAGATCGCTGTGAATGTCCCCCAGAGGGTTCCAGGACAGCAAATGTCAGGCACTGCAGCATTGCCAGGAGCACTGCTGACAAAGACAGGGACAGCCAGTTCCCATTCAAAAACCCAGGAGAAAGGGTAATAACTCTGTAATTGGGGAGGGCTTTGATCACACATATATATTTCCTTTGCAGACAGTTGTTTCCAAATAGCAGCTCATCTCCCGAGGAAAAACAAACACCCAACCAACAAACCCACACACAACAAAAAAATCCCCCAGTAAAAGAAAAGAGGTGAGGAAGGCCCATTTTCATCTTCAAAGGCTGAGGGAAAAAGGTGTCTTATTTTTCCACTAATATCAAATTACAGCAGGTTGACCAGAGAATGGCAGCAAGGCATGAGGCACCTAATCAGAGCCTGATCTGAAAAGAAAAAGAAATAAAAGAAATAAAAGCAAACCCTTTCTCATGACTTCCACGTGGACTGAGCTATCTTGTCCAGAGAAAACACATTTAGGCCCAATAAATCCCTTTTCAACAAACCATATCCTTTCATGAGATTTGAACATGAAATTCTCCACTGAAATTGATGTTTTTATATTTGCTGATAGAGCCTCCAAAGATTTAAGAGTCTGGGATTTTTCATCTCGTTCAATACCACAGAAATCTCCAGTCTGTGCAGCACAGGCCACCCTTGCAGAGGAGCATCTTCTATCCCTACTTTTATAAACATCAGATGAACAAACTGGGGTAGTTCCATGTACACTGGTTGTACTGCCCAAAGAATTTTCCTACATGATCACTAAAAATGCAGCACCAAGAACTGAAACTGCATTAGAAATAAAGGCAAAAATATCAGTTATAATGGGGCTGCACCCACAAAAAGAGGAGCACACCTAATGCTCTGCTCCTTCAGGTTTTGTTGGTACACTAACTATCTCCATAACTGCAAAAGAGTTACTAATTCTGTTTCTAGCTGCATTATCAGCAATGTTAAATCAGGACAGATCACTCAGGCACTGGTAGTTAATCCATATTTCACAGGAAACGCTCTCCCTTCTTTCTTTGACTTGGTAACAGCAGAATTTCAGCGTTCAAAAAACTATACTTGATTTTTAGGCTTTTTCTACTTCTGAAACTTTCTAAACTCCTTTTAGCTAAGTTTTGTGAAATTTATACTGAAATATCTTCCCACCCGTGGAATTTAGGTTACAGTGAAGCTTTTTAAACTAAATTGATCTAAATTTTAGCTGAAATTACAAGGATAGATCTCTCAGATTCATCTCAATCAAGCTTCCTAAGCACCACGGCCCAAACATGACTGAAGTGTTCCCATTAAATTGAGGCTTACTGCAAGCCAATTTAAATTTCCAATGGATGCATTTAGTTAGTTTGCTGTTTGTTTTTAATTTAAATACGAAAATTTGAATCCTTCATCTGCACTGATCTACCTCAATGCTGCAGTATTGCTGCCAAAGGCAACAACATTCAGTTAAAAGCCTCCCTGTTCATCCCAAATCGTGCCGTGGAGCCCTGGCCCCCTCCCTGCAGTCACTCTCTTCTCAACAGTGGTGGAAAAACTGTTCCCACAACTCTGCTGAGAGCCAGAATTAAAAACTGCATTGGTTAAAAAAAAAAAAAAAATAACCTGAAAAGGTTCATCATAACCTGGATCTGTTCTTTTGACCACAGGAAGATGTGTAGGCAGAAATTAAAGGGTTAAAACCCGGAGGTGACTTCCACGAGCTGAAGAATTTCAATACCAAGATGCTTGAGGAAGGAGCCACAAAATCCAAAATAACTAAACGGTCTCAGTAATGCAGCAGGAGAATGTGCTTTAGTGACATCCTAAATCATAATGGAAAATGAGTTTGGGTAATTAAGCTTATTATCTCCTCAGCCAGTAATTGGTGCTTGCAGTAAGTCTATGGGACTGGTCCCACAGCTCACAACAAATCAGGGCTGATATGTTCTGGAAAAGGAACTGGAGACATTTAAACGAGTCCTGTTTAAATGTTTATGGCTATTCCTAATCCCAAATAGTGCCATCTACACCCCGAGCCGCTGATAAGATTTTTTTTTCCCCTTCTGTTCCACTTGTGCTGAAGAGAAGCAGCAGCCAAAAAAGGTCCAAGTCACACCTTGCCCTCAGGTGCACAGGAAGGCCCAAAATAACCCCCAACCCGGGGAGTGCTGACAGATTCCCACGTTCACACAGTTATCATCCACTTCACACCAGCGCTGACACCTCTTACACAACCACATCCTGCTCCTCATCTCAGCATGGAGCTATCAGAGATGCATGTTGTTGTTTTTTTTTTTTTGGTTGGGATTTTTGTGGTTTTTTTGTTTTGTTTTGTTTTGGTGTTGTTTTTTTTTGTTTTTCCTGGATGCCCTCAGTAAAACACGCTGCCCGTGCCCCACCACGCAGGTGCAGGCAGCCTTTAAACAAATATGGAATGCAATTTCCAGGTTACCGAGCGGAGACGAGAATATACAGAGATAAGAGATTGTCATGTGTGACTGATACGCTCCCTTCAAAGTGATTTTTCATGAGAGTAAAATTATTTGGTAACATGTCACTAAACAGGCTGCAATTTATGCTATCAATTTGCAAAGCAAGTAGAAAATCAGCTCCTTGGAAGAAAAAAAAAAAAAAAGAACATATTTGGAGGCGACAGCGATATTAGCGTCTGAAAACACGTTTTAAAAGAGACATCAAATTCTTTTTAAAGGTTTTTTTATCAGAGCGTTTTTTGCCAAGCCGGGTTTGCAGGCTTTGTGCTCCTGCAGATTCCCAGCTCTCAACCAGCTCAAACCTCCCACCTTCCCGGAGCTTCCTGACATCCTCCCCGCCTTTGCGGCTCTGCTGTTGGGAGCTGAAGTCCCGCCTGCATCCCAAGCTCCAAAGCCCCAATTCCAGCACGGCAAACCGCGGGCAATCACCGCTGATGGAAGGGGGGAACAGCCCGGGGGGTTTGTGAGCTCCCGGCGTTCCCCAGGCTATTCCTCGGAAAGAAAGGAATTATGCAAATCCGTGTAATGTCACCGTCATTATACACGTCTGTAGATGGCACTTCGTGGGGAAAGGCACAACTCGTGGAGCTGAAAGTTGCATTGACATTTTTCATGCTAATGTGCTATTTTGATAATTACCCATGCCAGTGCCAGAAAATTACATATATGCCAGCACCTGTTTTCTTCTTGAGCATCAAGAACTAGATCTTAGGGCATCTGTAACTGGGCTGAATGCAGTTTTGGGTACTGTTCATGGAAATGGGAGGCCGAGGGGGGGGCCTCAGTAAATCTCCTAAGGGAATTATTACCCTTTCTCAATACTAAACACAGTTCTTTATATTGATAGTTTAATTAGCACGCTTGATTATGGGGCAAGAGCGACTAGACCTGGTTAGCATGCAGTTTCCAGAAACACTTGCTATGAAACAGTCTTTGATTCCATCTGATTAAAAAAATGCTCCTGGTGACAACCAGGAAAAGCCTCCCTCTCAATTACAGCAAAGCCCAGCACTGAGGGTACAAACCCCATGGACTCTCACTTGCAGGGTGCAAAAGTGAGCTGTTTTCATTAAGTAACTTATTTTTCACAGCTGTTATGTTATTTTTAAGTAGTTTTAATGCCACTGTGCATATTAATTGCTTATTGCCTTCCCACAGGCTTACTACATTCATTATAATTATCCCTTGCTAGAGCTGAGTCTCACATATGTTTGATGCTATTTCCCTCCTCTGTTTGCTCTGCTTTAAATGTATATTTCTTCTCCAACTCCTCCCCAGTGTTGTGTTTTCTGGTCATTTGGATTATATTCCTGGTCATTCCAGCTTTGGGGGGAAGATGTGGAAGAGAACAAGGGTTGTTTTCATTTTTCCAGCTTACCTTTTACTCCTCTCCTCACACAGATTTGAAAGTGTATTCTGAGCCAGAGGTTTGAGCACACTGGAAAATTCCACCTTCATTTAAGCTGCACAAATTCCTGCCTTTGACTTTACAACTCTGCATTCAGGTCATGGCGCTGTGATTAAATCTGATCAATGGTGAGGGAGTATTTGGAGCTCCCCAAAAGTTCAAGCAAAACCCCTTCCTTTTCCTACAGCTTGGCTTACACTACCCAAGGAAAGCACATCAATAAGGAAGGGACTGTGGCACTCCACGTCCTGCACTGAGTTCAGCACCTGTTAAATATTTACTGTCTGCTCTTTATGGGAGAGAGGGCACATGCTATGGGATGAGCAAAATGTCACCGACTCACTGCTGCAATAAACACCTTGTCTTTGTACCTGAGGGCCACCAAAGGCTGAGAGTGCTGTAAAATCCCGCCCTCATAAACCAAAATAAGAAAGGAAAGGATTAAGAGGGTGAATTAAGAAAAAGAAGCTCTTAAAACACAGTTATCCTCCCTCCCAAGGTTCTGCCCCTCATGGGTGCAACTTCTTGTGAAGAAAGATAACGGACAGGTACCTCCCAAAATGCCAGGCAGTGGAAGGACTGGTTTATTTCCAAGGTCAAGAACACTGGACTTAAAAGAACATTCACCTTCATAGAGTTTCAAACACGGGGCCTGGGGAAAGACACACCCCCTGTTCTTCTCAGGGCTTTTATTATCCCTGGCCCCCCTCTGTGGGGACCTTCAAACATCTCTGCAAGGACTTACCTTTTTCTCACACCAGGGAAAGTTTCTCTGGAATGCAGGAGGAGAAAACATCTAAAACTGTCTCTGGGAAAGGTGCCTCTTCCAGGCAGGAAAGTCTCCCTAAGCGAAATAAGCCCTGATCTCGCCACAAATCTTTCGGGAGGGTCTTCTACCCTTACACTCCTCTGCTCAGTGAGTGAAGGTTCCTCTTACCTCATACTCCTCTTTAAACCCATAGCCCTGTCCCCTCTTCATCTGGGTGATGTGCTGCAGCAGGTCTGCCACGCGGATGGCAGGCTGGAACTGCCCCCGGGGGTAGGACATCTCCACGGGCTCGCAGCTGCGGTACGGGTGGGTCTGGATGGTCAGGGTGGGCTGGGGCATCTCTCCATGGCTGCTGTCTGTTTGAAAGACAGGGAGGCAAAACAAGCTTTCACCACTCTGGTATTTCCAGGCTCATTCTCTGTTTTTAGCTGTTTCTCCACCCCCCGTAGGTTGGGGCAGGCGAAAGGAAGCAAAGAAATAAGTAAGAAACTCACACTATGTAAGTACATATAAATAAGTAAGAAACCAACCAGCCTACATCTGTCTGGAAACTAAATCACACTGGAGTAATTTCTTGTGTCAAGGAGACAAACTGAAAGAGATGGGAACAGTGAACAGCCAGTCAGGCCGCTGAGGACAAAGCACAAGGGTGAGCTCCCCAGAACTCCAACAAAATTACATACCTGTCTTCACAAACCTGCAAAGAGCACAACTGAGAGATACACACAGGTGAGCAAGAGATTCAGGCAGCTTTTGGGGTGCACAGCATGAGATAACTGAAAGGGGCCCAAGTGAGCAGCAAACAAATTATTAGCATTTCAAATAAGCCACATGGGATGCCGGAGGTAAATTAAACTGCTCTGCTAGTTCAGGCCTAAAATTTTATATGCCAATTACAAAGATGGAATATCATCAGAAATAATAAAGCAGCGTAAAAATGTAGTCATCCTGCATGCAGAAATTTAAATTTCAGATGTGTAAACTTAATAGGAAAAGGGTGTTTTTCTGAAAGAAATGGATTTAAAGAAATCTATCACTATGCAGATGGAATTGCAACCTCATATCTCCAGCAAAACTATGTACCCAACAAGATATTCCCAGTGAACTAATAGAAAAGAATTTAAATAATAACTTCAATTACCAAACAATTGATTGTAACAACTTTTAACAACAGGGACTCGGATTAAATGAAAAATTCAGTTTCTCATCTACTAGAGTTGACCAAATTTAAATAGTTGGCCAAATATACCATTGGTTTCTCCTGTGATTACAGGGATCTGAGATGCTCAGGTCCTTCCACACAAACAATTCTTTCTGGTCTTACCCAAAGCCAAGCTTTAGCAAACAAAAAACCTCCCTCCCTCCCTCAGATTGTTGATAAACCCCCCTTAAGCTGGCACACACAGGGCTTGTTCACTGACAAAGAGCTGAAACACCCCCCCTTGTCAGCAACACTGCAGCCGTGTCTTTGAAAGGATAAAGAATAAATAAATCAAATTGCAATTTCAGGGTGATTTTTGTGAGGCAGAAATACGGTCAGAATGCTACTGTAAAAACTGCTCTGCTTGAGAAACCGCTGTGGAGTTGGATCAGGGGCAGTCAGGGCTCCCGTGTCCCTCCTGCAAAGGTGGGCAGGAGCACAGAGCCCTCCTTGGCAGCTGGTGAACCAGTGACATGTCAAAACATGACAAATAACACTTCAGCTGATTTATTGTTAGATTAGGGGGAAGATATGAAGACAGGGATATGCTGTGTTTGGAAGTTGGAGGACTATGAGGAGCAGACAGGAACGCCAGCAGTGGACACTGCTGCTTGATCATCAGTGAGATAAAAACAGCTGGGGGGTGAATTATCACATCCCGCTCTTCTGAAATAAATTAGCACAGTGATCATCTGCTTTGAAGATTAGACTCCTGAATTTAAGGATTTCTAGGTCCCAGGTTCCCTTCAACACAGTCCCATTGCCAGGACACTCAGAGATATACAGGGCTATGGCCCAAGCGAAGCAACCCTCACACACAAACCGCGAATAAATTTGGGATTTAAGGAAGAGTAACATCCAAAGCATTTGTATAATCATCCCTAATGCTCTGACTAATGACAGTGTGAGAACTCTGAACAGAGGGAATTTCAAGGCCTATTAATTCCCCTAGTTGGATTCGCTTTCCCAATGCATCTTTCCTCCCCTATTCCCTATTAACCTCCCGTAATGGGAAGGAGAAGATTTTTATCGCGCACCATTTCCGACAGACGCACTACGCTTAATTTTCCATCATTAGGTTTAATGCAAACCCAATCTCACAATTGGCTTCTCTGAGGAACCTGCAAGTAATGCCACATTTTTATCAGCCCCAATTAAAAAACATGATGAGATCCCTATTCGAGAGGGAGCCTTAAAACTAATGTGTGGTTCTGGAGCTAATACAGGGAGGGCAGAGCGGAGCACAGGCCACCTGTAAAATGTAGCTCAGATCAGCCAGCTCCTTTGCAGGCAATTACTGATTCCTCTCTTCACCAGTCCCTTTAATTCTGCTATACTTGGCTCTCTTCTCAAAGAGATGTATCACAGGGAGACGTGAGAGCCAGGAAAGCGGTGCCTCCTCCTTTCCAGAATGGTTTCTCTCAAAGTAGGTGCTCATGTTATGGGTCTGGAAAAGGAAGAAGGTGCTCAGAAGCAAAGAGGGGTCTGTCTCTGGCCTTTGAGTCTATAGTGACAACTGGTCTCTTTGGTCAGTGAGATAAAAATCGGTACAAACCCCATGGATTGTAGGAACAACTCTTGCAGTATTGTCATAGAGTCACAGAATGGTTTGAGTTGGAAGGGACCTTAAAGATCATCTTGTTCCATGGGCAGGGATACCTTCCACTATCCCAGGTTGCTCCAAACCCCATCCTTGAATGCTTTCAGGGGTGGACAGCTCTTCTGAACAACCTGTGCCAGGGCCTCCCCAGCCTCACAGGGAAGAATGTCAAGTGTGGCCCATAGCATCCCATCTTCTGTGTGCCTCTCACCCAGCCACGTGTTACTGCCTAAAGAAAAGTATCACACAGTCTGGGTCATCCTACACTCAGCCCTGTGACACACAGCTGAAACCAGATCATCACCTCCTCCAGACCTCCATGACAAGCACACCGTGAACATCTTCCAAGCTACCCGTGAGAAAACCCGATCCCAACAACAGCACCAGCTCTGGGCTGCCTGCTGTTGCCACCAGCATTTCATCTGGGCAAAGGGAAGTGCACAGGTGCTTTTAGGGAGACAAACTGCCCTGTGAGAGGCCAGCCTGGAGTTTACATGTTGTGCTGCTAAGGTCTGATGCAAGCAACATATTGTTCCTCCTCCATCTCATCAGCCCGTGGGTCTGGAGCTAAGTGTGGTTAATGAGGTGCTCAGCAAGGCACTGGTACCCTCTCCAAGACGGGCTGTTCACAGCAGTTCTGCGAGCAACTCACATTGCTGGTAGGAGGGGAGGGAGCAGCAAAGTGATCTCTCACTAGGACAGTCAACCCAAAGAGTCTTTAGAGGGCTGGCAGAGGGGCTCTGCTTTTCCTGCAGGTTGCAGCTCTAAAACCACATCTCATTCCTTTCGGCACAATTAGTACTGGAAAAGACAACAACAGATACCAGCAAAGTCAGGCTTGTACTTTAATTGTTGCACTAAAGGCAAGTCAAAGCAATTTTCCACTGTCCCTTTCCTCTGTCAGCTTCTCACAAACATGTCCCTAGTCCCTTGCAGAAGAGGATGACTTTGCAGGACAAATTGACCAAGACTTTTCACTGAATTTTTGGCAGTGCCTCTAAAGCACGTGTGCCTTCCATGAGTTTTCAGTCAGAAAAGCAAGAAAACAGCGCTTTTTTTTGTGGGAAAGTTGCACAAAATAACTCAAATGTTCAGAAATTACTAAACACACAGAATCATGCATCAGGGTTTTCTGGATTATACTTCATATGCACATTGTATTTCTAGTCACATGTCCTCATATTTGTGACAGGAATACACACTATCATATTTCATTGCATACCAAAGATGGAGTACAGTTCCAAAAAAACGATCCAAATTAAAACATTTTAAGATGTGGTGATTCCATTCTGACCCCAAAAGTTGTGGCAATGGTTAATTACCCTTGCTGTCTAAACATTTCCTAATTGCAATCTGATTTTGCTTAGCTTCGATTGCAGGCACTGAATCTTATTATACCTTCTGTTAGATTAAAGAGCCCTCTGAGCATTTGAAATCCTGACCCACGCAGGCACTGATCAAATCACTTCTTCAGATCCTCTTTGATAAAGTAAATCAATTGAGAGCTTCTGAAGTCTCATTAGGGCAGGCTGCTCAGGGTCCTGGTTCCTTCCTAGAACTGTTTCCAATTTTCCACAGTTCCTTTTTGTGCAGCTGTAAATGAGACAGGTGTTCTGCACGTTGCTGGAAACACGCTCGTTATGAGGGGATCATTCCTAGTATTAGCAGCTTGTGATAGCAAGGGCTGTTACCCTTGTTTGTTAACCCTTTTCAGGGCAATACTCTTACTCCCCACACTACGGTGTCCTTTGCCAGCTCAGATGTTTTTGATTTCTGGAAGCTGGCACTTTCATGATTCCCCATCCCTGGAAGTGTTCAAGGCCAGGATGGATGGGATTTGGAGCAACCTGGTCTAGTGGAAGGTGTGTGTCCCTGCCCATGGCAGGGGGTGGAATGAGATGACCTCTGAGGTTCCTTCCAGCCCAAACCATTCTGTGATCAGCCTAAGAGTTCACAGAACACCCTGAATTTTTGTAGAAGACATTAAATTAATGATTCACTGGCTCTCACATAACCAGTCTGATTGGGAGACTTTTCAGGCATCTCAGCTTAGGTGTTTACTGCGTAACTGCAGATGATTAAATTTAACAATGTTGACTTCACCTATTTGTAAACTCTCCCTGCTTATGAAATGGTGCTTTTTGTGACTCTGTTCGCTGGAGAAAATAATCATGAACTTGCTGAACTCAACTCTGAGGTCTTATTTTGCCAAAAGAAACAGAACAGAGTACAGCATGCAGGGGGGAGCTGGAGCAGAGGTCAGTGAGGTGGAATCTTCCCCCATTTGATGAGCAACCCTGAGGGTGAGATACTATTGCCTGCCTACTGCTGCAACACCATTTTGTATTATACACCTTTGTGCTACCCAGACAGGGGAAATAAATATGTTTCTCTCCACAGAAAAAACGATAAACTTCTCCACAGATGTCACAGATAAGATGAAGAGCAGCTGAGAAATTAGATTCCCAGTCTCAAAGTGACTCTGTGTGATCAGAGCCCTGTGCAATATCCCAGTAAGGCTGCTGGGAGGGGACCTGCTCCTCCAGAGCACCTTTGGGGATTAAAGCTTTAGATGCTTTTGTAGTTATCTTGTTTTGCAAACACAGTTAGAGAAATGGATATCTGGACACAGAGTATGATGTTGCCTCCTGATCAGAAAACCAACCTATGCCTCAGACAACTAAAAGTAAAGCTGAACTGATGTGTCATCTTCTATACATGGAGAAGTTTCTTTCAAAACTTCTGCTTTAATAACCACAAATTCCTTCTGTGTCTGAAACGACAGGCCAATCATCTCTGCTTGTATTTTTATTCTCTTAACCTTGGCAAGTGATAAGATGTGGTAAGACGTCCTTTGCACAAAATAAATTATGTTTTGAGTGGTGTTTGTGATGGATTTAATTACACAGAGAGCCAGTCTCTCTATAGTGGGGTAAAGGTTGTCATCTTGACATCTCCTGAGGATGACTCCAGCATGGCTGATACCTCCTGCCCTTACACCAGGGACACGGTGCAAGCTGGAAAAAAATAATTTGCTTTTTTGTGTGCATCAAGGCTTTGTTATATGATAAATATCCAGCTGTAATGTACTATCTACAACACCAACAGTGCTACGGCAAACCAGAGTCAAAACATCACTTATCAAATGATATCAACTGAGCTATGAAAAGCCTTAACAAAAAGCCTTCTGACAGCAGGCTTGACAGAGAACAGAGGATGCACCTTCCATTTCAAATGCTATGAAGAAGCCACATATCCATAATTTTTTTTTTTAAAAAAGTAATTTTCCCCAGGTCCTGGAGATTTTTCAGAATTGCTGGGTTAACACCTTATGCAAGAGCATTCTAATTGTATAAAAACTATTCCACACCTTTTCTTCATCAGTTAGCTTAGAAAAACAAAATCCTGTTAAAGACACGAAGTTGCTTTGGTGAGGTGGGCAAAGATTTGGGTACAAGGGTAACTGCAGCTCCTCAGCTGTGTGGACCTTGCCAAGTCAAATCTCTCTTTGCCTCCTCGGTGAGAAGAAGATGCCAGACTTGCCCACGTTTCAGAGCAATTCATTAGTTACAGCTGAAAAACTATTGGCAGCTTCAAAACACCACATGAAACTAGAAGTCATTAATGGCTGGAAAAGAGAGTTTTCCAAACCACCTGATGTTCTGCAGGCAGCAAGAAATGTTAAGAGAAGTTCAGCTCAGGGGTCCCTACAAGGGTCTGCCCCTTCATTGCACCTTCTGCTGCCAACCTTAGCACAGTGAAATGATGGGAAAAGCTCTCCCACAGATCCTTGCTAGAGGCTGACATGGCCAGGGAGGTTGCAGATACAACTGAACAGGTCAGGCTGTTGATTTCTGAGCTTCCACTGCATGAAAAATATCTCATAATTAAAAGAACCAGTAATGCTGCTACTGCAGTAATATTGGCTTCTTAACATCTCTGAGTTCTTCAAACCAGGTTGTGGTATACCCACAGCAAACTGGTTAAGAATGGACAAAGCCCATCCAAGCTACGTAAGAGTGAAATCCAGGGAAAATTTCTCTGCCTTTCTAAGCACAAGCCAGTTTTTGTGTGAGACTTCGTGACAAACCAGCTGTTTCTGCTTGTTCTGCCCATCTGCAAGGAGCTACAGGGCACTGCAGTCCCCATCCTCTCTGAAGGGCAGCAACTCCTGTTGTGAGGATCCTCATGAGAAGCTGAAATGAGAGCAAGGCTAAATGACCTCACACTGCTGGGAGGTGACAATGGATGCAAGGGAAAGACATGCTGGTTCCCTTGAAGAGACTGCACTGATCAGATCTCCTGAACATCCCCAAGAGCTACTGGCCATGAACACTTTCCTCCAAAAACAACCTCTCAGGTTGTGCTCCCTCCTCTCCAGGTGGACATCTACCTCTTTTATTTCTCAGTGTCAGATATTGAGTTCTCTAGCGAAGGTGTTTGTGCAAAACGTTTAAAATCCAGAGTTGTCCAGGACTGGAAGAGAAAATGACATCACTAGGAACATGCATTACATAAAAAAGGATTAATCAAGCATGGGATAGATAGGGCAGAGGCAAAACCAAAATCCCCTGGATCTTACTATCAACCAATCTTGTTCCAGCCAAGCCTAGGGAGTCATCTACTACTCCAGACACAGAACATTTATGTGCAGAATGTACAACAGATGGGAACAAACAGTACTGAACTGCAGGCAGAGCCCAGAGATGGATATTGGTAGTGGGATGACTGATGTCCCTTTTAAGATATCTTTCTCTTTCCTGGGAATGAATATTAATAAACATCAAAAATTAAACTTATTTTGCTCATACAGCAACATCCAACGTCTGATGAATCTTTCTGAGAAGCCAGAACACCAAGGTTTTAATTTGTCTTCAAGTCACAAGATGGAAATTTCTCCAGTGCCAAGGCATGTTTCACAGCCTGTTAAATTCAGGTGGAACTGGGGTGGTGACCAGTCAGTGTAATTCATGTCTTAAAAGTACTAAATACTTCACATCCCATGAGTAAAGCAGGGAAATCAATCCTTACTCAGATATAGTGGTTAGTAAAAGTTTGAAAGAGTTTTGAATACCTAAGTTAAATTCCTATTTCCTCTTCTTCCTCTCTAAAATTCGGGATTTTAAAGGTTTTGGGGGCTTTTTCTGGCTTTTGCTTTGCCATGAGAAGTACAGATTGAACCTGTTCATTGCTCTCTGAGCTTCAGAAGACAAACTGTGCTGTTCACACCACAATTCTGTCAGGACAGAGAGGGAAAACAGCTCCCCCAAACGATGGTCAGGTTTTCCCAGATGCTGAGTGCAAGACAAAGAAGTTTGGCATCTTTCAGCAAACTGCAGGTCAGGGCCCTGTTTCTGAGGTACAGCCTGGCTTTAGACTTTTTTATTGAGTCTCTGGGAAACGAGAACAAACCTTCTGGAAAATGGACTCCTTTCCCTGCCCACCTCATTCCAAGAGGCCTCATTTGTTGCTGTCAGCTTTTGACAGACACCAGGATGAATGTGTGTGTTGTGGCAGCCCCTCCAAGCCCCTGTGACCAGGCTGTCAGTCTGTAAGCCAAGGAACAGCCACTGGTTGTAATTCCATCCCGCTCTAGCTGTGGCCCTTCAGCGTGTTCTGAGTGATGTTCAAGGCAGTCACTGTAGATTACTGTATCTGGAAGGGAGCATTTACTGCAGATAATCCAAAATGACAGGTCTGATAAACACCACTGTTTAGATTCTGATCAACCACAAATCATCTTTCTGCTTCACAGCCGAGGAATTCATAAATCAGAGAATCAGAATGGTTTGGGGTGGAAAGGAACCTAAAGACCATCTAAGTTCCAGTCCTCTTCCACCAGCCCAGGTTGTTACAAGCCTCGTCCAGCCTGGCCTTGGACACTTCCAGGGATGGGGCAGCCACAGCTTCTCTGGGCAGCCTGTGCCAGGGCCTCCCCACCCTCACAGGGAAGAATTTCTTTTTTAATGTCCAATCTGAACCTGCTCTCTTTTCAGTTTAAAGCCATTCCTCCTTGTCCTGTCACTGCAGGCACTCCCTCATCCCAACTCCCTCTCCAGCTCTCTTGGAACCCCTTTAGGTGCTGGGAGGGGTTTTAAGGTCTCCCTGAAGCCTTCTCTGAACACCCCCAGCTCTTTCCAGCCTGTCTCCTTAAAAAAAGATCCCTTCCAAACCAAACAGTTCTGTGATTCTGTGGTGGCTGCACAGGTACAACCATCTCCATGAGTCAAAACAAGGCTGTGTGTGGGAATTCAGCCCAGAACCCAAATCCCACTCACAAAAAGAAACCCCAAATACTTGTTAGAACTCCTAAACCTTCATTTCTGAACTGTTCTCTCCTTTTTTAAAAACAACAACAAAAAAATATCAATTAATAACAATAATAAAACACAAATGAAACAAAAGCTTTCCAATTAACACACGAACACAGGATTAATTATGATCTTGGAACCCCAACACTTAGCAGTGCTCTCTCCAAGTTACTTTCAGGATACAAGGAGTGTGTTTGCTCTCCAGTGCCATACACCATACCTGTCTTCTTACCTAACAGCGTGGTCGATGGGACAGTGTCTGATGATACTTTGAGATGGAATTCCGTTCACCCACACGACACGGATCAATGGAAACCAACAGAAGATCAACGGGGGGAAAAAAGTTACAGAAAATGAAAACAAGGTTAGCTGTATCTCACACTCAGAAGCCTCAGTCTATAGGTCATATTGGGAAACATAAAAAAAAAAAAAAGCAAAGGAAATTTAGAAGTGAAAGAAAAGTCTGGCACTAGTACCTGAGTAGTAGGAATTCAACATAGATTTGCTCTGAAGGGTTTTGCTTTGGACAGAAAATGAACAAGGAGAGGGTGATGCTAGGTAGGAAAGACATAAGGAAAAGACTTTAGACATATATTAAGAGAGAGAGAGAGAACAGGGAGAATGTTCCTCAAAGAACACAGTAATATGGGATATATAAGGCTTATCAAAATGAATTATATTTTTCATCTCGACATGCATATTACATTTATTACATTGTCATCATGATGGATTTTCTTTAATATAACCACTCCACACCCCAAATATAGTATTATAGTTACTGTAAATCAATATGTTCCTACACAGGATACACATACAGCTACATTCACAGGTCTCTAGTCTAAATATCAATTTTTTTAACCAAAGAAGCAAACTTATGGTTTTATCTCTAGGAGAAATGTTATTAAAAATGACCCCCAAAATACAAACTACACAGAGTCAGTATTAACAGTAAAATAAACCACAAAACCACACAGGCAGGGGAGCAATTTTTTGGTTAAAACAGCACAAGATTACAAGGGACTTGTTCTTCAACCCAGGACTGTTCATAGCAAATCCTATAATCCTTTCCCCTGTGAGTTGGTTTTTTTCAGCAGGACAAGAATCCCTGCCTTTTCCCATTAAAGCAACAGATTTCTCAGGACAAGAATCCACAAATTTCTATATTAATGAAATCAAATATTTCCATATTAATCACACATTTTTGGAAAGGCTCAACATCTTCATGGTAGATTCTTGTCTTGATAGTAAATTTATGAGGTTGGTTTATACCTACAATAGCAAACATGTACATTCTTATGGTAATCCATCATTTTTGAAGGCATATCCTTTTCTTATCACTCTGCATTCACTCTCAGAGTTACAGGCATTTATTTATCTCCTCCTCAGAATGCTGGGAAACAAGCTAATACAAATCTCAGTACATCAGGAAGATGACAGCAGATAACACAGGAAAAACTATTCCACAGCCCAGTGGAAGTAGATAAAACTCAGTGTACATCAAAGTAATTTCAGAAGCAATTTTTGTATCTCTAGAGCAAACACTGCTTAAAAACTTTCAGTTATTCCATGGGGAAAACCAAACAAATCCCTGGTCTAGGGAGTTCCATAAAGTCAGCAGAATTACCTCCTGAGCAGTTTATAATCACCTAGCAAATGAACTTGCTCTCGCTCTGAATTCTCCCAGCATATTTTCAGACTTACACCACTTGAAAACACATTAAAACAACCAAATTTTTCACAGTTCAGTCTGCTGGAGCTCTGCCCCAGCTGCCCAAAGTCAGAAAGCTTCTCTCCTCTGGGGCCTCTTGCTCTGTGTTTGTCAGCCCTTCTCTTACCACACTCAGAACGTGGTCACTTTGGCAGATACATAAAATAAAGATCTAAACAGAGGAATTGGTTTGCCCAGCACCACAGAGCAAGTCAGTGGTCAGGGCTTGGAGCAGGACTGAAGGTTTTCTGGAATTTGGGAGTGTGAAGAACTCACAGGACTTTACTGCCTTTGCAGAACTGCTAAGGATAAATTACTGAGGCAGCTGAAGATAAACACCTCCCTTCAGTGAGTTTGATTAAAAATGTTACCAGCTGAGGTTTATGAAATGAACAAAAAACCTGAAAACCAAGCAAACAAACAAACCAACCCTAAAACAACTCCCCCTCCAAAAAAAATCCCACAAAGAAAACACAACAACTAAAGTTCCCAATACTTTGGAGAACTTATTCCCCAAATCAGTCAGGTAGTGGCTTGTATAATGAGATGTGTACACAGTCCTGCTTCCTAACCAGAGGTTCTTACAAGCACTCAGCTCTGTAATCAAAGGGAACACGTCCAGAGAGGATTTCACATCAGGGTAGAGATTAAGACTTCATTAAAAATTCTCTTTGTATTCCCTGGAGTGGCACGTGAGGCCACACAGATCCCTCTAGTCATGCAGAGTGGTGGAGGCTTCTTCCTATTCTGAAAATTACTCTTCTTTCATTTTTATAAGATTTCTTTTGTGCTAGAAAACCCCAGAAAAATTCCCTGCAAACCAGTGAAAGGGAATTTAGTATATTTTCCTTCTATGCCTTTGATGAAATGTGGGTTTATTTTTTAATTTAAGAACTTTTTTACTAAAGAAAACACCTCACGTTCATGACCCTGTAAGTCCTTGGACTGCATTTAGCAGGTGACCAGACTATGAATGAAAATTGTCTGTGGGGTAGGAGCAAGAACCAGATCTTGCTGTATTTGTCTTTTGTGACTCAGAGCAAATCTAAAGACCTGTGCACGTCACTCATCACGCACCATCGCTGCTGCTTCTGCCATCCCTGGCAAACTGCGCAGGATTCCTGCGTGGTGACAACCCCCTGCTCACCCTTCTGGTCACTGGAGATCCTGGGGGACAGTTTAGACCCACCTTGCCTCCAGTTTGCCATCTTATTTCATATCAACCCTGCACTGACCAATGTCTGCGTGTGACTGTGCTGCTTTGCAGGTGTTCCAGCACACTCCAACACCCAAGGACCTTCATCTACCTCACAGGGATTTAGGAGACATTTTTTTTTTAAAAAGCAAGATACTTGTGGAAATGAACAAGTATGATGAGCCTGCTTCACCTCCACATAATCTCTGAGTAAAACCAGACAAGCTGGAACAGCCACGGACTAATTTACGTTTCAGCAAACACCTTCTCTGATTCCATACGGTGTCAGAGACAGAGGCTGAGTCAAAAAACCTCCTTAATTTAGACCCCTGTATGCATCAATAAAAATCCTGCCTGGATAACAACTAACACTGCAGAATGGAAAGAGGGATGAGGGGCTTTGCTTCAGGCCAGGAAAGATAAATGCCCAATTTTCTACCACTTTCAGCGAGACCTGAGGTCTTGATGTCTCCTCAGAGAAGGAAGGGCTGAGGAGCAGAAGGGCAGCTGTTCATTTTTGATCTCCTTCATGATGTAGAGTACCAGGTAGCACCTTTGAGAGATGCTGGAGGTGACAGAGCAGTGAGACAGGGAAGCCACAGCATGAGAGTGGACAGGGCTCACTCAGGGAGAGCAGAAGTCCTCCTGCCACGGGAGCAGAGCCCTGGCCAAGCTGGAGGGACAATGGGAATAGAAAAGCTTCTATAGGGACTCACTGAATTTCTTCTGTCTGCAAAATTATCAAAATTATTGTGACAGAAAGTAAAAACTGGAGGGAAGGACACAAGCCCTGCAAGGACACATATTCTGGAGAGAAACCTGTCTGCAGATACCTGCAAATTCTATTTACCATTGGGAGGCAAAGAGACAATTTAAGAAGGACTTTGCTGCTTAAGACAGTTGATTTCACCAGCTAGGATGGATAAACCCCAGTAAAACTCTATTAGTTAGCAGGAAGGTTAAGAATTAATCTTATTATGTTATTCCAAAGTAGGCCTGTATAAAAACCCTCAAGTATTAAACTTTATTATGTAATTTTTTTTTCTTTTAAGAAGGGTTTTTACCCATAAAATTTCTGTATCAGCATGTGCACACTACTGCACAGAACTTACCTCCAACACCTCAGCATCCTGGACTTGACAGTCAAAAATTCAGAGAAATCATGAAGGTTTATGAATAATTCTTTCTCATGGATATAAAGATGGAAAAATCCAAAAAGAGTCAGCCCATGACTGACTCAGGCTGTGTTATAGGGGGAGACTGGTAAAATCTGCAGTGATGTCAAACAAGCAAAGGTCTAACTGATTTAAAAAAGAGAAAACCTGGAGGGATGCTTTCTCACCAAATTTGATACAGCATATATTGTATAGTTGCCATTTCAAGTAAATGACTCAGCTGTTTTAATTAGTCTATCAAAATACCAAGGGAAAGAAATGAGGTCACATTTCAAGCCTGTCTCTGGTTGGAAAAAGAATCCCCACACTCTTGAAAATCCAGATTCCGAAGGAAGTGTTAAACACTTCATTTTCCCTGGACATTTCAGCCAAGCTGCCTTGGCTGTTCTGGGGTGGTTGCTGCAGCACTGTCTGCTGCTATCCTGTCTCTCAAAGATATGAAACCCAGACAACTCTTGCTGCCTCCTCGGGAGACAGAGCTACTCAGAGCCTGAGAAAATTAGATCTTGACTGAAGTCAATTTAATATCAGAGAAAAGGGTCCCAAACACCTATTTATCCATCTCAGGGTGTGTTACCCAGAGTGGCAGCAGCAACACATGCAGATGGAATTTGACATGACCTACAGACAGAGGGAAAGGAAGAATTCACTCAGCCTGTCCCACTCAATCTGAGATTACAAGGAATTGGTGTCAGTGATGAAACACATTTTGTACCATGAGCACATCCATGTTAGTAATTAGGGAAAAAACCAGTTCACTGAAGATGCTTAATAAAGAGTTTTAGTACACACTTGAGTTTCAGAGCTGTTCCCTGTCCAAACTAGCAGGCTCAGTGTCAAAAGAAGGACTGACATGCCCAGAGTGTCTAAGTTCATATTTATTTAATATGAAAAAAGTTTACAAATCCACCATGCAATCCACCATGCACTCAGCCTGGATCTAGAGAGGCTAAGGGATGACTTTGTGCTGCTTTACCCACAAAACTCTTTGAGCTACAGAGGTCTGAGTGGTTTACAAGTGTTAACTAAGATCAGCTTTACTGAACTTGTGTGAAGAATAAAGTGAGGACACAGACAAAGGAGGAAATGCTGTCTTTCCATTCCAGTTCTCTAGCCAGGAGACCATGCCTTCTTTCATAACAATTTCATACAGAAAATGTTATTTCATCCTACAAGTCAGCTAAGTGATTTGATTTGACTCTCCTACTCACAAAGGAAAAGATATATCTAAGGAACAAATAAACATGTGCCTCTTTGACTGTCTGATGGAGTTATTAGAACAGACTATAAATTATTCTCAGTAGATTTAGAGCCAGCAGGAATGTTCTCCACCTGTCTAACAGTTAAAACAGGGGCAGTGTCAGAGACATTCCAGATTTCTGTGGAGCTTTTGCAACGATCTCTATCACTGCCATTCCTAACTCCTCAACACTGTGCCCATAGGAATAGGTCCTTTTAAGAACCCAGAGCTCTCCAAGGGGGTCATATCCATTGCAAGCAAGTTAAACTTACTGAATCCATTAACATCTTGGCAGCTGGAAGAAAAAGCTTCTTCATTGTGCACAGCACTGAGTTTGGTGGAGGTCTTGTCAGAAGTAGCCACGGGACCCATCTCCCTCTGTGTGCTGGTCTGAGTCTCCTTCTGCTTCTTGGCCAGCTTCCTTTGGGGTAGTTTGGAGAGGGGAGAAACCAAGGTCAGTTTTCCCTCGTTAAAAACGAAGCAATGACAAAATATTCTGAACAAACCACAGTTATCCCACTCAGTCAGACATGCAGGGCGTTTGACAAACTGCCCGAGAGGAGACCCCACAACTTCTTAATGTAACTGTTGTGGAGCACAACAAGCATCGTGCTGCCAGTCTTTGAGCTCAGCTGGCCCTCCCAGTCACTTATGTTGCACAAACCTGCATCACCCCAGCAGTGGGAGCGCTACCTCATCCTTGGAGAGGGTGGCAGAGGTGCAGCCCCTGGAGAGGGTGAAAACCACTCCAGGAAGAGCAGAGGGCTCGGGATGGGGGCAGTGATCAGCACCACTCACTCGGAGGTGATGGGACATCTGCATCCATCTCATGGGGTGTCTGCACCAGGGGGTTTCTTGGAGTGCTCCAGGGGACCTGTTCTCTGTGCCACCTGAGAGCTGGAGCAGAGTTTTGTCCTGTCCCCATCACGGCAATGAGGGCAGCGGCCTCCGAAATTCTGATACGTGCCCAAACTGCACTGAGGATCCACAGCCAGTGAGGGGTGGGGCAAATTAAAGGCTGAAGCTGTTTTAGAAATGCTCACGTATGCCTGTGCTCCAGGAAAAAAGGTATTTTTTTATTTTTGAGGAGACAGCAAAAACTTTGGCCAAAGCAGAAACGCCGCCTGCTCTGAAAACACGAACAGAGCTGAGAACGAAAGAGGCTCCTCTTTTGCAAACACAGCTAATAATAAGAAAATGGAGAGAAGCAGGAAAAGTGAGCTGCTAAGCTTCCACTGACATTTGACTGCCCTGTGCTTCATTTGTATCAGAGAGCAAAACCCTTTAAAAATGAATGTGTGACATTCTACAATCCACACCTTGAAAAAATATCACACAAATCCCTGGCACCAGCAAAGAGCTTTGCTTACACGACTTCCCTAGATAAGAAAATAAAACAAAATAAAAGGGAGAAAAACAGATTACTGTAAGAAGGAGCTTTAGATTTCTCTCTTTCCTCCGACTCAGAGTAGAAAAAAAAAAAAATCCTAATGACTAAATCGTTGTGCAAAGAGGTTTTTCTTCTCTAAAACTACAGGCTTATGGTAAGTGCTACCTGTCTTTTAAACTTAATTAGATTCTTAAAAAAGATACTCCTTGCAGCATAGTCTAACAGGCTTTATTTATCCACAGAACACGTCAGAGTGGCATTTCCAAGCAAGTTCAAGCACACAGCTGAGCCCCAGCCAGCCTTCAGGAGATGGGCAGCTTGGCCAGTTACACTCGTTTGCAATGAAGGGTCAAAGACATCTAAAACCTTTGCCTGTGTCTGGGGGAAAAAGACTTTTTGAAAGCAAGTGGATAATCCAGATCAGGAGAGCACAGATTTATGGAGAAAGCTCAAATGTTTGCTGCAAACTTTAGAACAAATACATCTGTTTGATCTGCTCCTCCAGCTGGGGTTCAGCCTTTTACAATTAGTGGCTCCAGTCCAAACCCAGAGCTGTTCAAATTGGGTCCGTAACCACAGGGGGCACGTTTAGATCTCCCCACACCCCTGTGGTGCACCCACTTCTGCAGCTGAAGATACAAAGGGAACAGTCCTCGAGTGATGAAGCAAAAAGCTGGTGCTTAATGATGTTAAAAGCTTTGCTTCCAGCGTTGGGCAATGTTAGCACAGAGCTGCAGCCATGGGAGCCCCTATTTTTTGTGCTGTGGTACCTGTGGTAACTACAATAGTCTTGAAGTGTATTAACTCTGCCATGTGGTTCCATAATCCTTCAGATTTGCTAATAGCACATGCCTGTGTGAATTCTTTTGGCAACAGGAATTAAAATCTCTCAGTGTGAAACACTAATCCAAAATGCAAAAGTCCTTAATAACAAGCACTCTGGACTGCTGGGGTGAGCCCCTACAGACAACCACTACTGATGTTTAAAAATGGTGAGTCAAAAAGGGCGACTTCCTTTTTAAATCCAAATGCAATTATTTGTGGCAATTATTATCTGTAAGTCCCCACGGCCTGGTTTTTTTTTTTTTTTCCAGAAATGCCAACAGGCTACAAAGAGCTGGAACTGGCAAACTTGTTTTCTCTTTGAGCAACAACATTTCTGCATGTCCTAGGCAGGAAAAAAATAACCCCAAACCCAAGCCCATTAGTCCCCAAAGGCCTGCTTACAACAGCCCTATGCAAAGGAGTTCTACCTGGTCCTGTAGAAGACAGAGAGGCCCCTAAAACATTGGCTTGAATGCCTAAAAAGAAAAGGTGACATGAGTTTAAAGGTCCCAACCTAACTCGCACACACAAACCAGCCGCCCCTGCGCAGGAGCTCACAGGGGGACCAGAGAACACAAAACGGGTCCTGCACCTGAAAACGCTACAGTTTGCTTTATCAGTTTCCACCTTTCTCCCTCTCTATTCCAAGAATGTAAAACTTCTCCATCTAAATTCAGAGGGAAAAGGAAGACAGATCTCTTTTGAGGATTTCAGAGCTAAGCTTGCCAGACACATCAAGGGGCTCTCGGTTTCTGAACGTGCCTTTTCCGCCGCCGTTCCGTGTCTGGATAGAGTGGCAGCACAGGACTAAGCCTATTTGGTCCTTGCCATCATTATAATTCATAGAAAGGATTAGAAAATCAAATGACTAGCACTTTCCAGAACGTTAGGGATGTGACTTAAACCCGCGGCTAGGTAGAGGTTTATTTCCCAGCGTGTCAAAAATGCCTTAGGAATTGGAAAAGCATTCATCTTAGAAGTGCTGTTTCCAAAAATAGAGATCTCTGTGAATCACCGACAAGCCACATCAGTGACAGGGCTCCTGCTCTCCCCACTGACCGGCCTCCCCTGAACACAGCCCTGCAACGCCCCCACGAAGCTGCTACAGGAGCATTAGTGTCAATCACGGGTGCCCAGAGTGTCCCCAGCACAGCCTGACACCAGGCACCGAGCAGACACTGCCCCACTCATGCATTATGCAGCTGAAAAGGGGAGGAAATAAAGGCCCAGGCAGGTGTTGGAAAGAAGAGTGCCACAATCAACACAGGGCGAAGAGACTGAAATGTCAGCACGGGAGACAGGTGATATTGATGGCTGGGCTACATTTAAGGGTAAGGGGAATGTGTGGAGAAGAAAACAGGAGTCTGTGGATGGTGTTTAGTGGGTTGCCCTTTGCAGGGCTTGTAAATGAAGAGATGATGTTTAGAAGCACTGCACACACATGGGGGGGATGAGACAGAAAGATGCTTGAAGTTGAGTAAAAAAAATGAAATCAGCTGTATAATCAGGCAGCTGGTGGTGACCCCACTAAAGCAAGGATAAAATCAGCAGTGAACCTCAACTTAGTGTGGGTTTTGGAAAAAAAAAATGATGCAGATTTGATTCAGTTAGTTTTTGAAACTTCTACTCCTATCAGAGACTAGACATAAAATCTGAAGCACTACATTAAAATTGCCAGAGTTCCACTTAAACACTCAAGGAATGTAAACTTGGTATTGAGCACAAACCATTTAATGCCATGGGCATTAATCAGAGAGCTCAAGCAATATTTTCTGTTGGAAGTATCTGCAGGATCAGATTCCTGTTTTGCAGAGGTTTGGATAAACGTCAGGGATTATTTTTTAAAACCAGCTTCAAACTCTTCTTTAACTTTTTCTATCAATTCTACATGAATGTTAAAGCTGTAACTGCCACTCCTCCAGAACTCTCATACGTTTACGTTGACAGATTTAATTTTAGATGTTTCCCAGGGATGGATTATATACACTCTAATGTAGATTTGCATGCACAGGTAATTTAGACATTAGGTATAGATCACGTAAGTTAAACGTGAAATTTCCTCCCACAGACACGAATTGCACATTGCCCTCGCTTTCAATAAGCAGTTTCAAAAAGCCACAAAATAAAATTCCTTTTGCAGAACTGTGCATAGTAAACTGCTCGGAGCACGCACGTTGTTTATGATGAAATCTGCAGCAATTTAAGGAAGGCTGTGATGAACCACACAAATACCAGGGAGCACTGGTTAAACACAAGATCTATTGAACGGGATCTCCATCCCCTAAACCTGCAGTAGATCACAAATTCAATTTGGAAGAGCAGTTTCATGCTGGTGTGAAAAACAAGGGAGGGATTGTACATGGCACTACAATCTGCAAGGCCTGGGTGATCCTTTTGCTGTGAGGGAGGATCAGAGAGGGCTCTGCTGCAATACTGCCCTGCAAGTAAGGCTTGAGCCAAAGGGACACTCACAAAGGAGGACAAGAAAGGTAAAGCTGGAAAACATGATCTACAAGCAAAGGCCAAAGGAAATATGGACCCTTAATCTAGAGAAAAGGAAATCAAATAGGGTTGAGAGGTCTTCAAACATATGAAAGGACACCCCAGGGGAGCTGTTCTCACTGTCTGCAGGGGTGAGGGAATAAGTAATAGAGCTCAGCTATGGAAAGGGCAGTTCATTTGAAACTTGGGGACAAATCCATGCAGGAAAAGCTGCCTGTCTCTCAAGTTGACAGGGCAGACAGGCTGTGAAATCTTGGTCACTAAAGATCTGTAAACAGAGCCAGTGGAATGAGAGTTCAGAGCCTTCTGTCACACCAATGCCCGGGCAATCTCCTCTGTGCTCTGATGGTCCTCCTCAAATCTGCACCTCATCACCTGCTCCCCCTGCACTGCCTGCAACCTCAGCAGGGCTGAGGAGCATTCCTGGCCTAAGGAAGGTTATGGCAGGAACACAGGGAGTAAAGGTGGAGTGAAGAGCAAGGACCATTGTTACTTACAGAGCAAACATCACTTGACAAGAGGAAGAGAAGTAATGCAGAGGTAAGTCAATATATGCTGTATTTTGTGCTCAGTGCATACAAACAGAGGGTCTTGAGAAATACGACCCAAGCTTGACCTGATCAAATTAATCACTTTTTCTGGGGACATTTACTTACAACCCTAGAAACTTGACACAAGTCAGAGCTATCCAATATATATAAGCCTGTGCTGGTACTGACAGCCACAAACCCTGCCCCCTGCAAAGTTTAGGCTTGCAATCACCACACAGACACGTTCTAAATAAAATCTCACCTACTTTCTGCATTTTCATTACTTTTTTTTTAATTTGCCTTCATTAGACTGGCATAGCCACTGATTAACAACTCTGTTTTTCCAGCATCTAATGAGAAAAGCATCTTACAAGAATGTTTCTTCTCAAAATCGTGATTTAGCAAGCTGACCTGTGCAGGCAGATCCCACCATCCATGGAAATATATGGAGATATTTCTGTATTAATGTGGTTGCACAGAGGTATGTCTATAAATAAAATAACGGGATTTTTTTTCTCTTCAAATGTCCCACAGACAGTGGAAATAAATTCAGCACAAACTCTGTTATTAAAAAAAAAAAGGCAAGTATAAATTTAGCTTAATGACCTTTTGACAATTTCTTCCAGATTAAACCGCCCAACAATTAAAACTGGTATGAAATTGCATACCAATTGAAGGGGCTTCCTATGTTGTAATAATGTCCACGGAGTTCTGGCCAGTTCAGGGGAAAAGGAAAACAACATCTTGGCCTCTGAGTGCCCTTCTCTTATAAATAACATTAAACTGAGTGCTTGTAACACATACATGAATCTCTATATTTCCAGAAACACTTCCCTGGTCTGATATCGCTCCTGATTAAATTTCATTCTGCAGCCATTACCCAGCCCAGGAGAAAGAAACAAAGCAAAACAAACAACCCACACAGAGAAAACATTTCCATTCCTTTTCCTGGTGAGGAAACAATAAAATCATGATATGAGTTGCTGCAGTTGAAAATCCTGTTGCAAACGAGGTGTTTGTCACTGAACACAAACCCTCCTGTAAAATGGATGAATTGCTGTCTGTGTTTTACAGCTTCAGCCAGGAAAAAAAAAAACCCAAAAGCTTTCAGACGTGGATGGGTTGATATCTTGCACTGACCATCACATTTAAGTGCAAAGGGACAGCCAGCAACTCTGTCCCAACCTTAGGCACCGTTTGTATTGGTGTAAATACAGAGGAACTCCTCTGAAAGGGCTCAGCCATCGCCCTGGGGACAGGGATGCATGGAGTGCACCAGGACAGGAACCCCGAATTCCACAGCTCCCTCCTGCCAGCACAAACACAAGTTCTGTCCCAGGATCTCAAATCATAAGGAACCAGCTTTTGATGGTGGGTAAATGAAGGACACTGCATGATGTCAATCCTGCATGATGAGTTACGAGTTGGGAATTGAGGCCTCCTGAGTTTGTATTTCCACTTAGAGCATATTAAAGACCTTTATGTCCTTCTCTTTCATCCTTTCCTACATGCTGTAGGAAGCTTTCAATCAAGTGTTGCTATACAAAAATCCCGTAACTATGTATACCAAAAATAACTAAAAGAGCTGCTCTTATAAATGAGTATTTTTGACTGCTTTCACCAGAGCTGAAGGTGCTCAACCATCCTACAGTATCAGATTTTAAGCCCTGGATTGCAGCAGAACACAAGACTGGCTAAGGCAGAACTCCAATTACCACAGTGCTATGGCCTGTCTCTGTAAAAACCAGTTACTTATAAGTCTCTGTGACTTTAACAGAATTATCACTAAGAACTGTTTAGAAGAGTTAAGGTTGGGGATTTTGACCTTCTTAACAAGAAGATTTCGGTTCCTAACAAGAAAAAATGCCAGTATAGCAGACGACAAAGAGTTGAGAGGAATAATCTGAAAGTAGACAAGAATTGCTCTAAGAAACACAACTTTGAAGTCCAGAAACTGAAACCAAAAATAAAGTGATGTAGTCCATATGGTCACATTTAAAGGTCTGCCAGCAGATCTAACTGAGAACCTGCTTTTCAGTGCTGGTAACTCATTCAACTGCATTTCGCCTCAGAACTAAAACATTCATACAAAGTCATAGCATGGAAACCAATTCTATTTAAAAAAATATATATACATATTGCTGCTCTTATTTTCACAACATTTCAAATAAACCTGAATCAAACCTCTGCTTATGGGAGGCTGTAGCAATTTCTATCAGCTTTGCTAAGAATTACACAGTCCTTAGCAGCTTCAGATTTTCGTCTGCAATCACTATGAACCACCCTATTTCATGTGGAACTTGAAACTCAATAAAACTTCATTGTTTACTCCTTCATGGGTTCTCCTGATTTCTTCCCTCACTACTGGAATATTCCTTGTGCCTTGACTGTTGCTCAGGAAGAAAAAAATACAACAAAGCTTGGTTTTGCCAGAGCAGGGAAAGGGGCAAATGTCAACGTGAAACCAAATGCTGACACACCCAGCCTGGTGATGGAAATGTTTGTTGTGTGATGGTTACTGACGTGCCACCTCTGCTATCATGATGCTCCAGACAGCAGAGCTCATGGATCCCTGTGGTTGCTCCAGCAGAGCAATCCTCAGCTGACTGTTTAAAACAATGTGGTGCCGCTGTAAAATGGGTCACACAGGGCTCAGAAGTTGATTCATCTTTTTAAATAAATAAATCTCAAAATATAGCAAAGGAGGGAACGTTCTGACCACATGGTGTCTGCTGGAAGAAGACAAAATTGTAATGGAAAACCTGGGACTGAATCTTTCAGGCAGTGGTGCTACTGGTTGCAAGAAAGCAGAGCAGTAAAATATGAGAAGTGTGCAGAAGGGAAGAGGTTGTACCAGGAAATTCAAGCAGCTAGCAGCACCTATGTGTTAAAAGCATCCCCTAGTTAGTTAAACTTCTCTTTAATCTGACTACTTAAGGTCAAATTCCATTCTTAGAGAAGCAGAGTGAGGTCCAGAGGAAATGGAGTTACTCTGCATTTACAGTGACACCACTGGGCAAAGTCAAGGCTCTTGTTGGTGTCCTGAGGCTCCTCTAGTGCTCCAGAGAGTGGGGAAGGTGCCTCTTTCAATAATTTTCTGGTAGGTCGTTGAAAAGTAAGATCCCTCTGACCGTGGTACATAGGGATCATCAGACCTAACTCCTGTCCCTCTGGTTTGGATGTGAAGCAACTCAAGTGAAGAACTCCAGTGGCAGCACATTAACACACTCATCTTGCTCAGCACCCTCCAGGTGTGTCCCCAGACCAAGACAAAGAGTAACTGTAGGAACAGGCAAAGGATGGGGTTGCTGGAGCAGCAGAGCAGGAGGAACTGGCAGGGCAGACAGGGCCCTTTTGACAACTTTGAGGATTTCAGAGCCCTGACAAGGCTGGCAGGTTGCTGCTCCCGGGAAAAGGTGGATGTCAGCGATTCAGCTGCTGCTTCTGAGAGATGGAGAGGGCAGAGCTGTTCCTCTCAGCAGTAACAGCTGCCTGTCCATCCCTCCCAACCCTCTGAGGGCAGCAAAGCATCCAGCTCAGTTCTCCAGGACTCTTTCCTCAGATCATTGATCTAATCCTCTCCTCCTCCTGATCCTCAGACAACTATTATCCCAGCAGAAACAGCTTGGCCCTGATTACTTTCCAGCCCCTCGGTCTTTAGACAACAGATGGCTCTGGAAACACCGATGTGTGAAGCATTTTCATGTGCCTTAACAACTGCCTTAATTATGCAGCATTGTCGTCAGGACTGGACAGGTGATTTGGATCTGAATATTTGAACCACTTCATAATCCAGCCATCTAAACCAACCCTGGGAACCTGGCAACTCCAGGAACAGGGATGTTTGCTGAGAACACATCCAGCTGTAGTTGTCAGAAATCCTACAATTTTTCAAAAGCTTAAATCCATGGCTTCCCAACAACATCTTTCAGGTGTGAATTTCCCTGAAGTCTGGCTATGTACAATGGAATATAAAGAAGGTGCACTTGGGACACTCTGTTATCTGTCCATGAGCATTTATAGAATCATGGAATCATTTATGTTGGAAAAGACCTCAAAGATCATCGAGTCCAACTGTTAACCCAGCACTGGCGGGTCCATCATTAAACCATGTCCCCAAGTGCCACGTCCACGTGTCTTTTAAATGTCCCCAGGAGGGTGACTCCAACACTGCCCTGGGCAGCCTGTGCCAGTGCTGGACAGCCCTTTTGGAGAAGAAATTGTTCCTAATATCCAACCTAAAGAAGAATATTCAATCTGAAGAGCTATAAACCATACCTGACATATGTGTGGACATTAATGTGTTTGCAGGCACAATTACAGGTGTAATGGGAGAACAGGGAGAACATTAACAGTGGGCAACTGAGAAAACTAAACACAAGCTGCTGGAAAGACAAGAATAAATGGAATGGTAAAAACAAACTGGTAAAAGAAAAGAATAACCACAAAGCACAGAACTACCACAGGGTGAGTATGCTCAAGAAACATCATCCCCAGCCAAGTACTTACAAGTAATAGGAGTAGGAATAGGCATTTCTTCTAAATATCGACGGCCAACCAGATGAACAAAATATCCAAAAGGAGAAAAAAAAAGAAAAGCACATGATTAGATTTATAAGAACTCTAGCATTCTTTTTCAATACACAGAAGTATTTGTGCTGGTTTTTTGTACTGAGCTACCATTTGCCTACATTTTTTTTTCAGGAGCTGTATAGGGTGGTGAGTAATAAACACTGAACTGGGGACGGGTTGTGTTTCACTTCTGCTACTGACTTGTGTCACCATGTATAAATCCCCTCACCTCTTTCTTCCCTCACTTTGCCACGGCAGTAACATGGATAATGAGACTTACTTTTGCCTGTTAAGTGCTTTGACATTTTTGAAATGGAAAGAAAGATGTCAGAGCTATTAATATAAATAACAATAAATAGGGAAGCGACAATGTGAGAACACCACAATTTCGGAATATTTAGACAATGAGCAAATTGTCTAATGATAAATCACGCTTCATCAAACTCTGAAATGCAAATAGTTCATTACCAATTCAAGCATCACTCCATATTTAGAGCTGAGCACTGGGGGTATGCACGAGCTTTCTGCGTCACTGTGATTAAGCATTCTCTACCAGAGTTTTTCAACAATTCTCTCCAGAACATTTTGATATGTGTTTGAGCAGCGCCACAAACCGAGCCCTGGCAGTCAGTTAGAACTTAAGAGGTGATGTTTTCTCTTTCATAATTGAAAAAGGGCTCCTAAAAGCTGGTTCACAGGCCAGGGTGTTACAGACCTACCGCCAGGCACAAGGAGTCTCAAAAGTGGCAGCAATGGTCAAGACAGGGGAAAACCAGCAAAACACAAACTTCAATCTACTGCACAACTTTAAATCCAACCCTTGAAGACTCTACAAACACCAGGAATTGCTTAGAAATACAGTTACAGGGTTCAAGTGTTCACCTTCATGGCTGCTCTGAACACAAACTCCATCAGCACGTGTGGGAACCAGACTCAGCACAGCCACTCTGTCCAAAGTCACCCTCTTTGCTGTGCACACACGGGGCACAGGACAGCTCATGAGGATTGAACTGAAGTGACTTGGTTTCCCTGGAGGTGGCCCTTGCTATAAACCTGACTTCTGTTACATTCCAAGCTATTGGAATGGCATGGATTCCAAGGTACACCTGAAGGTATTTTAACATAGTTCTATCATCTCGTGACACCCAGAAATCCCACGTGCCATAGAGTGCACCAAAAAGGTGCAGTGACTGCCACTGAGCTTCACTGGGAAATTCCAAGTCCCCAAACCAGAATTTGTAAAATGAGAGCCCAGAAAGCTGAACCTCCTACACCCCCAAAATCATTCCATTAAAGCAACCCCCCCGAGAGGTCAGGCCAGGTTTCACACAGCGCTATCCACTGCAATTGTTCCCTTCAGCATCTTGCTGTTCTTTCTGCTGCTCTCCTGTCTCGGCCAGGAGACATCTGTGATCACACCAGACCCTCAGCTCTCATTAAAAGCTGCACATCCCTCCAGGCTGCAGAGGAAAGCTCAGAAAGGTTTGCTCCATAAGGATAGAAAATAAAGGCAAACAAAAAGAGGGTTATGTTTAGGAATTGGACAGTCCATTTTGGCTCAAATTCTCCTGAAATATGCAGACTAAAATAAGGACTTCCTAAGGAATATTTCAAAGCTTACTGTGAAAACTGGTCTGAGTTATGGTTCAGTAAAATCATGACCTGGTCCTAGAATGTATGAAAATAACCCAAAACCCCCTGTCTGTGTCCCACCTTAAATATGGACACAGGAGGGACATGGGGCAACAAACATGCAAATACCCCTTTTGCTGATTCTATCCTACAGCTTGGGTATGTTCTGCCCAAGAGGCTTTGGGGTTTTATTTAATTAGTTTAAGGTAACAACCTAAATCCTAATCCAGAACAAGGAGCTGAATTTTCATAGAAGGAAATAATCCTAGACCCTACATAGCCCCAAATCTCCTTTTTTGCTATTGACAGCAGTTTAAAGAACTTATTTACAATGCACCCATGACAGGCTGTCTGATCCTATTTATTCAGCCTTACATTTAAGGGGTCAGTGGAGGCTTTGTCTGCTCAAACACACAAGCCTGAGAAGTGTCACATTCTTCACTCCAGGGACATGCAAGTCACGATCACACCGGAATTAAAACTGTCCAGATGAAATCACAACTGACCAAAATCAAATCCTTTTGGGGGGCAAAGTCAAAGGGTATTTTCTCCTGAGAAGAAGTTTACAAATGCCTTGCTTCAGTTTGTTTTTACTAACCAATCCTGTATTCTCTGTTACACAAATATATTTAACTAATATTAAGGACAAAGGAACAAGGTCCTTAGAGAAATGGAATTGTTTTGACACAACTAAAATGCAGAATTTCAAGATATGTATCTATTAATGAAAGAGTACTGCCTTCTACCAGTAAATTCACTCAAATGGGCACTGATCACCACCCATAAATTAACAGGCTAAATTATCATAGAATCATAGAATGGTTCAAGTTGGAAGGGACCTTAAAGATCATCTCATTTCAATCCCCTGCCATGGGCAGGGACACCTTCCACTAGCCCAGGTTGCTCCAAGCCCTGTCCAACCTGGCCTTGGACACTTCCAGGGATGGGGCAGCCACAGCTTCTCTGGGCAACCTGTGCCAGTGCTTCCCCATCCTCACAGGGAAGGATTTCTTCCTAATACCCAACATAAACTCACTTTCTTTCAGTTTGGAGCCATTCCCCTTGTCCTGTCACTACCTGTCCTTGTAAATAGTTTCTCTCCCTTATGTGGCAGCAATTTGTGTGTCAAACACATATGATGGTGATATTGTGATGTAACTCACGGAGCTACTGGGTTCCCAAAACCAAGAAAACAGATTTTGTAATGGATTTTGATTTTAGATACTGTAAGACAGTCATATTTAAACCATATATATATACACACACACAAGTTTTACACATACTCATACAGAATCTGTAGCAGACTTTAAGTGATCCCAGGTTTCAACTGAAACTTTTAGATAATAAACATGAAGTCAAACCCAAATTTTCCACTGTATAAACATTTCTGACTGGTTTAATTAAATTCACATATCTGACTAAACCCTATAAAACTTTGTCAGCCCCCAGAAATTTGTGAGTTGCAGGAATTTTTGCAATATGGTCTGCTGAAACTATGAGCAGTTGGACTTGCTCATGCCTGGCATCTGAAAGGTTCAAACCAGTGTGCTGCTGATTTGGTGTCTCACAAGAACAAAATGAAGCTTCTGACAATCCCAATGCTCATCTCAAACCAGAGTCTTCCTTTCCTTAGTGCTTCTGTCCTGTCTAATCCATCTCCCTCCCTTATTGTTTGCAGTGGTTGACACAATGCTTCACTGAGGAAATCCACCACTGTGCCTGTTCCCAATGAACTGCAGTGCCCTGCATCGTGAACAAATGTCACTGTGATATTTTCCAGCTCCATTTGAAGACAACATCCCAAGTTTACCTAATTAAATTATTTTTCTGCATTGTTGCCTTGTAAGACTACACAGCTTGTACAGAGAGGAATTGGTCTTAGCACACTGAGAAGGGAACTCTTTTAGAAGTGAGGTTAATGCAAAAGTGGAATGCAAGAGCTTAAGCTCCCAGTGCTTCTGTCTGCAAAACAGAAAGAGAACTTTGTTGTTAAACTCTTCTCTCAGAAGAGCACAAACTTTCAGCTCTGCACCTCCAAAAGTTCCAATCAATTTGCGATCCAAATCAGCTTCTCCTTTCATAAAAGTTGGTCCCAATCCACATTAGTTTACAAATTAAATGAGCCTGACAGGCTTAAGTTCATCTTCAGGGAACACTTGTCCATATGCAGCTCCAAGCCTCAACTGGACGTGACTGCTGGTGCCTGTCCAGGGGAGCCCCAGAACCTGTGGGCTCAGCAGGTCTGAGTGTGGTGCTGCAGGTTTGATACAACCTCCAAAACCCCCTCCTGCACTGTCAGAGCTTCTAAATGGGAAAAGATTTTCAAGTCAGTGAGCCAGTTATTTCTTAGTGTGGATTCCAGTGGGTAACCTTGCAAAGGACAGCAAACTGGCCAAGAGGAATACAGACTGCAGGGATTTTGCCTGTTTGCACTGGGGGCTGGAAACAACACAGGAAAATGTGATTTTTCAGCTCTAGAAATCACAAACAGAGAATTCAGATTTCTAATACACCCACTCACCTCCTTTCTTTTAATATTGAAGGAAGGTGGCTAAGTTTACAGAGCCTATGGCACAGTTCTGTCCATGGGGCATCACACCCAAATTCACCAAATATTGCTGCTTCAGGGACCAGGCCAGTTCCCCAGGAAAACGTGCACTGTCTCAGGGGCAGCTCAGGTCAGCACGAGCTCGGGAACTTCTCTATAGAGCAAGTGGGTCCTCAGTCTCCAACCTCTAGAACCTGCTCTGCATTGTGAGTATTTTTGGTTCTGGGTTTGTCTCTGTGATCTGTGAGATAACTTATGTTGGAACAGCCATGACAGCCAAAACATCAGGAGAATCAAGTGTTGGAAAACTGGTTGGGGTTTAACCTACTAAGTGTTAATGTTGCATAAAGAATTATTAACTGCTGCCTTCTGTAACACAAAAGGAATGTCTGATCTCCCTTTATTTACTCTTCTTTTCGAAACAACAACACTGTAGCCGAAAGGTCCAAGATGGAAGCAAAGCAGAAACTTACCTTCTCTTGATGGTAAGCATTGCTCCCAAGAGGATAATCACAAACATCAGGAGACCAGCTATAACTCCAGCCATTTTTACTGTGCTGTCAACTTGTTTTTCTGGTTCCACTGCATTGGAATTCTGGGTGGAAGCTCCTTAAAAGATGGAGGGAGCGGAAGGAGGAGATAAAAAAAAATAGTTTGTAGGGAAATTGTGCAATGATCCACTTTAAATATTCATTTGAAAGCCTAACAACGTATTTGCAATCAAATTGCAATAGGCAATTGTCCATCTAATCAAATCTGCCTTTAATGAGGGCTAATGACAGATAATTCAGAGCAGTAATCGGGTGTAAAATCCCAGTGTAATGCAAATGATTCTAATATTTTACTATATGATACTGTAATGGGGAATTTACTCTTCTGAAGCACTCAGCATACACCCAGAAACGAGAGAGTAGCAGCTGTAATTTTAGTCTCAAGTGTCTTAAGTGGAGGTGCAATCCTTACTCATCAAAATAATGAATGCAAAAGTTTGCAGTAATATACAATAACAATACCTGCAGACACTTTTTTCCCCCTCTAAAATCAGCACACATCTCTATATCTCCCTGTACTGGAGGCCCATTTTTTGGTGAACATAAAGTTACAATTCTACATGTAACAAGCATTAATCCCAACACACAGAGCACCCTCCACAGAATCCTAGAATAAACACAGAATCCTAGAATGGCTTGGGTGGGAAGGGACCTTCAAGATCATCTCATTCCAGTGCCCCTGCCATGGGCAGGGACACCTTCCACTAGCCCAGGTTGTTCAGAGCTCCATCCAACCTGGCCTTGGACGTTTTTAGGGATGAGGCAGTCACAGCTTCTCAGGGCAACCTGTGCCAGGGCCTGCCCACCCTCACACATCATCTCCAGGTGTGACTTCTCCTGCAGCCCAGGCAAGACAACATAATTTCTATTTTAATTCTTTGGGGTTTTTTAAGAGTAAAGGCTACACACCTAAAAATAAAACATAATTTAGGAACGTTCTTTGCACAGCATTTCCTCTTTTCCTGCCTCATTGTGATCCGATTTTGAGAGTCTTTTCTCCCTGCACTAAGAGCACCTTACAGAATGTTGCCCTCTCTCCTGTTGCTGCTTCCACAGTGCTCATTATACACCTTGGCCCTGCTGACTTCACTGCTTGCTGCACAGAATTTTTCCAGATATAGCTTAAGCCACCGAGCTTGATTTAGAAAGCCCCACAAGATTTGAGTCATGGCTACTCTAAAGACTAAATAAGCCTATCTTCATTATATTCCTGATATACTTAACTACTCCTAAAAATATCACCATTGCAGTGAAGGAAGTTAAATGAATTCATGTTACAGGAGATCACACTCTTATCTTGGGCTTCACCTTTGCTGGGGGAGTCAGCCAAGTCTGCCTCTACAGCTTAAATGCAGTAGGGAAAGGGCATCAAAGGTGAAAGCAGAGGGCTGACATCAGAAGACCATAATGGTTTGCTCTTTTAATAACTCTGTGTTGCTGACCTTCAGGAAAATCTGAATCCCTTTCTGTTCCTGAAGTTGTTGGGGGAGATAAAATTCAACCAAACTCATAGGTTGGTGAGACAGCACAAAGCCTCACTGGGTTATTCTATTGCCTGTTTGGCACACATCAAACTGCACAGGCTTTAAAAGATCTTTATTTGCAAGGATGAATCCCAGTGGTCACCATGATCAAATCAGGGGCGTTGGAGTGAGATGATCTTTAAGGTCCCTCCCACCCCAAACCATTCTATGATTCTATGGTATGATATAGATGATATAGATATAGAATATGATACAGAATCATAAAATACCAATATAGGGCTTTCTGGTATGTTCTGAATAGGGCCTTAGCAGATGGAATTCCAGGGATGAGGATCTTATCTTCAACAAACTGTTATTTTCTCCTCCCATAGTATCCTGAGGAGCACACACAGCACACTGACACCAGAAATGCAAAATTAAGAAAACTCACTGCATGTAGCAATAAAAGAATGATTCCCTTTCTCCTACAGCTAAGCTGGTAATCTGTTCTGCCAGAGCAAAACCCAATATTTACCAAGCAAAAAAATGCTGGCTCTTGGAAACACACATATAATTTTCAGCTTTTTGTCCCTGACAACTCTACTGCTCTGCTGCCTTCACCCATTTGCCCACTGAGTTAAGAGTTCACTGGTAACTTCTGTGCTCACATGTCTGAAATGCCCTAATGGGACTCCTGAGCAGGAAAAAAAATAACCTATCAGTTGCATATTACCATCTTTATTTGACAACATCTCTTACAGTCCTGGAGCAAACCTATCCAAGAGGTGAACTATACACCATCAGACAGGCAATCCTGACACCATCACACAACAAAGTCAACGATAAAGGTACAATTTTTCCCTGAAAATGGCTAAACCTCTATTCATTTGAAGTGAAAGTCAGAACTACTCCAAATTGTCCTTCACTTGAGTTGCAGTTACTCCTATGACCCTAAATAACAGGTGTTGGAGAATGGTTTTTCTACCACAAAGAGCAGTCAGACCCCCCTCATTTTTTAGCATCTGAATACCCCCGTGAAGTGTGAGCCACGTTAAATAAAGAACAAGGTTGTGCTGTCAACTCCATCCTCTAATCCCCTTGATTGGTTTGATTTTGCCAGGCTGTTGCTTGTTACTACAGGCAATGTGTGGTCAGTGTATTTTTATCTGGTATTTCTCATCCCACTGTAGGCTCCTGCAGTCCTGGAAGGAGGATAAAGGCTCATTATCCGTCCTGACACCTCCACACTGCGGTGACTGATTCACTCGAATCTTCTGTGCAGCTCTTTCTATCTGTCTTGGCAAAGGCCAACAATTCCTTTAGGCTACTAGTCCAACCATTTGTAAGTTGTCTCAGCTAATAGTGCCTAGGAATTGAAGATATGACAGTGTCAGCAAATTGCTGGGTCTGGGATCCTTAAAGCCTTGCAATGAAACTACTGCAAAAGCCCATTGTTTTCCTGCAGTTCTGGGATATTTTCCTTGCAGATGCCTCAGTCTCCCCTGGCTGCTCGTACTCCCACCACCAGCTGGAGATAAGAACATTTCTATCCTGGCAGGAGGACATCTGTGAGCTGTTCCTGTCCTTGCAGAAGATGACTTCTGCTGCTCCTGACAGAAATGCTGCTTCAGAATTCAGTTTTCTTTCTCTCCTTTGTGGAGATGCAGGATCTGAAATCCTCTGAGCACAGCAGCCCATAAACACTGCCCAGATGGCAAATTCACACAAATATCTTTTAAATACACTTGGAAGGCTCTGCACTGCTGTACTTGAGGGGCCACCCTCTTCTTTATGAAAAACAATGTTTATATACTGCCGACATTAAAACAAGGAAAATAAACAATAACCATATTTTCTAGTCGCTACTTCCACCACATCTCCTGGAATAAATTGTTCCTTCTAACAGATGCTGGATACTGGAATAATAGGATACAGAACAGGTCAGCACTGTTATTAGTGTGTGTATTTCAGTGGCACCCAGAGCCCCCACTGAGGTCAGGACCCCATTACACTCCACCAACACGAAGTAGGACAATTTTCTGCCCTAAGCTTGCTTTCTTAATAAGGAAGGCAAATAATAGAAGACAGTGCCAGAGAAGTGAAGACTGCAGGTCCCCTGACTCCCTATCTGTGCTTATCTACTACACCAGGCTACTACTTCCAGAGATACACATTTCTGTACTGTACAAAATGCACCATCCCAGAAGCCTGGCCAGCAGCACCAATCTGACTTTTCCAGGCATCAGCATTCACCCAGCTCTCCATTTGTCACTCAGAGCTATTTCAACGTTTTAGTCCTTTCCTACCAATCCAATTTACTTTGTCTCTTCAAAGTTCCCAGATCCAGCATCCTGCAGTGAGACAGAAGGTGTTACAAGAAGCACATTTTTGGGAGAGGCTGTTCTGGTGATGCTGCAGAGAAGCAAAGAGGGCAGAGCAGGGGGAAATGGTTTATTTCCCAGAGTCATCCAGCTCATCAGCCCAGGAGAAGTCAGGTTTATGGATCATCAAGCACTGATGGTTTAATTAAGGTTTTGATTAAGGTCTAATCTGGCCTTTCTGCTTTGGATTCACAGAATCACAGAATCATAAAATATGCTGAGATGGAAGGGACCCATCAGGATCATCAAGTCCAACTACTGGTCTTGCACAGGACACCCCAAGAATCCCATCATGTGCATGAGGGCATTGTCCAAACCCTCCTGGAGCTCTGGCAGCCTTGGTGCTGTGACCACTGCCCTGGGGAGCCTGTTCAGTGCCAACCACCCTCTGGGGGAAAAACAGCTGAGAGAAAGACACCTCGGCAATCTCTCTCCCAGCAATTTATGCATGGATATGTTATTTGAAAATAAGCCACCAGATATAAAGCAACCGTCTCTGTGGAGGTGGCACTCTGAAAAACACCCATGAAAGAATGATTATTGAGTGCACGTAGCTAAGCAGGACTGATAATACAAGTTTCTCCTGTAAAACCTATTTCACAAACTGCAATTTCAAACCTCCTTTAAGCAGCAATTACAGAAATGCATTTAGAAAAATGTAAGTGTTGGGAAAAAGGACTCAAAAGAGCCATAAGCAGGAGGAAAAGTCAGGAATTTGTGTAAGATTTCCAGGTGGTGAGGCAGAGAACGAGGTCCTGTGATGGAGGTGGTGCCACAGTCACTGGTAGCTGTGGCTGTGGGCAGGAGAGAGGAGCATCCCAAAGCAGAACAGGAGAAGAAAAAGCAAATAAAATGGCTCTAAGGACAGAAGGGTCAAGAAAAGGGCAGTGCAAGTATACAGGAGAGAGGGACAAAGTGAGAGATGCAACACAAGCATTGGTTCAGCCTCCAGGTCCAGGAAAGACCCAGCAAGGGGACAAGTCTGGCACAGGTGAGGTTTGGTTTCAGATTTGTGACACCTAAGAACACAGCCTTTTCAGACAGAAACCCACTCGTGGAACAAAAACCAATCACAAAAAAAATTACTTCAAAGCATTATTTAACCCAGAAAAATTAATGAAAAATATTGGGTTCACAGTCATTAAAATGAACTGTTCAATCAGAATGATTTCTTTGCAGCACATAATGGCCAGGCTGCACACTGAATGTAAAATCTCCTAATAGACCTAGAGGCTTATATTCAAAAGACAGCTATTCTCAAATCACTTGTAAACACGATTTCCTTTATTTATTTTTTTATGGTGCTTTCTGTGTGAGCGGCCTACAAATGATTCCAGCATCTCTGCTCGTAGAAATGTTTCTCCTCGTGTTTTCAGAGCCTGATAATATCTATACCTGTGGAGCACAGCCTGACAAGCAGACACCAGGCCAGACAGGTACCTCCAAGAATGATAACACTGAGATAAAGGTGGGAAAGCACCATTTTATATCCTAATCTGGAATACCAAGCAGCAGCCCCGGGCAGCAGCTGACCAGCACAAAACTGTGCACAAAGCCCATGTTTCTGTGAATCATGAGCCAACAGTGAAACAGCTCGTCAAATCTGAAAGCCACATTCCACTTTGGCTATTTCTTTGTTGTAATTCGTTAAAGAAATGAGCACCACAAAGAGCATCACTACATGTTACATCACTACACCGGTTTGCCTCCTCCAGTCGCTGAAGACTGCAAACAGCACAGGTTTAAAACCACAATGAGACAACGAGACATACTCATTTCTTCAGCAAAGCTCAAAAAGAGGGGAAAGGATGATGAGAGGCAAAAGCTTACAACCATATTCAAAGCAGAGAGAGAAGCAAAACAAAGCAGTCCAGGAGAGAAAGACAGACCAGAATTCGGATGAGGGATTTTTCAAGCTCACAGGTTGAATCTGTGGGAGGGTGAAGGTAAATACACAGCGAGGAATCAAGATCAGAATTACTAAACTGGATGAGAATTAAAAAATAGCACTAAGAGAATAATTGATTCTGGAGATTCCAGGCAAATCCACCTCAAAGGCTTTTCTTTTCTCCTCTGTTTTCTCCTCTATGTTCAGAACAGAAGCACACAATTTGTGCTAAAGGCAGATATATCGTCCCCAAGAATGAGAAGGGTTATTACATTTGCTTGAAAGAAGAGATCAGCTAAAGAGCAGCTGCTGTGATGACAACAAGTGATGGGATGGTTCGGGGGTGAGAGCAGGCTCCTATTTTAGCTCCCCACTTTTGCAGAGTTATTTAGAAACTAGCTCAATATTATAAAAATGGAAAGCAAGCAAAACCCCCATTATCACAAGTTCAAATTGACAGATGTGACTTAATTTTTGTGGGGTCCAAAACAGACACAGGGAGATCAATCTTTTGACTGATACGTGTGAAAACTTCACAGGGCATGACCACGTTGTGGGCATATAACACACTCATCACACCCTATTAACAAAAACTAATTAACCTTTGCATTAGTCAGTCCCCTCCAAGAAGTTACCCTGATCTCATCATGATTATAATTCAAAATCCACACCCACACCAGCTGCAGAAGCTGCAAAACCAGTGAGCAAAGTCAAGGGGTGGGTAGGACACAAATACTGAAATAAAACCACCTTTCGAACCTGACTGGTCAAAGGTGTTCCAAGTACCACAGTGGCCTACAAAAACCTACAGAAACCTACAAAAACCATGCCTGGTGAGGCTTCACCCCTGGGCTGAGTGAGCAGCATGCAAAGGAGGGCTCTGAGCCTCTCCCAGCGAGCAGGAGTCAGCTGGGCAGCGTGTCAGGGAGTCTGGACACGCTCTGCGTGTGCTGCATGAAACACCAGGAGCCTCCTGGACTCTGCCAAGTGGAAGCAGCACTTTCAGGCATGCCTGGAATGAAGACTTTTCTTTTCCTCTACAGTAATGCTACAAAGCAGTGTCTGTCACACCTGCCTCTCTCCTGATGTTATCACAGATCCTGATATTACCTGGAGTTTTTAAATGTCCAGTTCCTGGAAGAAGAAGCTCAGGCATTAATATTAACCCTGTCTCTTCTCCCCTTCTCTCCAGCTGCTTATTTTAATTGAGGAGACCAAGATTTGGGTCTGGCAGTGCAGCAGAGCTCTGGAGTAGAAAATGTTCTCTAGAAACTGGGCTGGAGTTACCAAATCCAGTTCACTGTGGCCTCATCCAGCTCTAGACCAGGTTCTGCACTAATTTAAATCTCCCTGGGAAGAGGAAGCCCTTAAAGGTGACATTTTAAATCCCTCTAAGTAAGTCTTGCTACCAAATTCACTGAAAATAAAGATGCTCACTGGGTTAATTTGCTATCCATGTGCCAGGAAGTTTGATTTATCTCCCAGTGAAGTATATTTTTCAGTAAGAGCAACATAAGTGTGTCTTTTATTAACAGCTGTGTATGGTGATACACAAAACTTGTGCTAAAAAATAACTTTTAGAACGCAGAGATTCGTTCAGGGGAAAAAACAACTGAACATTTTCATGCATTCAACTTAAAAAGTGTGATAAACCCCTCTGAAATAAATAGCACAAAACAGAATAAACCTGTCAAAGGAATAACATTCCAGTGTATTAGAAGACAAAATGCAATAACAAACAGATTTGAAGTGGGATTAGATCTGTTTAAAAAATACATTATCTGTCTACAAACCCAGACTGTATTTCAGAAAACAAAAGGAAGCCTCTTCAATGAATTTGAGGGACCAGGAGCTATTAAATGAACAGTTTTCACATGCAGCCAAACCATGTGTGAACAGGAGGAACATTTTCCCTCCTCATTTTCCACTGATTCCTTGCAGTCTCCCCCCCGCCCCAAGATTTTCCTGGACATTTTAGACCCAAACTCTTAAATGAGGTCTCAAGACTGCCCCAGGAAGTTTCCTTCTTCCAGTGCTACCAAAAAGCAGGACCTTTTTGAACCATTTGAACTTCACAGTGATCCCAGCACTTTTTTGCCCCTGTATCATCACAGCTGTCCTGAAGTGTAGCTGAAAAAACTGTTGGGTGAGGACGTCATAACTAGACAGGAATAATCATGCAGCACTGGGAGAAGAACAGGAACATTCCTACAGGAGTGTAATCCATCTCAAAACTGAAAAACCAACCCCTCCTTTCCCCTCCCTGTCCCATTAATCACATGTAACGCTGCCACATCCCAGTCAGTCATTCTGTGCTCATCAGGCCAAAGTAGAAAAAACTATTTCCCACAAGCTGATGGGATTTCCTCTCTATATTTAAATTTTCTCTACATATTCAAATTTAATGGTACTGGTCCCAGTGTTACACATGATGGGGCAAGCTGATGACACAGGGACCTCCAGGTTCAATCTGATGGAACCACAAAACCCTTGAGAAGCTCCAAACATCCCCACCTGGGATCTGTGAGCAACTTTACGTGGTGCTGCTGAGGCTCAATCCTGCAGCACCTCTGACTCCAGCAGCAGTTTCTACACAGAGGGCTTACAGAACCAAGCTTTCATTTTCCTGCCATATTTCTTCAACAGCAGCACTCAGCTGTCTAAGAATAAGTGGCATCAGCCCCAGCAAATTCTGGAGCTACTTTAATTGAAGATGCAGCTCAGCTGCATGCACGCCCAGGGGGATATTCAACCTCTGCAGAGGGGGATCTGTGGGGCTCTTCCACCACACCCAAGTGCTCCTGGGAAGATTTAAATGGTTTGATCCCCCCAGCTGACCCTCAGCACAAGCCAACATCCACCTTGGAGCTGAAGGAGTGACATATAAGGACTGTCCCCTTTTATACTGTATTGGAGCAATTATGAAAGTATTTTTCCCATGCAAAACAAATATGAAACAAGAAGTCATGAAGCTGCTCAGACCTCTGGAAGGTTGACCAGTTTTCCTTCTCCTGAACTGATAATCACCTGTGCTCAAGAGGCTGGGCGGGTTTCGTGTGGTCACCTCTTGTCTACCTATTACTGCTAAAAACAAGCAAAATGGTTCCCAGGCAGCATGCACAGAAAAAAAAACAAAAAAGGACAAAAATAAAAATGTACCTCATAATGATTATTATAGTTCCATTCTTTCATTTGCAAGAACTCACATTTTAAAGAAAGAAGAAATGAGTATCAGGAGATAAGGAACCATTAATGAGCCCTCTGCCTTGGTTTCAATTACACTGTGAAATTAATTTAATGCACTTTAAGAATATAAGAGGTAATCGCTCCCTCTTGGTAAGAGGTTGCAATTTTCTCTAATAAAATGTCAATATAAATATGTTGCTTTAAGACAGGGAGAACAAGTCAGTTAATTCAGAAAGAATGGGACATATTAAAACAAATGCTATCAAGGAAACCAAATGGCAAAACCAATAAATAAACTGCCTGAATGAAAACTGTATGGCAGAGAGCTGGTAAATTGGGGTTTAATTAGAAACTTATTTTTAAAGAGCGTTTTATGCTAATGAGATGCATCCAAGTGACTAATGCTGTGAAAGATGACATTACTCCAGTAATTTAAAAAAAGAGGAGTAGCCCATGTGAGGAGGGAAGTGGCAAGAAATCCGAGAGCAATGAATCTGAAAATAAATACATATGTAGATACAAAAGGTTAATAATGCTTGTGGATTTCAAACATGCTGGCAAAGTGTGGGATGGGCTGCACAGACTGGACAAACGCAGGGAGCTTTCTGATGGATCGTCAAATGGCACCACAGCAAAGGCTGACAGGGAGTCCCTGCCACCAGCCCTTCCCACAGGCATCAGCCAACTCCTGTATGGAAGCACTGGATGGAAGGAAAGGAGCTCACAGATGTGCTACCCCATGTCTACAAAACACGTCCTGACCCAGCTGAGGATCTACCAGCCCTGCTTTGAAGGATTCCATGACCTGATGCTCTGAAATGCTGACCCTGTCCCCACCTCCTGACATTTCATAACCCCATACAGAAAGATTTGAGAGCTTTTCCTTGCTACCACAAGAACCACATTCATCTAACCAGAAGCAGCACACAAGGAACCATGCAGAGGGTGAAGCCCCAGGGAGCTGGGAAGCAGCTCCTGTGTGGGGCGAACTGGAAAGGGGTCGATCTGAACAGCCTATTTCTTGCTAAAAGAGCAAAGAAAACTGGGAAACCTCCAAAACTTCCTGTAATGGACTAAAACTCTTTTTAAAGAGCTCTCTGCTTTCATTTCCTTGGAGTTGAGGCAATGGGACATACAAAGCAAATTGGCTCCCAGGCTGCTGGAGGAGCGGAACAGCCTCGTGTGTCTCTCCAGTAATTAAAGCGACTCAGCTTCTGAACAGGTGCCTTGCAGCAACACCCAAGATGTGTTATAATCCCCCAGTAACACATGCCTAACACATTTCACTGCCTAATTACTCCCACACTCACGTTTAGTGCCCTTGTTAATCCAGCACTTCAAGAGAATACTTGCCTTGCTTAAACACGTCTCGATCCTAATCTTCCTGTCACTGGTGTAAATCAGGACCCATTTCACTAGTGTTAATGGAGCTGCTGCAGTGTCAAAAGTCTAGGAATGGAAAAATTAGGCCTAGATCCCAAATGAACATTTAGTCTGGCACTAGAAGTATGTATTTATTTTCTTGCACCAAAACAAAATATGTTTTTTTCTCTGGTACCAACTCAAAGCAGAGCTTTTAAGAGCTGTCAATGCCATGATTAATCCTGATTCCAAATAAGGTGGTTTTTCTCCCCAGATTCCTATAAAGACATCACAGTGGTATCCTCACTAGCAGCTCTCTTGGTTTTGTTCAAGGCAGACTACAGGTTTGCTCATTGTATCCTCAGCAAGACAGCAATGCAAATAAAGGTGAATGCAGGGCAATGCCATTAAGGATAATCAATATAATGAGCAGACAGCAGACAGCACAGACACAGTAGGGCATCTAGAACATCCCAGAAACCAGCCTTTGATCAGGACACAAGGTAATTACAGTTTTGGGGGTGTCTCTGTGCATTGCCACACAGCAGAGAGAGGGCAGATACGACCCCCCTCTTTCAGGGGCTGGGATGGGCAGTGCCTGAGTCCTTCTGTTTATAGGGAGTTAATGTATGGTGGGAATTCAGCCTCATGACAGAGGGAAATCTGAAACTACGGGAAAGCTCTGAACCACACTGCTCAGCTATTGCTCAGCTGCTGACACTGCCCAGGTGGCAGCAATGGCAGGGACTGTTCTCAGCACCACAAATCCACTTGGGATGCTGCCGTGCTTGGGAGCTGCAACCAGCACTGCCCCTCTGAAGAGCCCAAACCGCATAAAATCAGCCCCAGCTGGATATTCCAGTGTCCATGCTAATGGTCAGGCTCTGAGAAGTACAACATTGCAAATTCAGAGTGAGGACAAGAGGAAAAGAAAAGGAATTTGCACAGAGATTTCTGCACTCCACGTACAGGAATAAGATATCTGCCCATAAATCAAAAGTGATATGAATTGAGACAGCGACAACAAACACTAGAACTGCCATCATTTCTTGTCCTTTTCCATTCATGTCAACAAAGAAAAATCCTCAAGAATAATATGACCAAAAAGCAGTGGCTTTAGACATCCTCAGGCTCTACACATCTCTTTTGTATCTCTTATTAAATTAACACTAGCAAGAGATAATTTTTAAAAAAAGATGCAGTATTCAGAAACAACAGAATGAGGGTGGCTTATTGACTCTTCCTGTGACCTAACAGGTTAATGAAAACTAAATCAGTTTGCAGAAGACAACAGAAGGTCAAACACTTTGGGGACACTTTTCTCAGGTACCCAAATCAGACAGTGCAAACCAAAAACCCAGAATGGGATTTTCCAAGCTATGTAAGTTTTTATTTCCCCTTGAACAGTCACAGAGCAAATATCTTTCCTGACAGCATGACAACATTCTTCCACCAGCTCCAGAGAAACAAATGAGTGAAACAGGAAGAACTACAGGTTTCCAAAAATTAATTAATCCAGTATCTCTGATCTCAGGAGGAGACTTCTAGTCATGCTTTTGGAAAACCTTGTGGAGCCACATTTCACCCATTCTTGTCTTAGTTCTGCTCTTGCCCTTTCTACCACCAGAAAGCCAAAACCAGGTATTTGAAATGGTCACACCACTACCAGCTGGAAAAGCTGAGAGGAAGGAGACACATAGACTGAGACACACAGAATGTTTGTAACCCAGAGAATGAATTGAATTAAAGATTTTACAGGGAACTTTTAAAAAGGAAAGGAACAAGAGGATATGGGGAACACCAGAGCCACAGATGAGAAGGAGAAAGGGGAGAAATGGCTCATCCTCCTTATGTTTCAGTGGTGACACAACTTCTTACAGCCCCACCAGTTTGTGTACTGGGTCTCAGCAGCGGAAAACAGCTGCACAGGTGGGGACTTCATGCAGCACCTGCCATCCCAGGGCACAGCTTTCTGAGACAGCCTGGCATGTCTCCATAGGAAGACAGATAAAGCCCTTTTCTGCTACCCAGCAAAATGATAGATGGGGCTTCTCTGCAAGTGCAGGTGCAGAAGGGATCAGCAGAAAGTGCCTTGAAGTCATCAACTTCAGCCACAAATCACAAAGGAGCGAAAGGAATGGGAAAAATGGGCTGGTGCCTCAAAGGATTTCTGGGTTCCTGCCAATTTGGGTGAACTGTCAAAAGCCTCCACAGGCAGCAATGCAGGTGCTTCACATTCCAGCAAGGCAGCAAGAGCACAAGCTGGCAACCCTAAGTTTTGGAACTGGAGAGTCACTTGTAGCACAGCCCATGGCAAATCACCCCAGCATCTCCTTACAGCTCATTTTGAGGCTACAACATGTGTTGGGGGAGATCTTTTTACAGCTATTCCTCCGTGTTACAAGTAAATTGGTTTCTGACATATTTTCTGGCAAAGTAGCCCCTGGGGTGATTTTGAAATCTTTACAAGAGTTGTTAAAAGCAACTGTGAACTCCAAGAAGGAGCTCGGACTTTGTCAACGTTGCTCCCTCAAGAGCTACACCTTGTGAACCAACCTGGGGCTATTTGTCTTGGGCTTGGTCATTTGGGCCAGTCTGGGCTGTTCTGAGCCAACCACCGTGAAAACAAGCAATGCACTCTACTAGTTTGTTGAATTATACCATGAAAGTGGTGTGATGTAAGAATTGTGCCCTGGTGTGTTCGAGGTGAGGCTTATGGCAGATCTCCTCTTATCTGCTTTGTACAGTTGCAGAGAGAACGAATTTAGCAGGAACTTAATGTCACTTTTCCAGTGATGTTCTGCCAGCAGCAAGAACAGTCCTGGGGACAGAAAAGCAGCCGACAGAACAAGGGAAAGGAGGAACCACAGAAAAAGATACCTCGTGTTAAAAAAGTAACAAAGGTCACAAATACAGTGGAGTGGTTCTGGAAATTGTTGCTCTGCCTTTGTAATCTTCCTTAAAACAAAAAAACAAAAGGAAAAAAAGACAAAGAAATAAAGAGGCTGGTTCTTTGGATAGTGACTGTAATCAAGTTGTGCCACCACTGCAGTTTTAACATTACTGGCATTGTGCTTTGCAGGAAAGAGAGACCCACATACCTTTTGTTGCCAGCCGGACACAGTTGATTTTTGTTTCCTGAAAAATAAAAGCAGAGAAAAAAAAAACATATAGGAAAACATCAAGGTGTGCAATTTGCCCATCTACAATAAACACACATTCCTCCATCTTTCCAAAAAAAAAAACCACCAAGGTCTGATTGCAAAACCCACTCCATCCTATTGGACTTGCCTACAGCTGGTTCTCTAAATGTTGAGAAGCTGAGAGTGACAACACGTTTCTCCACGCTCAGGGTGTGAGTGATGGGTCCCATGTAACTGCCTGATTAGCTAATAGAATTTACCAGCTAAATGACCTGCTCTGTAATAGACTGACAAGCTCTGGGTCAAAAGTACATGCAACTGTACATCTAATTTTCATGCACCATTACTGCAAATTTCGCAAATTGGGTATTTATTTAAACACATGGCAAACAGACACCGAAGGACTCATTTGAATATTCCAGCCCTGTGGATGTGAAGCCCAGCACTGCTGTGCAGCTGCCTCTGCCAAAGGAGCTGGTCTAACAACCCTCTCCACTGCAGCTCTTCCTTGCAGAGCTGGGATAAAACCCAACCCTTTGTGTTCAGTCCAGCTTGGACTGTGCAGGGCTGCAGGAACAGGAGTTTGGACGGGAACAGCGGTGTTGTATTTGGCTTCACTACCAGCTCAAACAGGTCACCTCCACTGCAAACACATCCTTTCTGCTATCCCCAGCTCCTCATTCCACAGCCCTTCTTGGCAGGGGCTGCTGCTGTCCGACACACTTTTTCCATCCAAATGGGAATGTGTTGCTTTGGTTAAAGACCTGGCAGCTGCAGGGGTTTGGGAGCACTTTCTGCCTGTACGCGCTCTTGTACAAGTCTCAGGTGTAACAAACGCTGCATAAATTACCGTGGGTAACAAAGCTGCATTAATATGGATGCTGCGGGTGCTCTGGAAACAACAGCCCAGCAATGCACTGCTGAGCACCTCCTTCCATCATCCAACAACTGCACAAACCCTGGGAAAGTCTGAACTGGCTCTTGGAGAAAATCTGAACCATCTGTGACAGATTGGCCCTGGCCGGAGCAGACACACACACAGCCCCACCGTGCCTTTCTCCTCACACTTACACTGCACAGAGGAAGGGGATTGCAGGACCCATGCTGGGAAACAGTGGGAATCACAAGAGTAATTCCCTCTGATCCCTTTCTATGATGCTTTAAGATACCAGCCAGCCACACTACCTGGATACAAACTGTGTGTAGTCTAGAAACAACCGCTAGAAACAACCAGATATCCAGAAGAACAAAGTTTCCCCTTGGTCTTGCGCTCAGATTCTCTTCTGGAATTCCTGGATCCCCAAGGACAATCCCTGTCTATTAAGGACATCCTTTCCCAGCCATACAGCTGGGTCCAGAGTGGGACTCGATCCCTGTTATCCCAGCAAACCAGAGACATCTCTCTTTGGTGTGCTGAATCCTCTCTCCCTCCAAAATCAACCTCCCTATGCAACCATTGGCAATGTAAAGTCACCAGAGCTTTACAGAGAGCTCCCCATTCCTCTCTGCCTCCTGTACAATCTGTTTGAATGGCCATTCATTCTGGAAATTCAAAGTCTTTACTGCAAGTGGTGATCTGTGAAGCAGGAAAAACACAGCTTTGTTTTCAGAGCACAGTCTCCACACGTAATGCTGGGAACTGTAGGACACACAGATCCTGAGGTGGCTTCTGATCTACAATAAGGTGAGCTGGAAAATCAGTGATGAAAAGTACAATACAAAATATCCAGACAGCATTTTTGCAGTCTACAGATAGGTGGGCACTTCCTCACGTTTTGCTGAGGAAACTTTCCCTGTGTATTTGTGGCTTTCTGCTGGTTTCAAAGTGTAACATGAAAGGTGGAGAAGTTAGTCCATGCTGAGAAAAGAAGAGTGGAGAAAACAAAAAACCAAGGTCTTGTTAATGGTGCTGGAACTGTCCTCGCTTGAGAATGTGTGTATTCCTGCAGGACACCTCCTGTGGGGTGATTTGGGATGACAGGATGCAGGCTGGGCTGTTTGCATACATCCCCCCCTGGCTGCATTTAGCACAACCACAGTTATCAGGAGACCACGACCTGGCACTGCCAAAAGCAAGGGCAAGCAATCACTGGAGGAACAGTCCAGACATCTGGACTTCAGGGCTTCATCTCAAATTGCACCTTCTGGGAAGGAAAATATAAAAGAACCTGCACAGACACCAGGCACTCACCTCCCAGGGTGCTAAAGGTTAAAGACTTGAACTTAGTCCATATTCCTGATTAGGGCTGATTATTCCACTGATTGCCATTAACCCTTTCACTGATCACCCCACTGCTCACCCCTTTGGTGCCTCATAAAAATAAAATCTCTTTAAATTTACTCTATTTTAATTTGATTAGTGCTGAGAATTGTAAGTTTGCATGAGCTTTTCTAACAGGGAACAGAATAAATAAATACACTTCCCTTCCCCCCCCCCCCAAAAAAAGGCAGTAAAACCACTGTCCCACAATCATGTTTGTTTTCTGAATAATATTACTTTTGCTTCAGACAAGGTGCTTTCCTGTACACATTAAAGTAAGATGCTTCTCTTCAGCCACTAGCAAAACAGGAATAAACAATGCAGGTAATTCTCAAAAATCCATCCAGACTGCTTAAAGCAACGACAGGAAAAACAATTAAATACATGGTTAATAATAGAAGTTTTAGTAAAACAAAGCCAATTTCCCCAAAATTTCAGTCTCTGTGTTGTTTCTGAACATTCTTTCAAATGCTGTGATACTTAATTCCCATTTTATGATATCACAGAAGTTTTACAAGGCCTTATATGTCTACAACAATATTAGAGATGACCTGAGACCCTGCATATTCAGCTTATGCATTTCATATTACAGCTGAAGTCACAGCAATAATTTAAATTAAGATGCCAGTAGCACTACTACTTTGGCTCTGTATCTCTGCCAGGTTAAGGCAGAGATTTTATATCCAAACAGCAGCAGAACAATGCAGGCATATTTTAACTGAGATCCTGGAATAGGAAAACACTTCATGAATACATCCTACAGCTCTTGATCCAACCCTCATTTTCCAACATGCTCCATATCCAGAAAGCTCAGTGTGTAATAAGCCCATCCAATTGTTTACTGGAACATAAATTTGTGTCAATTTGTCTTCTGGAGCCTCCTCCCATATGAATAAAGATGATTATGGTGTACCCTCGCTCAAGGCTGAATCCTGGCTATATTTTTAAGTCCACACAATACGAGGCCTGTGCTTTGGAGTCTGTGTTTTTGAGCCTGTTCCTGGAGGGAAGAGCTGGACCTGCCACCAGCATGACCTGGGAACCCTCTGGAGAGAAGGCAGGCTGTGCTGGGGAGCTGGGTAAGCCCTCTCTGCCAACACAGCCTTCAAGCTGCACACCATGAGCCTGTTTTAGCATCCCCCTGCATTTTCAGGGCTTTTTAAAATGTTCTTTTAATACAGCTTGTTTCTTCCTTTTTAGAAGCAAAGGAGCTGCTGCTGTCTACTAATTACTGAGATTTTTAAATGCACATTTCTCTGAAGTGAAAGGGATGGTAACAAGACAAGTTCTGCCTCTGTCTCTTCAGTGTTTGGATGGGAACAATTTTCTGCAGGAAAGGGCTCTGAGGGCAGCAGGACATATGTTTATGTGACAGCTGCGTCTTCACAACCTAAAAGGGCACAGGATTTTTTTTTTCCCCCCCTTCTCTTTTAAACTGACAGCTTGCTGTTTACAGACTACGAACAACAATAAAAGCAGCAAAGCTTTTTCATCCATCTGTTTTCACACCCACCATTTTTCCTTTCCTTTACTGTTATTACGACTTTACAGTAGTTAAACAGTGCAGAGCCACCTGCCAGCACCAGTGGGACCTGCTCTCCCCAGAAGCACCACTGGGGCTGCCCTGCAACAGGCACAGTTTCATCAGGCAGCTCAAACTGGGGACAGGCAATTTGAAGTGCACAGACCAGACAAGCAATCACCCCTCTCCCCCTTGGCCTCAGTTTCAGCTGTAGTTCCCCACATCCCAGAGCTATGCATGGACCATCCTTGTTGGCAACCTGCTTCCCACGGGATAGAAACCATGGTTTTGTCCAGTGGACATCCTGAAGAATTGGTTTTGAGGTCCTCAGCAGATTGGGGAGCTCTAGGTTTTGTGTTTCTTTTTTTATCCCATTGAATCCGATGGTTTGCTGTCTTGAAATAAATCATGTGCATGTGTCTGTGCAGGGTCCCCTGTAATTTCTATTGCCAGCTCTAGGAAACTCCAAGTTCCTCCCAAGAGTCAAAGCAAAATCTAGTATTGCCTTCCCAATTATCAGCTATTTTTATTACCTCTGTCATTTGGAGAAGGGAGGTTTAACAAAGTGCTTAGGGCTTTTATTATTTCCCATAGGAAGTTATTTCGATGACCTACAGTTGATGTTGAATATCCCACTCCTCCCAACTTCTCAAATGTAGGTTTGGAGGTAGGGTTGGAGGATTTTATTTACATCCAGAGAACACTCAGGTCCACATACTCTGGTCAACCAGATGTGGAAACAGGGGCTTACAGGGACTTAAGTGTTTCCACAGCTGCTTTATTTCTGCCCCAGCAGCTCCAACATGAGATCAAAAAGGAGTAAAGGTAAGTGGACAAACTGTACACCCAAAATCTACTGAACACAGAGCTCCCCAGAGCTGGTTAATAGCTCACAGAAGCGATGCAGGCAGCCTTGGTGCCACTTCATTTTTCAGAGCAGAGCTTGTGCTGAACTGAAGTACCTCCCTGTTTTTTCCCTGGCCATCTCCCTAGGGATAAATGCCACCTCTCTGCTGGCAGCTCTATCCACACCTCCAAAATGTCCCAGAAGAAGAATGTTGTGTACAGCGAGTAGACCTGTCAGCATCTAGAAATCCAGCCTGAAGTCCCCTGATAATAATGAGCTGCCCGGCTGTGCATGTAGTACAAGTCATTAGAGAGGCAAAAAATCAATCAGAATCTCTGTGGAGTCCATCATTCCCTCAAAAAATAATATTCTCATTGATTCCCGCAGTGCTACTTTTCACAATTCTGGGCTGAAACATCAGTCACCTGTTGGACCACCAGGCTGGAGCAGCAGCTGGCAGCACCCCCCACATCATCCCAGCTGTGTTCCAAGGGCTCCTGCTCATCTCCCAGTTAGAGGAGAAATGGCCAAGAGTTATTGATTGCAACTGGGCTGTTACAGATCTCATTTTAACTCAGTGAGCTGAAATGCAACTCCAGGAAGGATTTTTAGGGAGCTCTGGTTTCTGAGCTGCTCAAAAATTCAGGCAGGCTTCACACAGCAGCCAAAAATTCTCCCCATCTGAGCATGCTGCTGGATCAGTAGCCAGAGACTGTCACCTGCAGTGACCCAGATAAAGAACCTGGGGACAATAAAACCTGCAACATCTCACTTGGATTATTAAACCAGTATGAGGATAAGAAAGGATAAGGGATAACACAGTGTTGCCAACCTGGCCTCACCTTTCAGAGGGATAAACACTGACAGGGCTGGTGTTTTAAAGGGGCTGAGCTCAGAGAGGCTTTTCAGAGGAGGAAACCTTCATGCTCTGTCAGGCAGCCATCTGTGGCAGGTGGCACCAGGACAACCAGCAAACACCAGATAACTACCTGGATGGTACACAGTGTGTGTGGAGATCCTGCCAGAGCACAGCCCAGCCTTGTGTCCAGCCTTCCTCACTCCTAACAACTGAGCAGTAACTAAGGGTGCTTCTCACCCCCACAGCTTGAAATTTCTGTGCCCCTTTTCTCTTCCCCCCCTGCTTTTACTTCTAACTCCGACATGTTTCAGCTCAGCATCTGGCTTTCAACAGTCCCCAGGAGGGAAGTTCACACAGTTTGGAAGTGTTTTGTATAACAGAGCTGACAGCCATTCTGTCTCACACGTGTTGTGCTCAGTCCCCTGTCTGGAGGCAGCACCACACTGACCAAACTGCACCCAGCTATCCACCAGCGACAGCTACTTCATTCAAACTCTCAAAGACACAAAACATCGCACAAGAGAAGGCAGAAAAGCTCGTGATCTGCTTCTGCAGCAATTTGCCACACTTGTTTTGCATCCAGCTGTTAATTATGTTCCTTTCACTGTAACAATCCCAGCTAATGGCTGCAGAGCAGACGGGAACACCAAATGAGCACAGCCCTCCACGTACAGAGGAGCTGGAACAATGCAGAACTCCTGTAACACTCCTAACCTCCTCCTAATCAAGCTTTTTGACCAAATACAGACTGTTTGTTCAAATTAAGCTCTCCCCAGAGTCCTACAATTCCAAAGGAAGATGTTCTGGTTCACTGCACGAAGCCTTCTCGTTGCAGGTTCCAGGTGGGGAAAGAAATTTCATCGTTCCACAACTGTCAGTGATTAATGAAACTAGAGAATATCCTAATTAAAAAAACGAGTGGCAACATTCTGCTAAGTTTTTTCATGTGTAAGGGAACATAAGGCTCTGTTTTAACTGTGCTGAATTGTTATTGTTTCAGATTTTTTGCAGAGGTGCATTATCAAAAATCACAGAACGGTTTGGGTTGGAAGGGACCTTAAAGCCCATCTCGTTCCAACCCCCTGCCACAGAGAGAGACACCTTCCACTAGATCAGGTTGCTCCAAGCCCCATCCAGCCTGCCCTTGAACACTTCCAGGGATGGAAATCCCACGCTGCAGCCTTAATTCTTGGGAGGCTTTTTAAAGACCAGTCAAAGCTGCTCAGGTTATAGACATAAGTGAAAACCCAGACCAAAACTTACTATTTACAGCTGCAAAAGTCTGGATGCAAATTGACCCTAATGTCTGAAAAGCGGGGTTTCATGATTTTACCAAGAAACAAAAAGCTGCTCCTCTGAAGATCCATATTCCAGTCTTGCAAATACCTCTATACTTTTAGCCATAGCAGTACACTTTGAGGATATACAAGCACATAATGTAGAAAGATAAATTATTAATACAGGAGGAAATCGCCTTTCTCAAATAGGAATTTACTGTGTTTGGCAGGATACTTCTTATCCTGTCACAAACTCTGTGTTGTTGTGTAAAGACTCTTTTGATTAACTTATGCTTGAAAAGCCCTTTACAGTCCTTTACAATTCCTATTATCATCCTTTTTGGAGTCCTTAGCACCTGACATGCAGGGTGTGCTGCAACCTGCCAGCTACAGAGAGGCAGGAAAAGCAGGAACCCCCCATCAGTGCTGCCTTAATCCAGAATGCCAAGGGAAGCCTACATTTCCATTCACACAACCAGTTATGGAATATTACATTGTGCTTAAGCAAATAAAAGTTTCTTCTTCCCTGGGGATCCATTCACTGGCAATTAACTATCACACATGGGGGAACTAACCAGGAACAGACACACACACACACATATATTTCACCATTTCCTTTAGAAAGGCAAATCCAAAATTGAATTAATTGAGGAGAGCTGGAAGGAAACTGTATTGACTACAAAGGAAACCAAGGTGAAAAGCAGCACAGTGCTGAAGAGATTTTGTACTTGCCAGCCACGCAGCTGAGGCTGTGCAGGAGAATGGTGATAAATGAAGGCAGTAAAGCACTAAGATGGGCTGTGAACACTGCCTGGCACTGCCAGCTGTTAACCATGCCCAGTCCTCTGCGATGGGTGGCTGTGTTCTGGGTGTTAAATGGAGACCAAAGCCTGCCCTATTCACCTTTGATTATTTTTCTGATTTTGCTCTTTCATAGGTGGTGTCTTAGAGGATTTATCTGTGTTAAAGTAAGGTTCCTGACAGCATTGGAAAACATGCTAATGACACACTCTGCCACCCAAATTCATGATGCCAAGATAATGCTCCAAGACTTTTCATGAGGCCAGAGTGGCAAATTGTATCATGTTGTGTGATGGTGAAAAACAATTAGGGGAGTCAAAGGGGAGGAGGGTGGATGACTGCTTAGGCAGCATCTGGCCTGTACACTGGTAGCTGAACTGACCTGAAACAGGAGGGTTAGAAGGTTAGAGGGTTCCTATCCTTGACTGGAAGAGCAAAAAGACACCTCTCCTCTTCCTGTGGTGGGATGTGATCTCTTGTGGCATTATGTGCATGTCATTTGGGTCTGAGAATAGGACAGACATTTCCTGGGCAGTCTCCATTTTAAACCAAGTGTCTCAGGGTAAACACATGCAGAAATAAAGCCCAGGATATTCAGGAGGAGTCAGACATGCACGTGGTCCCCACTGCACTCCGACTTAACCGAGCTGAAACTCCCAACCACAAGTTGCACCACGATTCATATCATAAGTGCAAGCTAAAAGGTAACAAATTCATAACATCTCCTCCAAAATCACAAGCACTGTGAACTGGAGACTATCAAAACACTGCAGTTATGTCTTTTAAAAGCACAATGGCCCCTACTCTGACGTTCATGCTTACGGAAAGATTAAAAAAAAAAGGATCCAAATTCTAAGCAACTCATTTAGTAAATCACGTGGCAATTTACAGAGTCAGGCTCCTCAGCAGATTTCTCACTGGATCTAAGCATCAGAGAGGGTACTGAGTGAAGGACAAGTAATGGCCTGCTTGATTTTCATCAGATTTCTGTAAGAAGGGAGTAAGAAGGAAACGTTAAATTGGCATCCAATCGAGAAGGAAGGAGAATGATGAGCAGGACAGAGGTGGTTACACATACAGACCCAGTTCAGTTTTCTCTGCACTTACTCCATTGGCCTTGCTAAGTGCCTGGAAGTATATGCTGTAGCTTTTCAGGGGAGAAAGTGGAGCGTTCCAGTAGCCATTGTAGGTCTTGTTGTCGCCCACGGTGAAGGGCTGTGTGACAGGAAGGTTGATGGGCTTCAGCTCAGCTGCAAAGTAGTGTGGGGAGTCCAGGCTGGAGGCATTCTTGTAGCTCACTGGGACAGAGAAGCACTCAATGATGTCTGCAGCTCTCCGTGCCTTCTGCAGCTTCTCCTCCTTGACAACAAGTTGATAAACACTAGAGGGGAGAGAAGGAAGGGGAGATTAGAGCCCCAAGAGCCTTAAATATTGAGAATGTTTCCAACAAAAAAAGGAAAAGAGCAAAGCAAAGTAAGAAACACAGAGCTAAGGCATCTCAGCAAACACAGCTCTTGGCACTCCAGCAACAGTGCCCACTGAAAGTCACTGCGTGGCCAAGGTGCTGGTCTGGGCTCTGTTGACTCAGTAGAGTTAACCAAGATACACCCTGGTGAAAGTCAGAGTAGATTTCAATCATGTCACTCTTTAGGAAAAGGAGTAACTTCTAAAATATCCAGTCTAGAAAGAGTTTTTAGCGTGCTGAATATTAGAAAGAAGATACTTTCTCCTTCAGTCAGCAAGCTGAAACATGAACTGTCTGCTTGGGTGACTGAAGTTAAGGAGGCTGTGCCAGAGCCCTTTGGAAACATTTTCAGGGTGTGAGAACCACTTTAGATCAAAAAGACTCTCACATCTTCTAAAAACATCACCTTTTTTTGGCTCTCCTTCATATCTCCATGTCCACACATGGGCCCTCCCCCGTATCTGGGTGGGCAGGCTCTGGCACAGGCTGCCCAGAGAAGCTGTGGCTGCCCCATCCCTGCAAGTGTCCAAGGCCAGGTTGGACGGGGCTTGGAGCAAGCTGGGCTAGTGGAAGGTGTCCCTGCCCATGGCAGGGAGTTGAAATGAGATGACCTTTAAGTTCCCTTCCAACCCAAACCGTTCTATGATCTGTTTTTGGGATACCTGGGATATAGAGTTCCCTTCCCAATGGCAAGTCTCCTCCTACCCTTTCCCCCCCAGAAGGCTGATTTATATACTGAGCAGGTGGCTTTATAGCTCTCTCACTCCACTTTAGTTTTAAGAAACAACAACAACAACTCTTCATATTCTTTCCAACTCTCTGAAATGTTACTCCTTTTCGATTTCTGCTAGGCTTTTGGCCATTATGATATATAATAGCAATCTTGTTATTTCTAGCTTACTATTTCAGGCTCAAAGAGCCTGCAAGGCATTCAAATGCATCTGCTTTTATTAATTTTTTTTTTCCCCTCCTCAGGCAGCTCACAAAGCCCTGGAGTTCAATGCTGCCGCAGCCCAGGCAGGTTTACTGTCTGTTTAACACCACTCACCCATTTGACAAAGAGAGATTGGGCTGCAGTCATTTTACTTTGTGTCAGGCTATTCAGATGTGCTGCCCTCACCTGTCTGTGTCAGGCTGGGCCTTTGTTCACTCAGACAGGGGAGATCGATTAAAAGATTGGGAACAGCCCGCAGTGGATCATTCTCAGCCTCATTGTCGCAGAAAGACTGGTCTGGAAAATTTCTAGCATAGCAGTAGCTCATCAGTGCTCCTGTGGGAAGCAAAGTTCTGGCACCTCCAGTGAGCAAGAGTGGAACAACCCCCAGCTTTGCTTCTGAATCACCAGCCCCTCGTGCCTGCAGGGATCTGGCACACGCCCTGCTGCCAACCAGGCGGTCAGGGAAGCACTTGGAAACCATTTGGCTCCCACTGCTAGACACAAAACCAACTAATCTGTACAAGTACAACCAATTTATGAATTACTCAGTACTGAACTGCCCTTACACGGCCACTCTTGGCATTTACTAATGTATAGCAGGAGCAGCAGCTGCATGGGCTGCAGGCTTAATGATGTCCTCTCAGCGTTTTGGAAAACTTTCCTCATCCTATAGTTCATCAGAGCCTTTAATAAAGTATTTTAGACCTTCTCTGATATTTATTTTAAAATAAATAAGCAGTTTTCCAAGCAACACTTTAGGTATTATCATTGAGGGTGTAGTGGGAATTGAAAGCACAAGCCTGTTTAACACAAACCCTCTCCTCAGCTTACCAATAGCAACTCTTGGCTTGCTGGTTTGGACACTGTTTACTAATAGTATATGTTCTTACTGTGCCCTTCTCTCTGGTAATAATAATCTACACTACTGGGAAAGTTTGTCATTTTGTTTGCCAGCAATGGGCAAAACTGTAGCTGACATTTTTATGGGCGTTTGCCACACGCCTTCTAACCTAAAACCACTTGGTTTCTTTTTTATCCAATCCTAAACACTTGTGTTTTCTGGTTATAGAAAATGTTTCCTTTAGGCATATACATAAATATATATGTATAAACATATATTAACCTCCTTTAGGAGGTCTAGAGTTCCCTTGGGTTCCCTAAGGGTCACATTCATTCTCTTGGTTATCCCACTTGCAAGCCACGTCTTTGGAGAAGGGGAAGCTCCCAGGGACATGAACTGCCAGGTAACTGAGCTCCTTCCCTAATCATTAGGGCATTTACACCACTGAAGATATTCTCAGTTTCCCCCTTGACAATTCCAGTACCTGCTCCACCAGTATAGGCACTTTTTTATCGTGAGCAAGCGTTTTGACACGGAGCCTACTGACAGATACTTTTCAAACTGAACCTAGTCACAGATACTCTTTTGCCTCTATTCTTTCCCACTTAGCCATTAACACACTTCTTCCTTTCACAGGGATAACTTGCTCTTGCAGTGACCTGAAATTTTACTTTTAATGTTTATTCTTTTGAAATGAATCGAGGTGTCTCTGGAAGCACAACAGCACATTCATGAGCGTTCAGCTGAGATGTAACAGTTGTCCCGTGTGTGTTCAAGCTAAAACCTCATTCATCTCCTGCTCAAATACTGCCTCCTCTTCTCTGGAAGCAGTATCTGAGCACTGCTGTCATTGCTCCCTCTGGTTAAAAAACCTACTCTGGTGACACTTAGGATGGGTAACTGACTGCTTTTATGTCATTTTTCTCTTTGATGCCCCAGCTCACACTGACTGACACAGCACATTTATCTCTGTGTGCTTTACCTGCCTGGCTTGGGGACCATCACCCTTCAGCCTCGCTCTTTTCTGAGTCTGGTACTGGTCAAGAGTCCACTCCTAAAGGAAGTGGCCAAGTGGCCAAGAGTCTGCCTGAGTTCAAAGATTACTTTGGATTGAAGATTATCACCCTGAGCACTTGATCTCTTATCAAATTACTGCTCTGGTCTCACTTTCTGATGTTCTCATGCCAACATTTTGACCTGTCCAGTTGCTCCAGAAGGGCAGTATTCCCAGTTCCCCCCAGCTAGCACACAGACTGGCACAGACTCATTTTCTTTTTTCTGGCTTTGTTTTGCTCTTTGTCCCATGTTTTGTTTCTACCTAGGAGCAGAATTCCCTGCCTGCCTTTAGAGCATTTCCAGACATCAACTTCTCTGCTTTAACCTGTGAAGTGCTGCAAAGCACAGCGAGTGCTTCCACTCCTGCACTGAGCTGCTCTTGCAACTGTTTGCCTTTTCACCAGAGGAAAAAAACCACCAATCCTACATCCCAATGGAATTGCTGTGGGAATTCTGAGTAGCAAATGTCCAATTACCCACCCTAAAGTTTAGGCAAACCATCTGCATTATTACAACAAGCCTCAGAATAGTAAAACTAATCCCACTTTGCTCAGAAGAAGGAACTTGCTGCCATACATCACAACTCCTAAGACTGTGGTTGGGCACTAAGACTAAACTCAGTGAGTAGGATCTGCCCTTTTGCCCTGAAAGAGCATCTCAGCTCCAACCACATCTCTGGGTCAGGGCTGAGCAGGGCCAACCATTTGCAACTTGCTACAATGGACAATTTTGTACCACAGCAATGTGATTACAGCCAAGGGAAAGGAGGAGCAATTATCCCAAAAGTGGTGCTAGAGGGAAGGATCAAAAACCAAGTGGGCAATGGAAATAGGGAGGAAACGTCCAAACTATTTTAATGGCTTTTATTCTGGCTACCTGGTAGGCAGTAACACAGGTCTCCTGGGGCTCTCCCCATCTCAAGCTTCAAAGCTGCTGCTTCCAGCCCATTTCAGCTAACATGGCTTTCCTGGCAGGAATCAATACATCAGCTGCAAATGCCCAGCTGGATTCCAAAAAGTTTCAGTTTCATACATAGAAATTATATTAAGAGACAACAAAAGCAGAGCATTAAAACTCCCACAGTAGATAACAACTTCAGCGTCAATGAAATGAAAGATGGTACAGTTTTTACTACGTTTCAGTTTTTAATATTTGGCCATGTTTGGAAATACTGCAGTCAAATCCACACATGTATGGGCAGTAGAAGCAGGGGGGTTGTGCACCTAGTTCCAGGCTACCCCAAAAATGACATGAGGGGACTGGTTTCCAAACATCCACAAGCTCTGCTCTCCAGAGACCTCTCCAGGGATTCTCAAATCTGGGCCACAACCCAAATGCCTGCCTTTCTAGAAGGCTGGGGAGCTGCCTGCCCCGTGTGCAGCTGCACACTCTGATTAGAAAAAGAGGCCAAAAGTCAGTTCCTCTATAAATTTCAAAGGTCTTAGATGGATAAATCCACATCAATTTAATAGAAGCTTTTTAAAGTTTTTGACAGCTCTGTTGTAAATCACTGATAAAAGCACCCACCATAATGGGCCACGGCACAAATGTTGTCTGCAGAGGAAAAAAAGGTGCCCTTATCACCACCTGCAAGGTAATCTTTTAAATTATGAGCTCTCTATTCAGCGTGGAAAATCAACTTTCCACGTCACAGCCCCTTTCTGTGATGGAGACCTCTCTGTTTGCCTCAGGCTTCTCCTGCCCCCTGCTCTTGGTTTCTTTCTGAGGATGGACTGAGGCAGCACTTGTCCACAAACCTAGACAAGTATTTAGACCAGTCTCAAGTTCTGGATTAGGATGTGCACGAATGTGGGGAGGGAAAGCTGAGTCAGAGCTCTCCATAAAGCAGCCACCATCTGGCTGGTGCACTTTGGTGTCCTGACATGCCACTCATCAACAGGTTGAAACCTTCACTATACCCCTGATAATGGTGGGGCATATAAAAGGAATATGATATCTTTGTAACCTCACAGCAATCCACTCAACTGAATTATTAAAGATTAAAAGAAACAAAGTTTCAGCAGCTTAGTACTCCCTCTGGACCAATCTCGTTACTAAACTTCCATATCATATAAAGATTTA